ACGCAGTTATACTACAACCCGGTGCTGCTGGGCATGGTGGCCGAGCCGCTCGTGTTGGCCAAAATGGAGATGCTGGTCGGTGCGCCAAGGGCCTGACGCTGATGTGCTACGGCCAGTTGCCGCTGTCCGTGTTGGCCGTGGAGCTCGTGCTGTCAACGATGGAGATCGCGTGGCGCGGTCTGGTGGGGCGGTGGACCGGTGCGACGATGTAGTGACGCAGTTATACTACAACCTGGTGCTGCAGGTCATCATGGCCGAGCAGCCCGTGTAGGCCAAGATGGAGATGCTGGTCGGTGCGCCAAGGGCCTGACGCTGATGTGCTACGGCCAGTTGCCGCTATCCGTGTTGACCGTGGAGCTCGTGCTGTCCACGATTGAGATCGCGTGGCGCGGTCTGGTGGGGCGGTGGACCGGAGCGATGATGCAGTGACGCAGTTATACTACAACCTGGTGCTGCTGGGCATGGTGGCCGAGCCGCTCGTGTAGGCCAAGATGGAGATGCTGGTCGGTGCGCCAAGATCCTGATGCTGTTGTGCTACGACGTGCTGCCGCTGTCCGTATTGGCCGTGGAGCTCGTGCAGTCCACGATGGAGATCGCGTGGCACCGTCTGGTGGGGCGGTGGACCGGTGCGACGATGTAGTGACGCAGTTATACTACAACCTGGTGCTGCAGGTCATCATGGCCGAGCCGCTCGTGTAGGCCAAAATGGAGATGCTGGTCGGTGCGCCAAGGGCCTGACGCTGTTGTGCTACGGCCAGTTGCCGCTGTCCGGGTTGACCGTGGAGCTCGCGCTGTCCACGATGGAGATCGCGTGGCGCGGTCTGGTGGGGCGGTGGACCGATGCGACGATGTAGTGACGCAGTTATACTACAACCTGGTGCTGCAGGTCATCATGGCCGAGCCGCTCGTGTAGGCCAAGATGGAGATGCTGGTCGGTGCGCCAAGGGCCTGACGCTGATGTGCTACGGCCAGTTGCCGCTGTCCGGGTTGACCGTGGAGCTCGCGCTGTCCACGATGGAGATCGCGTGGCGCGGTCTGGCGGGGCGGTGGACCGGTGCGACGATGTAGTGACGCAGTTATACTACAACCTGGCGCTGCTGGTCATCATGGCCGAGCCGCTCGTGTAGGCCAAGATGGAGATGCTGGTCGGTGCGCCAAGGGCCTGACGCTGATGTGCTACGGCCAGTTGCCGCTGTCCGGGTTGACCGTGTAGCTCGCGCTGTCCACGATGGAGATCGCGTGGCGCCGTCTGGCGGGGCGGTGGACCGGTGCGACGATGTAGTGACGCAGTTATACTACAACCTGGCGCTGCAGGTCATCATGGCCGAGCCGCTCGTGTAGGCCAAGATGGAGATGCTGGTCGGTGCGCCAAGGGCCTGACGCTGATGTGCTACGGCCAGTTGCCGCTGTCCGGGTTGACCGTGGAGCTCGCGCTGTCCACGATGGAGATCGCGTGGCGCGGTCTGGCGGGGCGGTGGACCGGTGCGACGATGTAGTGACGCAGTTATACTACAACCTGGCGCTGCTGGTCATCATGGCCGAGCCGCTCGTGTAGGCCAAGATGGAGATGCTGGTCGGTGCGCCAAGGGCCTGACGCTGATGTGCTACGGCCAGTTGCCGCTGTCCGGGTTGACCGTGTAGCTCGCGCTGTCCACGATGGAGATCGCGTGGCGCCGTCTGGCGGGGCGGTGGACCGGTGCGACGATGTAGTGACGCAGTTATACTACAACCTGGTGCTGCTGGGCATGGTGGCCGAGCCGCTCGTGTAGGCCAAGATGGAGATGCTGGTCGGTGCGCCAAGATCCTGATGCTGTTGTGCTACGACGTGCTGCCGCTGTCCGTATTGGCCGTGGAGCTCGTGCTGTCCACGATGGAGATCGCGTGGCGCGGTCTGGTGGGGCGGTGGACCGGTGCGACGATGTAGTGACGCAGTTAGACTACAACCCGGTGCTGCCGGGCATGGTGGCCGAGCCGCTCGTGTAGGCCAAGATGGAGATGCTGGTCGGTGCGCCAAGGGCCTGACGCTGTTGTGCTACGGCCAGTTGCCGCTGCCCATGTTGACCGTGGAGCCGAGCTCGTGCTGTCCACGATGGAGATCGCGTGGCGCCGTCTGGTGGGGCGGTGGACCGGTGCGACGATGTAGTTACGCAGTTATACTACAACCCGGTGCTGCTGGGCATGGTGGCCGAGCCGCTCGTGTTGGCCAAAATGGAGATGCTGGTCGGTGCGCCAAGGGCCTGACGCTGATGTGCTACGGCCAGTTGCCGCTGTCCGTGTTGGCCGTGGAGCTCGTGCTGTCAACGATGGAGATCGCGTGGCGCCGTCTGGTGGGGCGGTGGACCGGTGCGACGATGTAGTGACGCAGTTATACTACAACCTGGTGCTGCAGGTCATCATGGCCGAGCAGCCCGTGTAGGCCAAGATGGAGATGCTGGTCGGTGCGCCAAGGGCCTGACGCTGATGTGCTACGGCCAGTTGCCGCTATCCGTGTTGACCGTGGAGCTCGTGCTGTCCACGATGGAGATCGCGTGGCGCGGTCTGGTGGGGCGGTGGACCGGAGCGATGATGCAGTGACGCAGTTATACTACAACCTGGTGCTGCTGGGCATGGTGGCCGAGCCGCTCGTGTAGGCCAAGATGGAGATGCTGGTCGGTGCGCCAAGAGCCTGACGCTGTTGTGCTACGGCCAGTTGCCGCTGTCCGTGTTGACCGTGGAGCTCGTGCTGTCCACGATGGAGATCGCGTGGCGCCGTCTGGTGGGGCGGTGGACCGGTGCGACGATGTAGTGACGCAGTTATACTACAACCCGGTGCTGCTGGGCATGGTGGCCGAGCCGCTCGTGTTGGCCAAAATGGAGATGCTGGTCGGTGCGCCAAGGGCCTGACGCTGATGTGCTACGGCCAGTTGCCGCTGTCCGTGTTGGCCGTGGAGCTCGTGCTGTCAACGATGGAGATCGCGTGGCGCCGTCTGGTGGGGCGGTGGACCGGTGCGACGATGTAGTGACGCAGTTATACTACAACCTGGTGCTGCAGGTCATCATGGCCGAGCAGCCCGTGTAGGCCAAGATGGAGATGCTGGTCGGTGCGCCAAGGGCCTGACACTGATGTGCTACGGCCAGTTGCCGCTGTCCGTGTTGACCGTGGAGCCGAGCTCGTGCTGTCCACGATGGAGATCGCGTGGCGCGGTCTGGTGGGGCGGTGGATCGGCGCGACGATGTAGTGACGCAGTTATACTACAACCTGGCGCTGCTGGTCATCATGGCCGAGCCGCTCGTGTAGGCCAAGATGGAGATGCTGGTCGGTGCGCCAAGGGCCTGACGCTGATGTGCTACGGCCAGTTGCCGCTGTCCGGGTTGACCGTGGAGCTCGCGCTGTCCACGATGGAGATCGCGTGGCGCCGTCTGGCGGGGCGGTGGACCGGTGCGACGATGTAGTGACGCAGTTATACTACAACCTGGCGCTGCTGGTCATCATGGCCGAGCCGCTCGTGTAGGCCAAGATGGAGATGCTGGTCGGTGCGCCAAGGGCCTGACGCTGATGTGCTACGGCCAGTTGCCGCTGTCCGGGTTGACCGTGGAGCTCGCGCTGTCCACGATGGAGATCGCGTGGCGCGGTCTGGCGGGGCGGTGGACCGGTGCGACGATGTAGTGACGCAGTTATACTACAACCTGGTGCTGCTGGGCATGGTGGCCGAGCCGCTCGTGTTGGCCAAAATGGAGATGCTGGTCGGTGCGCCAAGGGCCTGACGCTGATGTGCTACGGCCAGTTGCCGCTGTCCGTGTTGGCCGTGGAGCTCGTGCTGTCAACGATGGAGATCGCGTGGCGCCGTCTGGTGGGGCGGTGGACCGGTGCGACGATGTAGTGACGCAGTTATACTACAACCTGGTGCTGCAGGTCATCATGGCCGAGCAGCCCGTGTAGGCCAAGATGGAGATGCTGGTCGGTGCGCCAAGGGCCTGACACTGATGTGCTACGGCCAGTTGCCGCTATCCGTGTTGACCGTGGAGCTCGTGCTGTCCACGATGGAGATCGCGTGGCGCGGTCTGGTGGGGCGGTGGACCGGTGCGACGATGTAGTGACGCAGTTATACTACAACCTGGTGCTGCAGGTCATCATGGCCGAGCAGCCCGTGTAGGCCAAGATGGAGATGCTGGTCGGTGCGCCAAGGGCCTGACACTGATGTGCTACGGCCAGTTGCCGCTGTCCGTGTTGACCGTGGAGCCGAGCTCGTGCTGTCCACGATGGAGATCGCGTGGCGCGGTCTGGTGGGGCGGTGGATCGGCGCGACGATGTAGTGACGCAGTTATACTACAACCTGGCGCTGCTGGTCATCATGGCCGAGCCGCTCGTGTAGGCCAAGATGGAGATGCTGGTCGGTGCGCCAAGGGCCTGACGCTGATGTGCTACGGCCAGTTGCCGCTGTCCGGGTTGACCGTGGAGCTCGCGCTGTCCACGATGGAGATCGCGTGGCGCCGTCTGGCGGGGCGGTGGACCGGTGCGACGATGTACTGACGCAGTTATACTACAACCTGGCGCTGCTGGGCATGGTGGCGGAGCCACTCGTGTTGGCCAAGATGGAGATTCTGGTCGGTGCGCCAAGGGCCTGACGCTGTTGTGCTACGACGTGCTGCCGCTGTCCGTGTTGACCGTGGAGCTCGCGCTGTCCACGATGGAGATCGCGTGGCGCGGTCTGGTGGGGCGGTGGACCGGTGCGACGATGTAGTGACGCAGTTATACTACAACCTGGCGCTGCTGGGTATGGTGGCCGAGCAGCTCGTGTTGGCCAAGATGGAGATGCTGGTCGGTGCGCCAAGGGCCTGACGCTGATGTGCTACGGCCAGTTGCCGCTGTCCGTGTTGACCGTGGAGCTCGCGCTGTCCACGATGGAGATCGCGTGGCGCGGTCTGGTGGGGCGGTGGACCGGTGCGACGATGCAGTGACGCAGTTATACTACAACCTAGCGCTGCTGGGCATGGTGGCCGAGCCGCTCGTGTAGGCCAAGATGGAGATGCTGGTCGGTGCGCCAAGGGCCTGACGCTGTTGTGCTACGGCCAGTTGCCGCTGTCCGGGTTGACCGTGGAGCTCGCGCTGTCAACGATGGAGATCGCGTGGTGCCGTCTGGTGGGGCGGTGGACCGGTGCGACGATGTAGTGACGCAGTTATACTACAACCTGGTGCTGCTGGGCATGGTGGCCGAGCAGCTCGTGTTGGCCAAGATGGAGATGCTGGTCGGTGCGCCAAGGGCCTGACGCTGATGTGCTACGGCCAGTTGCCGCTGTCCGTGTTGACCGTGGAGCTCGCGCTGTCAACGATGGAGATCGCGTGGCGCGGTCTGGTGGGGCGGTGGACCGGTGCGACGATGTAGTGACGCAGTTATACTACAACCTGGCGCTGCTGGGCATGGTGGCCGAGCAGCTCGTGTTGGCCAAGATGGAGATGCTGGTCGGTGCGCCAAGGGCCTGACGCTGTTGTGCTACGGCCAGTTGCCGCTGTCCGGGTTGACCGTGGAGCTCGCGCTGTCAACGATGGAGATCGCGTGGCGCCGTCTGGTGGGGCGGTGGACCGGTGCGACGATGTAGTGACGCAGTTATACTACAACCTGGTGCTGCAGGTCATCATGGCCGAGCAGCCCGTGTAGGCCAAGATGGAGATGCTGGTCGGTGCGCCAAGGGCCTGACGCTGATGTGCTACGGCCAGTTGCCGCTGTCCGTGTTGACCGTGGAGCTCGCGCTGTCCACGATGGAGATCGCGTGGCACCGTCTGGTGGGGCGGTGGACCGGTGCGACGATGTAGTGACGCAGTTATACTACAACCTGGTGCTGCAGGTCATCATGGCCGAGCAGCCCGTGTAGGCCAAGATGGAGATGCTGGTCGGTGCGCCAAGGGCCTGACGCTGATGTGCTACGGCCAGTTGCCGCTGTCCGTGTTGACCGTGGAGCTCGCGCTGTCCACGATGGAGATCGCGTGGCGCGGTCTGGTGGGGCGGTGGACCGGTGCGACGATGTAGTGACGCAGTTATACTACAACCTAGCGCTGCTGGGCATGGTGGCCGAGCCGCTCGTGTAGGCCAAGATGGAGATGCTGGTCGGTGCGCCAAGGGCCTGACGCTGTTGTGCTACGGCCAGTTGCCGCTGTCCGGGTTGACCGTGGAGCTCGCGCTGTCAACGATGGAGATCGCGTGGCGCCGTCTGGTGGGGCGGTGGACCGGTGCGACGATGTAGTGACGCAGTTATACTACAACCTGGTGCTGCAGGTCATCATGGCCGAGCAGCCCGTGTAGGCCAAGATGGAGATGCTGGTCGGTGCGCCAAGGGCCTGACGCTGATGTGCTACGGCCAGTTGCCGCTGTCCGGGTTGACCGTGGAGCTCGTGCTGTCCACGATGGAGATCGCGTGGCGCCGTCTGGTGGGGCGGTGGACCGGTGCGACGATGTAGTGACGCAGTTATACTACAACCTGGTGCTGCAGGTCATCATGGCCGAGCAGCCCGTGTAGGCCAAGATGGAGATGCTGGTGGGTGCGCCAAGGGCCTGACGGTGATGTGCTACGGCCAGTTGCCGCTGTCCGTGTTGACCGTGGAGCTCGCGCTGTCCACGATGGAGATCGCGTGGCGCCGTCTGGTGGGGCGGTGGACCGGTGCGACGATGTACTGACGCAGTTATACTACAACCTGGTGCTGCAGGTCATCATGGCCAAGCCGCTCGTGTAGGCAAAGATGGAGATACTGGTCGGTGCGCCAAGGGCCTGACGCTGATGTGCTACGGCCAGTTGCCGCTGTCCGTGTTGGCCGTGGAGCTCGTGCTGTCAACGATGGAGATCGCGGGGCGCCGTCTGGTGGGGCGGTGGACCGGTGCGACGATGTAGTGACGCAGTTATACTACAACCTGGTGCTGCAGGTCATCATGGCCGAGCAGCCCGTGTAGGCCAAGATGGAGATGCTGGTCGGTGCGCCAAGGGCCTGACGCTGATGTGCTACGGCCAGTTGCCGCTGTCCGTGTTGACCGTGGAGCTCGTGCTTTCCACGATGGAGATCGCGTGGCGCCGTCTGGTGGGGCGGTGGACCGGTGCGACGATGTACTGACGCAGTTATACTACAACCTGGTGCTGCAGGTCATCATGGCCAAGCCGCTCGTGTAGGCCAAGATGGAGATGCTGGTCGGTGCGCCAAGGGCCTGATGCTGTTGTGCTACGGCCAGTTGCCGCTGTCCGTGTTGACCGTGGAGCTCGTGCTTTCCACGATGGAGATCGCGTGGCGCCGTCTGGTGGGGCGGTGGACCGGTGCGACGCGTCTGGTGGGGCGGTGCGACGATGTAGTGACGCAGTTATACTACAACCTGGTGCTGCAGGTCATCATGGCCGAGCAGCTCGAGTTGGCCAAGATGGAGATGCTGGTCGGTGCGCCAAGGGCCTGACGCTGAGGTGCTACGGCCAGTTGTCGCTGTCCGTGTTGACCGTGGAGCTCGTGCTGTCCACGATGGAGATCGCGTGGCGCCGTCTGGTGGGGCGGTGCGACGATGTACTGACGCAGTTATACTACAACCTGGCGCTGCTGGGTATGGTGGCCGAGCCGCTCGTGTAGGCCAAGATGGAGATGCTGGTCGGTGCGCCAAGGGCCTGACGCTGTTGTGCTACGGCCAGTTGCCGCTGTCCGTGTTGACCGTGGAGCTCGTGCTGTCCACGATGGAGATCGCGTGGCGCGGTCTGGTGGGGCGGTGGACCGGTGCGACGATGCAGTGACGCAGTTAGACTACAACCTGGTGCTGCAGGTCATCATGGCCGAGCAGCCCGTGTTGGCCAAGATGGAGATGCTGGTCGGTGCGCCAAGGGCCTGACGCTGATGTGCTACGGCCAGTTGCCGCTGTCCGTGTTGACCATGGAGCTCGTGCAGTCCACGATGGAGATCGCGTGGCGCCGTCTGGTGGGGCGGTGCGACGATGTAGTGACGCAGTTATACTACAACCTGGTGCTGCAGGTCATCATGGCCGAGCCGCTCGTGTAGGCCAAGATGGAGATGCTGGTCGGTGCGCCAAGGGCCTGACGCTGAGGTGCTACGGCCAGTTGTCGCTGTCCGTGTTGACCGTGGAGCTCGTGCTGTCCACGATGGAGATCGCGTGGCGCCGTCTGGTGGGGCGGTGCGACGATGTACTGACGCAGTTATACTACAACCTGGCGCTGCTGGGTATGGTGGCCGAGCCGCTCGTGTAGGCCAAGATGGAGATGCTGGTCGGTGCGCCAAGGGCCTGACGCTGTTGTGCTACGGCCAGTTGCCGCTGTCCGTGTTGACCGTGGAGCTCGTGCTGTCCACGATGGAGATCGCGTGGCGCGGTCTGGTGGGGCGGTGGACCGGTGCGACGATGCAGTGACGCAGTTAGACTACAACCTGGTGCTGCAGGTCATCATGGCCGAGCAGCCCGTGTTGGCCAAGATGGAGATGCTGGTCGGTGCGCCAAGGGCCTGACGCTGATGTGCTACGGCCAGTTGCCGCTGTCCGTGTTGACCGTGGAGCTCGTGCTTTCCACGATGGAGATCGCGTGGCGCGGTCTGGTGGGGCGGTGGACCGGTGCGACGATGCAGTGACGCAGTTATACTACAACCTGGTGCTGCAGGTCATCATGGCCGAGCAGCCCGTGTTGGCCAAGATGGAGATGCTGGTCGGTGCGCCAAGGGCCTGACGCTGATGTGCTACGGCCAGTTGCCGCTGTCCGTGTTGACCGTGGAGCTCGTGCTGTCCACGATGGAGATCGCGTGGCGCCGTCTGGTGGGGCGGTAGACCGGTGCGACGATGTAGTGACGCAGTTATACTACAACCTGATGCTGCTGGGTATGGCGGCCGAGCCGCTCGTGTTGGCCAAGATGGAGATGCTGGTCGGTGCGCCAAGGGCCTGACGCTGTTGTGCTACGGCCAGTTGCCGCTGCCCATGTTGACCGTGGAGCCGAGCTCGTGCTGTCCACGATGGAGATCGCGTGGCGCGGTCTGGTGGGGCGGTGGACCGGTGCGACGATGTAGTGACGCAGTTGTACTACAACCTGGCGCTGCTGGGCATGGTGGCCGAGCAGCCCGTGTTGGCCAAGATGGAGATGCTGGTCGGTGCGCCAAGGGCCTGACGCTGTTGTGCTACGGCCAGTTGCCGCTGTCCGTGTTGACCGTGGAGCTCGTGCTGTCCACGATGGAGATCGCGTGGCGCCGTCTGGCGGGGCGGTGGACCGGTGCAACGATGTAGTGACGCAGTTATATTACAACCTGGCGCTGCAGGTCATCATGGCCGAGCAGCCCGTGTAGGCAAAGATGGAGATGCTGGTCGGTGCGCCAAGGGCCTGACGCTGATGTGCTACGGCCAGTTGCCGCTGTCCGTGTTGACCGTGGAGCTCGTGCTGTCCACGATGGAGATCGCGTGGCGCGGTCTGGTGGGGCGGTGGACCGGTGCGACGATGCAGTGACGCAGTTATACTACAACCTGGTGCTGCAGGTCATCATGGCCGAGCAGCCCGTGTTGGCCAAAATGGAGATGCTGGTCGGTGCGCCAAGGGCCTGACGCTGATGTGCTACGGCCAGTTGCCGCTGTCCGTGTTGACCGTGGAGCTCGTGCTGTCCACGATGGAGATCGCGTGGCGCCGTCTGGCGGGGCGGTGGACCGGTGCAACGATGTAGTGACGCAGTTATACTACAACCTGGCGCTGCTGGGCATGGTGGCCGAGCCGCTCGTGTTGGCCAAGATGGAGATGCTGGTCGGTCCTGACGCTGATGTGCTACGGCCAGTTGCCGCTGTCCGTGTTGACCGTGGAGCTCGTGCTGTCCACGATGGAGATCGCGTGGCGCCGTCTGGCGGGGCGGTGGACCGGTGCAACGATGTAGTGACGCAGTTATACTACAACCTGATGCTGCTGGGCATGGTGGCCGAGCCGCTCGTGTTGGCCAAGATGGAGATGCTGGTCGGTGCGCCAAGGGCCTGACGCTGTTGTGCTACGGCCAGTTGCCGCTGTCCGTGTTGACCGTGGAGCTCGTGCTGTCCACGATGGCGATCGCGTGGCGCCGTCTGGCGGGGCGGTGGACCGGTGCAACGATGTAGTGACGCAGTTATACTACAACCTGGCGCTGCTGGGCATGGTGGCCGAGCCGCTCGTGTTGGCCAAGATGGAGATGCTGGTCGGTCCTGACGCTGATGTGCTACGGCCAGTTGCCGCTGTCCGTGTTGACCGTGGAGCTGAGCTCGTGCAGTCCACGTCGGAGATCGCGTGGCGCCGTCTGGTGGGGCGGTGGACCGGTGCGACGATGTACTGACGCAGTTATACTACAACCTGGTGTTGCAGGTCATCATGGCCGAACAGCCCGTGTTGGCCAAGATGGAGATGCTGGTCGGTGCGCCAAGGGCCTGACGCTGATGTGCTACGGCCAGTTGCCGCTGTCCGTGTTGACCGTGGAGCTCGTGCTGTCCACGATGGAGATCGCGTGGCGCCGTCTGGCGGGGCGGTGGACCGGTCCAACGATGTAGTGACGCAGTTATACTACAACCTGGTGCTGCAGGTCATCATGGCCGAGCAGCCCGTGTTGGCCAAGATGGAGATGCTGGTCGGTGCGCCAAGGGCCGACGCTGATGTGCTACGGCCAGTTGCCGCTGTCCGTGTTGACCGTGGAGCTCGTGCTTTCCACGATGGAGATCGCGTGGCGCCGTCTGGTGGGGCGGTGGACCGGTGCGACGATGTACTGACGCAGTTATACTACAACCTGGTGCTGCAGGTCATCATGGCCGAACAGCCCGTGTTGGCCAAGATGGAGATGCTGGTCGGTGCGCCAAGGGCCTGACGCTGATGTGCTACGGCCAGTTGCCGCTGTCCGTGTTGACCGTGGAGCTCGTGCTGTCCACGATGGAGATCGCGTGGCGCCGTCTGGTGGGGCGGTAGACCGGTGCGACGATGTACTGACGCAGTTATACTACAACCTGGTGCTGCTGGGCATGGTGGCCGAGCCGCTCGTGTTGGCCAAGATGGAGATGCTGGTCGGTGCGCCAAGGGCCTGACGCTGTTGTGCTACGGCCAGTTGCCGCTGTCCGTGTTGACCGTGGAGCTCGTGCTGTCCACGATGGAGATCGCGTGGCGCCGTCTGGTGGGGCGGTAGACCGGTGCGACGATGTAGTGACGCAGTTATACTACAACCTGGTGCTGCTGGGCATGGTGGCCGAGCCGCTCGTGTTGGCCAAGATGGAGATGCTGGTCGGTGCGCCAAGGGCCTGACGCTGTTGTGCTACGGCCAGTTGCCGCTGTCCGTGTTGACCGTGGAGCTCGTGCTTTCCACGATGGAGATCGCGTGGCGCCGTCTGGTGGGGCGGTGCACCGGTGCGACGATGTACTGACGCAGTTACACTACAACCTGGTGCTGCTGGGCATGGTGGCCGAGCCGCTCGTGTTGGCCAAGATGGAGATGCTGGTCGGTGCGCCAAGGGCCTGACGCTGTTGTGCTACGGCCAGTTGCCGCTGTCCGTGTTGACCATGGAGCTCGTGCTGTCAACGATGGAGATCGCGTGGCGCCGTCTGGTGGGGCGGTAGACCGGTGCGACGATGTACTGACGCAGTTACACTACAACCTGGTGCTGCTGGGCATGGTGGCCGAGCCGCTCGTGTTGGCCAAGATGGAGATGCTGGTCGGTCCTGACGCTGATGTGCTACGGCCAGTTGCCGCTGTCCGTGTTGACCGTGGAGCTCGTGCTGTCCACGATGGAGATCGCGTGGCGCCGTCTAGTGGGGCGGTGCGACGATGTAGTGACGCAGTTATACTACAACATGGCGCTGCTGGGCATGGTGGCCGAGCCGCTCGTGTTGGCCAAGATGGAGATGCTGGTCGGTGCGCCAAGGGCCTGACGCTGTTGTGCTACGACCAGTTGCCGCTGTCCGTGTTGACCGTGGAGCTCGTGCTGTCCACGATGGGAGATGCTGGTCGGTGCGCCAAGGGCCTGACGCTGATGTGCTACGGCCAGTTGCCGCTGTCCGTGTTGACCGTGGAGCTCGTGCTGTCCACGATGGAGATCGCGTGGCGCCGTCTGGTGGGGCGGTGGACCGGTGCGACGATGTACTGACGCAGTTATACTACAACCTGGTGCTGCAGGTCATCATGGCCGAGCAGCCCGTGTAGGCCAAGATGGAGATGCTGGTCGGTGCGCCAAGGGCCTGACGCTGATGTGCTACGGCCAGTTGCCGCTGTCCGTGTTGACCGTGGAGCTCGTGCTGTCCACAATGGAGATCGCGTGGTGGGGCGGTGGACCGGTGCGACGATGTACTGACGCAGTTATACTACAACCTGGTGCTGCAGGTCATCATGGCCGAGCAGCCCGTGTAGGCCAAGATGGAGATGCTGGTCGGTGCGCCAAGGGCCTGACGCTGATGTGCTACGGCCAGTTGCCGCTGTCCGTGTTGACCGTGGAGCTCGTGCTGTCCACGATGGAGATCGCGTGGCGCCGTCTGGTGGGGCGGTGGACCGGTGCGACGATGTACTGACGCAGTTATACTACAACCTGGTGCTGCAGGTCATCATGGCCGAGCAGCCCGTGTAGGCCAAGATGGAGATGCTGGTCGGTGCGCCAAGGGCCTGACGCTGATGTGCTACGGCCAGTTGCCGCTGTCCGTGTTGACCGTGGAGCTCGTGCTGTCCACAATGGAGATCGCGTGGTGGGGCGGTGGACCGGTGCGACGATGTACTGACGCAGTTATACTACAACCTGGTGCTGCAGGTCATCATGGCCGAGCCGCTCGTGTTGGCCAAGATGGAGATGCTGGTCGGTGCGCCAAGGGCCTGACGCTGATGTGCTACGGCCAGTTGCCGCTGTCCGTGTTGACCGTGGAGCTCGTGCTGTCCACGATGGAGATCGCGTGGCGCCGTCTGGCGGGGCGGTGGACCGGTGCGACGATGCAGTGACGCAGTTATACTACAACCTGGTGCTGCAGGTCATCATGGCCGAGCCGCTCGTGTTGGCCAAGATGGAGATGCTGGTCGGTGCGCCAAGGGCCTGACGCTGATGTGCTACGGCCAGTTGCCGCTGTCCGTGTTGACCGTGGAGCTCGTGCTGTCCACGATGGAGATCGCGTGGCGCCGTCTGGTGGGGCGGTGGACCGGTGCGACGATGTACTGACGGAGTTATACTACAACCTGGTGCTGCAGGTCATCATGGCCGAGCAGCCCGTGTAGGCCAAGATGGAGATGCTGGTCGGTGCGCCAAGGGCCTGACGCTGATGTGCTACGGCCAGTTGCCGCTGTCCGTGTTGACCGTGGAGCTCGTGCTGTCCACAATGGAGATCGCGTGGCGCCGTCTGGTGGGGCGGTGGACCGGTGCGACGATGTAGTGACGCAGTTATACTACAACCTGGTACGGCAGGTCATTGTGGCCAAGCCGCTCCGAGATGGTGATGGAATTATATCAATCCTGATCATGGCTGTGCTACTCTTTAGAAATATGGCATTATTTCTAAGTACATTATTATTATTCTACAGTGATTGTAATACCAAGTTACTACTACCATTACTACCATTAGTACTGTACTATGTTTCCGTGCTCCAAGCCATTGACTAGGAGCAACACGGTTGGCGCTACCCGCATCAGCGCGCTCCACTCGGGCAGTTTGGCCGTCACCGTCAGCCGTAATAGAAGCGTGGGTATGCCATGTACCGCTTTGAGGAACCCCGGTAGACTGGGCCACGCCACCTCCGTATTAGGCTCCCTGGTCAACACGTGGTGCCGCAAGATCGGTGTCGATGCATTTGCGCACCAACCATCGCTAAAGGGCGCCACGCTATCGCAGGCAACACAAGCCGTGTGGGCAACGCGGTCAGCAGCCAGTGGCTGCGGTGTTGATGCATTTGTGCACCATTGGTTCAGCACCAACCATCGCTAAAGGGCGCCAGCCAGTGGCTGCCAGCCACTTGTCGTAGTACAATAGCGTCAGGACATCACCGCACTGGCCGCCATCTCCATCGCAGGCAACACGAGCTGCGTGGCTATCATGTCTGCAAGCAGCATGTCATAACAGCATGAATACATTGGCACCGATGCATGTTTGACGGTGCGACGCCATCTCCGTTTTGGGTGTGAGTTACCTGGCCATCATGAGCAGCAGTAATAGAACTGTAGGCAGGATCAGCAGCGCAAACATCGCCTCGTCAAACCTTGGCAGACCGCGCGACGCTGCCGATATGGATATTGAACAACTCGAGCTCCTGACCATCACGGCCGCCAACGTGCAGATAGTAGATTGCACGAGCTGCGTAGCCATCTGGCCACAAAGGACGATGCTAGTTCTATTTATGTGCTAACGTTGCTGCGATTTACCGTCAGCTCCTCTGACATGTCATACGAAAACGAGCATCAAAACGGAATTGCATGTAGGAGGTCGTACCGCGTACTGCGCCAAAAACAATGATGTACATACATAAACGCTCCAATAATTTCGTATTTAATAAAGTTCATACAAAAACTATATATATTGTTGTCGGAGGTTCCTACAAGCGACGTCCACTGGACTTTACGCACTGACCCTCGGTGAACAAAGGGTTAAGTCCTCCTCCGATTCCTCGGTACTGGGCGCGCTCTCAGCCGTCAACGCCTCTTCATCGTCGTCGTCGCCGCTTGACGTCTGGGAGAAATTTTCGTCGCCACTATCATCAAGCTCTTCGCTCGAGCTGGGCTCAGGATCCGCACTCCCAGCGCCGCTTGGTGATAGATCATGGTCTTCACACGGAGAGTCACCGGCTCTGTCACCGCTGCCGCAGACAGCAGCAGTACGGTCGGCATGGTCACGGGGCTGCGGACGGTCTTGTCGCTGCTGCTCACCTGCTTCACCTTGGCTGGGAGCGGGAGGTGTAGCGTCAGCGAGTGGCGGCGGCGGCGAGGCGGCGGGCTTCTGTGTCTGCATCGTTGTTTGTAAGTGCGTTTGGCAATGAGTTGGGATCTACGATTGCAACCGTCGATACACCCGTTCAAATTTTTGAATTTGCAAAACGGCCCGTTTCTCAAAACTTCGGTTAGGTACGATTTTCAGTCGGTCAACTTTTAGGTCGATTATCTTGATAACTCTCAATGGCGCGTTAGCAACATTTTGCCGTTGTCTCATATGTAGGTCACGTGACCTATCGACAAGACCTCTTCGTTCTATGACCTCTATTTGACACTACCATGCTGGTAAGTACTAAAACATATGCCGAACTCGCAAAGTTTGATCTCTCCAAGTTGGTGGACTCGGAAGCGCTTACCCAGTTCAAATGATGGGTTTCAATCTCACAAGTTGGTGGGATTAGAACGAATACCAGCTGTGATACCACAAAGTAACTGTGTAGGTTTTGCTAAAGACCTCTAATATCACCCCGGCCGCATATGAAATCACCGGCCATTTTTAGAGTATCTAAGGCAAAGTACCAATTTAGTAGTTTGAGCCAATTTAGTAGCTCCGCTCTTTCAAGCCAATAGCAAAAATGTAGCCACTAAATGCGTGTTTTCATTTGACAAAAAGAAATCAGCTGCTTTTGAGTGAAAACCTGAAGGACTTTGATCTGTCTCGTGCTTTTCTTGACTCCCACGGCCACTTGACTTTCAGGTGGTTGATTTAGAAGTGCTCAGATAGACTCTATCCTGCTCAGCTCCTGCCGCATATCCATCCTCGCCTACTGCTGGGCTATGTAGCCCCCTGTTACCTCTGCGAATACCTTGCTTACTCGCCGTGTACTGTGGTTCTGGTCGGTCCAGGACCGCCTCGATACCACAACACTTCCCTTCCGAAAGCCGTCCTTAGCCGAGAGCGCGGGTCATGCGCTTCACGACCGCTTCTTCGCTGTGAGCTCTCACAAACGCCCTGTACAACACCGGAACGTTCTCTTGGATGTTACTGGCAGGCTCCCACGAATCTTCAATGCTGTCGAGTCCTCGCCACTCCACCCGCAGTTCAAATGCTTTCGTCTCCGTGCTGAAGCGGCACTCTTCCAGCCTCTCCACGACATGTCCCTCGTTCCTGTGAGCGACATGCTCCGGCAGCTCAGTATCCACCCGCAGCTCGCGGTCCGCAAAGGATTTCAATCTGCTGGCATGACAGTCACGCACATCATCTGTGACGATATCTCGGATGGTGAAAATCCAATTGGACGTCGTGCCAGTCACTTCAGCAGGTCCGCACCAACGGACGCGCAACTTCCCTCGCGACCGATTCCACACATTCGCGTACAGTACGAAGTCTCCAACTTCGAACTGCGCCGCTGTACTTTATGGCGATTGTCATGAGTCGCCCTACCGTGTTGTCGGCTGGAGGCGCTGGCCTTCAGCACCTCCTTGTGCATGTTGGCAAGCGCTGTTTAGAACGCCTGAAGGTTGCGTTTCTGTTTATCCCACACCTCTTGCAGCGTCGTAGTCTTCACCCAACTGGCACCGCAATAGGATCCAGCGTCGATCTCGCCGGAATACCAGTCATGGCAGTCACTGGAGCCACACCACCGAGTGATACGACTGGAGACTGGTTCAGTATCAACTGTACTAGTGATACAATGTGAGGCCACTCCTCGGGTTGCATTCTCCACTCGGAAAGCAGTGCCCGGAAACACCTCAGAGCCGATTTCATCACGCTCTCCACCGTCCCGTTCGCCCACGCGCATCGCGCCGTTGTGAAATGATGGTGAGCACCCAGGATATGCTTCAGCTCAGCGACGACCTGGTTTTTGAAGTGTGTACCCTGGTCACTTACCCAGGCCGTACAAACCCCAAACGCTGCAAACCACAGCATCAGAGCCTCGTAAGTCACTGCCGCGGTTGCCGTCGGTGCACCAATCAGCCAGACGTACTTCGAGGCGTCGTCCTTGATCACTAGTAGATATTCCAGGTCTGATGTCGAACTGCCCATGCTTAGAAAGTCCCAATGGATCAGCTCATTTGGCTTGTCGGCGTGCATAGCCTCTCCGAGCGGCCTTGGTACCAAACCACCGGCCGTGCTGGCACAGTGGGGACATCGCAGGACAAAATGATTTACGTCTCTATACCAAGCCACCAAAATCGCTCCATGATCCCCTGCTTCGTGGGTTTGATACCTCGATGGCCCGCAGCACCAAAGTGGTCAATAATACAGATCCTCATCTGCAAATCTGCATAAATAGCGGGGATCCAAATCTGCTGTTCCGCCGTACGCCATGTTTGCTGCTGGTCACTACAGTGTCACGTGCCCCTCGTTCGCCTCTCGCTGTCTCTCCGAGGCGTGTTGCTGCTGGCGCCGATGAACCTCCTGGAGCGTCGGCCACTCAAACCGCGGATCCAGTTGCGGCGATGTCACCACGTTCGTAATGTGGATGGCGCACATCGCCTCGAGCTTCGAACCCCAACGCGACAGAAGGTCTGCCCATACATTATCCTCCCCGAAATATCGTGGATGGTGTAATCGTAGCCGAGAAGAACCAGAGACCATCGCTGGAGCTTGTCGGCCGTGAATTTAGACACCGTAGGTGCAATAGCCGTCGGGCTGAAAATATAAGTGAGATTCCTGTGATCCGTAAACAGGAGAAACCCACCTGGACGATGCAACAAATAATCGGCCTTACACGTCTCCACCAGTGAGAAAGCTTCCTTCTCCACAATCGACCAATGCTGCGCCGACCCAGAAAATGTACCACTGAGAAACATGAGTGGCTCGTGCGCCTGCTCCACGGGAGCTCGGCCCACATGGCCTTTCGGAATCTGGCTAATGACAGCACCCCAGTGCGACACGCTGGCGTCGGCAAAGACACACAACTGCTTCTCGTAGTCGGGAAACGCCAACTCCACTACCTGACTAAGGGATTGCTTGCACTCCTCGAGACAAGCCGAATGCACCGTCGTCCAGCCCGCCGCTGCAAGCGCCACCTTCGACACGGCGCTCTTTTTCCTGGACGTCGCCTGCTTGTAGACCAGCTCCATGAGCTTATGCAGCGGCGCCACCAGCTTGTTAAAACCCGGCAAAGACGAGCGCATCCAATTTAACGCGCATAGGAATTGTTGTAGATCCTGCCCAGTCTGTGGCGCGGGCAGCTCCTGCAGCGCCCGGATCCGTTCGGGGTTGTGCTTGACCGCTAGAGGAGATGACACGGCCACACCAGACCGCTTCCGTCAGGAAGAAGTGACACTTGCTAGGGTTCAATTTGAGCCCTTTAGCAATGCAAATGTCCAACACCTTGGTCAACAGCTCCAGCAAGCCCTCGATCGTATCACTGTACCCCAAAATGTCTTCTAGCCAGATTAAGACGCCATTGTACAGCAAGTCCTTGAACATCTCCTGCACGGTGGACTGGCAGTACGCGACGCTGTCTGTCCCGCCCATCATGACCCTCGTCGGTGTGTAGATGCCCGCATCAGTGAGGAAGGAAAAAAATTCTTGGCAGGATTCGTCCAAGAGAAACTGCCAATATCCCTTGAAGAAGTCCAAAGAAAATCGGCGCCTGCTTCTCGAGCGCATCTTTCACGGGTGCATCGAGAATTTCCTGTATCTTTTGCTTGTCAATGTACACTTTTTCATCATTGGGCGGGGCTGGGAAGTAGCAGGTCTCCTCCGCGTCGCGCAAGGACGGTTCCTCCGGCAACTCTGCTGGTGATGCCCCGTCAATACTGGTAATAAGAGGACTGGAAGTCTGGTCCATCGGCTCTTCAAAATCGTACTCCGCCTGCGCCAGCCTTGCTTGTCTGAGCAATTCCTCCGGATCGTAGCCAAGCCGTCCCATTACATGCCCGCTAAGTAGTACATCACCCAGACCCTTAGGCAACGCCGCTACCGAAATCCAACACAGGACATTTCGCAGTATGAGGCGCCCCTCAGGTGTCTCGAACTCGAAACGGAGCCTGCACTCCTGCTTAATACTTAAGTAGGGATCCGCTCTGAAGTGAAACTCGAGGCCTTGGAGCGCACCCGAACATCACGGACCTCCACCCATTGCCCTCGCTCTCGCAGCGTATGAATCAGCGACGGCGACACAATCGACGCTCCAGCTCCACTATCCAAGAGAACACGAGTCTCCATGCCGTCCGCTACCCAACCATTTAGGAACACCGGCTTCTTAGACTTTGGCTCCGCGTCGTCCGTAGCCACTGCTCCTACCTCCTGTACTTCGTCTGCCACGTCCACTGCACCAACCGCACTACTCTTTCCACGTGCCTGTTGCCATAGCTGACGGGCTTCTCCCTCACTAGCGTGCGGATACTGGAAAATACCGTGACTAGTGTCGCAACACTTGAAGCATCCCGTGGTAGGCCTGGGCTAATGAGGTGGCGAAAGCCATCGCGCAGGTCCTCTTGGAGCTCCCCGCGGTGTCGCCACGCCCGTTGGCTTAGAGCCTGTTCGCTACGTAGCTGGAGATCTAGACGAAAACCAAAAGTGTGACCGGATTGGTCAAAAGTAGGTAGCACACAACAAGACAACTAGAGATGGCACTGTGAATTCGTCTCCAGCTCTTTGAGGTGGAGAGGGGCGGATCTACCTAGGGATTTACAGGGCCAGGCACAACATGGGAGACGAAGATGCAATTGTCCTCGCTGCGTGCTCCGCCGTGGCACAGGCTGTGGCTTTGTATGCAGACAGTTGCGAACCAGGACCTCCTGGAGCTCTGGCTGAGCTCCAGTGCAGCCTCGTCCTCCAGCAGTTCAGTGCTTGTTGCATCACTAGAGAAAAGCGCGTCCGCATCCATGCCTTCTAAGTCCCCCCACACGTCACGCATAGCCTCGTAGCACACGGGCTCCTTCAGCGGCTTCTCGGTGGCGTTACCGGTAGCCTCCAGAGCAACACGGTACGCGGTGTACTGCTTGTGCATATGCTTCAGCTACAATAGGATTAAAATGAAGTGAACTCGGTTAGCATTAACAAGTTCCTGTCAATAGTTTGTCATCATACACACCTTTGACTTGCACTGCCCTGCATCAACTTCAAGCCCTCCGAGGCGGAATGTTTCGGCAGCAAGCATTTTCCATGCCGCAGTAAGCTGCTTGGGGCTCCTCGTTCCCTGAAATCAACCTCTCATGGTATCATAGCGAAGCCGCAACAGCACTTCGGCCGCTCTCGGTGTCCAGGCAAACGACGGCTTGACGTTAGAAGCTCCTTTCAGACGAGACTTGCCTCGGCCCTGTGCTGCTTGCGGTGCGGCCGAGGCTTGCAGACGCTCGAGCATGCGAGATGGAGCGGGAGTAGGCTCTGGCGTAGCAGACATCGCCACTGATACTTGAGCTAGCGGAACAAATGTGGACGCAGTCTCGGCGCCTTCTAGCAGCAGACCTTCATCACCGGCAGATGGTGTCAGCGAGACGAGGGGCTCGGACGCTGGCGTTTCGTCATGACGTGCGGGGGGCGCAGGAACCGAAGAGCCTTGAGCAGCGGCATGTGCCACACGTGTGGCCGCACTGGTGAGGCGAGTCGGCATTTTCTCAAGTGGGGAGGAGAGCCATCCCATATCTGTCCTGTGATTGGCTTAAAATTTGTCTGGAGATGGATACATTCTCCATCTCTAGTACAACACGAACAGGCTCTTAGGCGCTGCCGCTGATGCTGGTCCTGGTCCAAGGCGAGCCGGGGTAGGGCGCTTTGCTTGAGAAGAATTACCCAATCCTCTAGCAGCAGCACCCGAGCTCTCACCAAAATGATTCTTCTTCCCCACTCGCGCTTGTTCCGCCAAAATGTTAGCCTCGAAAGGCAGAAATGACTCGAGGCTTTACCAAGCCACAAACTTAGGGACCGAACGCTGCAGTTCCTTGTTGCAGCGGCGGAACAACTCAGTGTTGACCGTGGATCTGAACGAATACGGGCGAAGTGCGTTCGCCAAGTACTCTACCGCCTTCTTCGGCTCCTCGCTGGGAAAGTCCTCCATGGCATGCTAGTCCAGGATCGCATGGAAGTCAGACAGCAGCGTTACCAAGCGCGACTCCGCGTCTTGGTACGTCGCCTTCATCTCCAACTTCTTCATGTCGGCTTGTAGCTGGGAGTAGTCACGGCGCAATGTCGTTCGTGCCGGCAGGAAATACTCCTTCCACTCCGTGTCACTGACGTCCTCCTCTGCTTTGCAGAGTTCATACGCGCAGATACGCACCAACGTCTTCTGTTCGATGCAGAGACGCAATGGCATCAGGTACACTCGCGCCGACGTTCCTGAACTTAGCGCTCTGACCCGTCTCTCGTAGACCATATACGCATCCATGAACGCCCTCATGTCTAACGTGGTCGTGCCTCTGTAGAGAGGTGGTATCGGCAGATTGGCTCCGGTAGCGATGACTGGGGCGCTGGGTGTGGGTGGCATCTCACCTTGGCCCGACATGTCCACATCAGCTTGGCCGCCTCCCTTTTCGGCGAACCACCCCCATCTTGAGCTGGCCCGCGATCCAATCTTCTCTTCGAGAGCCTCAATCTTCTTGTTTTGCACACCCATCGCCACAGAGGCCTCCTGAAGCAGCCTGTACTGCTCTGACACCGTATTGTACTGCTCCTGGAGCTGCTCTTGCATCTCATTCTGCTTCGTGTGCAGCTCGACTTGGTTTTGGTACTGGTCCTGGAACGTTTCTTGTGTCTGCCTGGCCAGCTCCATCTGCTTCATGTAGAAATGCTCTAACTGCTCACGCGTCATCTGCTGCGCCTCGGCACTCTGCCGGGCGACTGCCTGGAGTTTGCGCACGTGCTTCGACGTCCTCCACGCTTGCAGCGCGCGACCTCCTTGGGGAAGGAACCTCAACCTTCTCCTTGATCTTCATCTCTCTCTTGTCACCGCCAACCCCACTCGACGCCATCAGTGACCCTTCCGATTAGCACCCAACAGGTAGCTAAAGAATTCTTTGTTGTGTCTTGTGCTTTTCTTGACTCCCACAGTCACTTGACTTTCAGGTGGTTGATTTAGAAGTGCTCAGATAGACTCTATCCTGCTCAGCTCCTGTCGTATATCTATCCTCGCCTACTGCTGAGCTATGTAGCCCCCTGTTACCTCTGCGAATACCTTGCTTACTCGCCGTGTACTGTGGTTCTGGTCGGTCCAGGACCGCCTCGATACCACAACAGACTTGCTTGATATTGACGCCGGTTCCACTCCAGCCCTCCTCCGAAGTCGCGGAAGCCAACCAGGATGCGGCTACACAATGGGGACGAGATGACGGGGGCGAGATGACGGCGTCGATCTTGGAGGTCTTGACATGTGTGGCCGCAGAGCATAAATCACCCAGAAACCAGGAACAATGCGGCCCAAAGCCCCCGCTGCTCCGCTGGAGCAGCTCCACGAAGCGCGTTGTGTATCGGATAGCGGATAACTGGCCGTATTGTATTGGCGCTGAGGGGCTGGTTGTGCTAGGCGGAAGTACCCGTGCTGCCACACACTCATATCAGGGCAAGCCCTCGTATTGTTACGTGTGCACTTTACTACCACGCGAGTGTTGTTTCAGCCGCCACTAAGCTACGTGTTACGTGAATTAACTGCACAGCAATCTAATCTCTACAGCTTCAACCGAGCTTATGGCGCATCGTTGACACACAGACTGCGGCTGATAGCATCGCTGCCATCGTTGATCACGCGTTGAACACTTCGCCTCTGACGCGCTAAAACTACCTGTTTTGCCGCCGCAGCGGATCATGCGACTACGTGGGCACAATCCCCCGTCCTAGCTGTCTTGTCGGTCTTTTCGGTTTAGCGTCCTCCATCGTCCTTCTCGGGATATTCACAGGTCGAAGACCTGTGCTTGGCCTCGGCAAAAAACTTGTAACTTTCCAAAACCGGGTACCAAACCGGGTCTCTCTTTCTTAATTGTACCGGAATCGGGTACCCGTCAATAAATGCTAAGATTTATGCACATTATTCACCAAAGGTTGAAACTAATCGTTTATTATTTACCAAAACCTGCATTCAAATACTTACGGACGCTCCGGTACACTCACTATGAGAGCGTCATGGCTTCGCTGAAGGCAATTTGCGCCATAATCGACCAAGCTTAGCTGAAGATGACCAACGTGACTTGTCTAGGTGCAGGCTGCATTTTTTTTACATGTCAATTTGCTCAATACCCAATCACTCTTAGCCAAAGATGTCCAACCTCGTGTCTGTCGCCAAACCAATCAGCTCAACTCGACGGTGACACGAGCATCGTTCGTTTGAATAAGACTTTTTTCCCTGCGTTGAAGCAACCACTTCCAAGGAATTGGCCCATTAGCGTATTTCTCATCCCACAATTTACCCCCCCCCCCCAAGCCCTCAAGTTAAAAGTTTGTTTGTTTGTTTTGTTTTTGAATTGAGGATCATTATTGTCACTTAGCTAACATCCTCAAGTTAAAAGGTCAAGACCAGCGCACCATGCGTCTCTACTTCGTCCCGCTACTGTAGCTCTCTCGTCTGATCGTTAGCATACAAAAATGAGCACAGTATACCTTACCTGCAAAATGAATGAAATAGCTCTCTCGTTGCTGGCGCCAACGCAGCCATTGGACGCTGACCAGGGTGTTATGTCACCGATGGCCTCATCAGACCAGGCAACCTCAATTGGTGACTTTCGGTTCCTGAGAACCCACCACGATAAAGAAGAACGGGGCTTGCTGGTTACCAGCCTCACAAATGTTTGGCTGAAACATCATTTCCGTATCGATACACTTCGATGTGCGCAACTATTTGTTCAATTACGCATTCTCGGGCAGATGCTGCGGCTGCGAAGCAGGCGCAGTAGATGCCCATGTTAGAATCAACTAGAGAGTTGGGCTGGTAGTGCTTTTAAGGATTAAAAACAAAAAACTTTAGGATTTACTCAATTATTATCCATTATCATCGTCCATGAAACTATTCGTCGACCTGTGTACTCTCCCGGAGCAACGCTCCGGGTTGCCTATAAGCCGTTGAAAATTTATCTCTTGTAACATCGAATTTTGCCGATTTGTCCTCGGACAAAATACAATGTAGCCACTGGTATACTAAAACCAAGATGTAGCCAAAATGCGTTGATTGCAAAACGAAAGACGCTTTGTCTTAAGGTTCTCTGGGGCTAAGTATCGTCTTACGAAAGAGCATGAATCAACATTGGCATCGTGAACAGTGCTCACTTGGTTTTTGTATGGGGAAGGGGGTGAATCGGCCATACCAGGGGGAGCCAAAACTAAGCCTCCGATTCACCAATTGTGTGGGGGTTGAGCCGAAGCCTGAGCTTCACCTGGCTTCGCTCGTCCCGAGGTGTCGGTGTCGTCAGGGCTTTCGCAGTTCTTGCCTGGGTATGGTGGTGTCAGAGCTCGGGAAAAAATATTTTATTTTATTTTATTTTATTGAGGGGGTCCACTCGCGTCAATAAATTATTGGGCAATAAACTATTGATCATCAAGTAAACCACTAATCAGCTACCTCCCACGTTGTCTCTTTAACAAGAGAAAACGTGTAGTGGTCGTATAATTAGTCTTGAGTGCGTCCGCTACAAGCTCAGGGCCCCAAGCTTCCGTTGAACTTCAGCATCAACAGCGTCTCGAGAGTCGTAGGGTGCATAATTTGCCTGCGGTCGGTCAGGACTAGTCCCGTCCTAGAGAATAAACGTTCAACGTCGTTCGATGTCGGTGGAATCCAGCGAAGGTCGATGGACTTCAGCGTAGTGCTTTTCACCAGGCGTAGTCTCTCTGCAAAAGAGAGATTCTCACCCTCTTCATCGCCACTTGCAACGATCTCTACGAAATCGTGAGAGGGCTCGTCCACAGCAGTAGTAGAACGAGTTCTTGGACGCACTACTCTGATCTCGTACTTCGAGAGGTAGGTAGTCTTGTGGGTCACGTTGGAGGTGGTCGATCGTGTTGGTGTAGCCACCAGAGGATGACAGCTTGCACATCTTCGAGCACGGTCATCACTAGCAGCAGCCGTTTGACAGCTTCGAGTTGAGGGTTCTGGTGAGTTGCTTCGGCGTCGGGGACATGGTAGATTTCGAAATGATAGCGAGAAGAGGAGAATTACTTAACGCGTATAGCTTGGATGCCTCCGAAGCTTCTAGAAGCCCTTATCTGAGAATCTGAGAAATACTGATCACTGCGGTCGACCACAATAAATTATTTCAGTTATTTTATTGCCCAACTTTTTATTTTATTTACTGATTCCGAGCTCTGGGTGGTGCAGTCGACACCGCGGGCGTTTGGAGATTAGACGCCCCATTGCACTCGTCCCCGAAACAACCTGTGCAAAATAGTTTTATCCTGGTAGTGCTACTCTGTAGTACGAGGATTAATTCGAGGCTTCACATCTGTGGCCCACAGAAAAAGTAGGTACTGAGCCAATACAAATTCTAAGTACACAGTCCTTATAAATCTATGATTTTGTATCAATATCGATCCTATATTTTTTATGAAGGTATTTTAATTAGGTTCAGCAGGTTGGAGGCTTAAACGACAACTTACATTATGTTTACATGTATTCTGAAGAAATACGTTAACAGCATAATATTGTTCCCGGATCTGTTGAGCTATGGTAAGCTGACAAGCTATGGAATGCATGTATTACGATGACAAGGTCATATCTAGGATTAATGCTGCGTGTGACTCGCTGCAGTGGTCCCATGCCGCACTTGAACAGGCGGTGCTCATGCACCATACCCTTCTTCGCGAACGTGTCCGACCACGAGTCCTTGGCGTTGAAGCACCAGTGGGTCCGGTCCAAGCGTAGATTTTTTCGCAGCACGGCTTCCAGATACACGAGGCCTCCCACGTCATCCGTCGTTGGCACGTAGCTGGGGTCGCCGAACAACCGAGGCGGCTTCTGCAGCTCGATCTCGACCTTCGGGTTGAGGTTGAGCAGGATCAGCCACACGTGGACCAGACACCCGTGTCCTTGCTGGTCAGCACCAGCGACTGCAATGAACCCGAGGAAGTTGGCGTACAGCGGTGTCGGCTTCGGCTTCGCCCGCCGCCTTCTGCTCGCCGTGCTGCCAGCATACCGTCCAACTGCCATGGTGTGCACTTATCATCTGACCGCGTGCTTCCAGCACATCGCAGTCAGCCTAAAATCGTTTGGCAGGTCGCGATGCGCCTTGCCACGACTACCCTGCTCCTTCGTGGCGGTGCTTCCAAGACGACCGTTCTGGCGCGTTCGTGCTCCAGAATTGAAAGTATGTTCTTGCAAAACAGAGTAAATGCATCCAAAGAGTAACCGTGCTCGAATATTACGTGAACTTACTCAACAAGCGCACACGGACCGGGCGTAGGTGATGGTCTTGAACGTACGGAACGGTGCGTAGTTAGATGAATTGATAGATACTTCATGGATAGTAGATTCCGCTCACTGCAGCAACTCGCTCGGCACTAAGACAGCGAATATAGACCACAAAGGCGGGGGCTGCCTTAGGAACCGAGCGCGTTGCTACGAGAAACGAAATCTGAGGGCAGTTCCTTGAGAGTTACAGACCCATATCTCCACGCATTCTTCATAGATGCTTCAACTGATTTTTCGAGCTAATGCCTACAGTTTGTTTTGCATGTACATTTCGTATTGCCCCAAGCACACTACCAGCCCAATTCTCTAGTTGGGTCTTTTTACAGGGAGGACAGCTTTCGCTGGCTGAACAGCCTAACCAATTTTATTTCAGCGGCCGGGAGCCCCCCCCCAACTTTAATTGGCAAATGTCGCCTGAGTCCATAGTCCACAGATTATGGCTACCGTAACATCAAGGAGTTTGTACGTTTCGTGGCTGGTTGTTCCCAGAATGCCGACTGTATCCGTAGCGTGTACCACACAGTGTAGTGAATTTATGAAATTTATTCGGAAAATCATAACTAGGATAGCTGCATTTTTTCGTTACTAGCGGAGCATCACGTTCGCTGTGCTCATGTTGCTTCAGGGGGCGACATCCAAAACTATGTTGGTCACAGAGTTTTGGACGACGTCCCCACTCGAGAAATGTGTTGCTTCTCCATCCGCTTGGCTATTTTGCAAACAACATACCATCAGATCTTGTTGACGGTAGACCGGTACACTGTAGTAGGGTTCGGGACTACGAGGGAAGCTGGTGTTCCCAGGCAAACCAAAGCTCTGTTTTTGGTTTAGAGGTAAATCTCAAAGTGATCTCTGTCTGCGTCTCTGCTGCTAGCTGTCGGCTGCTTCCTGCCGACGACTCCTGCTAGACCTTCTGCCAGCGTCTTCTACCAAACCGACTTCTCTGTCGATCGCATTGGTTTTACTGTTCTCTCTATTCTACTGCCAGCTTGACGGCGTCGATCCATAGACGTCTCCCGTTGAGTGGGCTGGGGTTGCTTCCGTGAAACCCTCCACTACATATATCTGTCCTGGGGTTCGAATGTGGGCACACATTCATGTATATTCGACTATAGTGTACAACGTAATGACAGAATGTGCACTACATAGTTGCAGTGCACACTGGCACAACGAGAAGTGAATGAGGGATTAACGACATGTTTAAATTTCGTGGTGTGTTCATTTTTCAGTGTGAAAATACGAAGGTGTTAGTACTTAAGCTTTCGCGATCCATAGTGAAATGCTATCTCCAGGTGTCACCTGCACCCAGCCGCTATGGCCGATGTCGTTGCCGCGACTCTGACATGCACGGGTTTTCAAAAGTACCCGTCTACACGCGTAGGTAGATAACCTCATCAACAGCTCCTGGTTCTTCACGCTGTAGCTGGCGTGGAGTTGCTGCAGCTTGACCGCAATTGTCATCTTGTGCCGCCCCTTACGTTGCTTGCGCTTGAGGTGGGCGTGCTCCACGCTCTGTCGCCAATTCACACCGCAGGTTGAGCTGGACGAGGACTTCCTTGACTGCAACGCACAGCTGCAGACCGGGTGTTTGTAGATGCTCTCACGCTCAGTCAAGAAGTTCATCGTGCGCTGCTGGAAAAATAGCATAATCAGCCCAATGCCTTCATCCAGACCATGGTGGCATCACTGCAGCTTGACACAGTGGTATCCATATGGCACATGGACGCCGCCATACATAGAGCCATTACTGCTACCGAGAGGCACCGACACGAGCTGCGGCTCATACTGCTCGAGCTGCTCCAACTCATTGGCCAGCTCGTCATCTGCGCCTAGTCTTCAAAATAAGCAGGAGGAGATACTGTACCTGTTGCGTCCTTGTAGTTGCTACTCGACGGCACGTCACTGATACCCGGTCATCAGCACGCTAATGGTCCCCGTGTGAGTGATTCTAAATTGTGACCCTAACCCATTCGCAGAATTGATGTAAAAAGTAAAGAGGAGTGTATATAAGAGACGTAAAAACTCACTAAATCAGAGTCGCCTGATTATAGTGGGGACTTCGTCCCCAATAAGCTAACATTTACTCAACATCATTGAAATAACAACTAACGGATTGCACTGTTTCCTGCGTCTGTAAATTGACTAAACCCCATGAATCCTTCTTGTGTAAATTTGTATAGCTGGAATGCATGACCTCAACGCGCTCGGCCCCCGGCCGAGCGCGCCTTTAACTTTTTTCGTGTCTTTTGCGCGGCAATTTCGCCATTTTTTTAAAGGCGCTACACCAGGATTTGAAAACTTGCCACCAACTTTCATGTTACATTATTCTTGCCTACCCCACGTTTATAAATTTAGGTACACAAAGGAAGTCTACACTGTCCTCCCAGACCAAAGCTTCGCCTCTAGTCTGAAAATTCTATAAGAGCATCTCCAGCGGTTGGTCTCAAACACGGTTTTATCCTAAAAGTAACGCTGTTAAGACTTGACCGAGACTTAAGGCTTCCACCAGAAGGTCCTATTGCAGGTTTTAACTTCACCGGGACCTATAGATTGGCTTTCGAGTCTTAAAATAAGACCACAATCTTTAATGCCACCCATACAAAACTGAAGAGTCGCCGTATTTAAAAGATTGCACCAAGACTGAATGCAATTTTCACATGCGGGAATGGACTTATAAGCCTCGCTATAGAACTCACCGCTGGAAGTAAGTCGGTCTGCGCGGGTCTCAACTGTAAAATTGTGATCTCAAAGACCCTGCTACGTCTTAGGGTAAGACCCACCGCCTGGAGATGTTCTAAGGAGCAGTGCCCACACTGAATATCGTACTTAGTAGGAATGTTTGCGAACCTTTCAAATAGTTTGTAATCAATCGCACAGGTACTTGCGAACCATGACGGTGCCGACAGCGGCCGACACCTGCCGACACTATCGAGCATTGGTTACAATACTGAATTTCTACGATTGGTCTAAATGGCCATCTTAACACCTTGCATTTTCATTTCTCTGGCATGGTGGCGGCGCCCCTGATCGAGTTCGCACGAAGGACGGCGAGATGACCAAGGGCACGAAGGACAACAGTCCTCCCCCGCTGGCACGTGCACGGCCATCTCACACACGGACGCGCGGTGCCCGTACCCGGCCACGGACGCGTCGGGCCAGTGCTCGCACCCGCGCGAATGGCGCGCGTCATGGCGCTTGCCTCCAAGCCGAAGGCCCCGAAGCCTGCGACCACCAAGGGCACGGCGGAAGATAGATGCACCAAGTGCGTGGAGGTCGGCGGAGGGCAACAGCGAGGGGTGGGAGGAGGAGGAGAAGGAAGACGAGGAGGGAGGACGCCCGATAGGAAGCCTGTGCCTGGCGGCCACCCACTCGTCACGCTGCAGGCAGCAGCAGCAGCACGCGGAGCTGCAGAGCCAACCCAGGACCACGCCCCCACAGCAGTAGCCGCCCTCGTCCCAGTACCGCCATTACAACCAGCAGCACCCGAAGCAGCAGCGCGGCGGCTGCGAGTTGTCGATCGCCAGGTGCGGCGGAGGGCACGCTCGCTGATGTCGAGCTTGGGGGGGACTCCTCCCGGAGGGGGTACTGCTGCTACTGGTGGCGCGACTGGTGCCGCCGCCGCTGCATGGTGGGATGGCGCTTTCTACAGGCGCGGCGTTGCTTAGTGCTGTAGTATATTGCACGAATAGTATGTATATAACAGTGAATATTTCTAATTCTTGTACCACTTTAAACTCTCAACTGCTGCGGAATCACTTACATGTATTGACGGCGGTACCTTAGCGGCAGTGGCCATAGTGTCACCAACAATGCCTCACCCAAAGCAGCTTTCTATATGACACAATGCTGCTTCGGGAATAGCGTTGCCGAGAAACTCGGTTGAATTTGTAGAGCAAGTGAAAGCGTCACACAAAACGCTTCGAACAGGCAAACAGAAGCAATACAAAGTCAAAGTAAAGTGTCGGCACCGTGCAAAATATGTGTATGATCACCTTATTACTTAACTTTACTATAGGTGGATAACATATCTCGACAGCCCTGCCTACATTATACGTCGGCAGGAGTGTCGGCGGCTCATACACCTACCCCTAACGTTGATGATTGGATAAAATACCATCTATCGCCCTTCTCATTCGATAATAATCGGTCATCACCATTTGATTGGACCATGGCCATCATACAGTGGCTAAGTATAAAATCATATGTGTCGGCACCGTCACGATATTTATCCTTATTTTCCTATTTTCAGCCAATCCCTGCTCTTCAACCTCCCCTCTAAGTACGCGGCTTAATTGGTTGCCACGCAGCGCACTTTAGCTTCCTGCCGCTTCAAGCTCAAGTGCCATGAGCGACCACGACCAGCACCAGCAGCAAGAGCTCCACCCGCAGGAGCACGAGCACGAGCACGAGCACGATCAAGAGCAGGACCATGACACCGACACGACACCTAAGAAGGCCAAGCAGGGCTCGGGCAAGCGCCTGAACGACAACCAGCGCGTGGAGATCATCCAGATCGCCGAGAACAGCAAGATCTCCAAACGCCAGCTGGCCGAGAAGTTCGGCGTAAGCGAGGCGGCCATCCGCAAGCTTCTGCTCAAGAAGGACGAGGTGCTCAAGCGCTACTACGAGACGCCCGAGGAGCTGCGCGGCCTGCGGCTGCGCGGCAAGAGCGTGCGCTACGGGAACGCGGCGCAGGGCTTGGACGAGGCCAAGGCCGTGGCGGCCGCTTACAACGGCAAGACGACGACGACCAGCCACACGCTTGGGGTCCCCGCGCACATGTACAGCAACAGCAAGAGCCTGTACCCTCCCGACGACCCGTGGAAGCACGGACTAAACGCTATGCTAGGCAAGGTCTCGCCGTTCCTCAAGGGGTTCACGCAGAACAACAGGGGGCAGCTGGACTCAGTCAATGTGCTGGATGCAGCGCTGGCTGCGTCGGCTGACCAGGCCGCTGTGGAGGGGTCGATTGGTGTTGAGGATGCCGCCGGTGAGGTGGACTGGATTGGCTTCTCGCGCATGCTGCGCGACGTCCGACGCGCCATTCACAGGTACCCGGAGACGGGGTACCAGGAAGTGCGCACGCAGGCGTTTATCAAGCGGTTCTGCGAGCAGGCGCTGCATATCCCGGGCAAGAACATTCGCGAGATGGCGCTTACGGGACTTGTAGTGGACGTCTGCCGTGACAACGCTACCATTTCGTCATCGGACAAGCGCAAGCTGCCTGTGATCGCGTTCCGTGCGGACATGGACGCCCTGCCGATTGAAGAGCTGAACGAACACTTGCCTTACTGCTCCACGCAGAAGAAGGGGCGAAAGGAGCTTCGCAAGCGCAAGAAGCGGAAAACCTCGAGTCCGCAGTCTTCGCCACCGAAGGCTAAAGAAGATGATGAGGACCTCCAAGCACCGCCCGAACCTGCGCCGTGCTGCGTTGTGAGCACCGACGAGAATATGAGCGCTCCGGCGACGACACTTCCAGCGCCGTCGACTATCACCACACAGACGGTTGGCGCTCCACCCGCGCCCGGCGCCACGGCTGATGATGATGACAGTGAATTCCAGATTTCTACTGCTGCAGCACACATGTGCGGCCACGATGGCCACATGGCCATGGTACTTGGACTCTGCGCTCTGGTGGTGCGTAACGCGCACTTGCTGCCCGAGGATACGTTCGTGCGTTTCATTTTCCAGCCTGCTGAAGAGGGCCCCGGAGGAGCTATGAAGATGATCGAGGATGGCGCTCTCATCGATGTGGACGAGGTTTACGGGGTACATAATGCACCTTTCCCTTTGAACAGCATTCACGTTCGTCCTGGAGCTGTTATGGCGCACGAAGTGGAGTTCTCCATCGACATTCACGGCATTGGAGGCCACGGGTCCGCCCCGCAGCAGTGCGTGGATCCGATTCTAACCGGCGCGGCCGTGGTGCAGGCGCTGCAATCTGTTGTGAGCCGCTCGCTGTCGCCAATGGACACGGCCGTGGTCTCTGTGACGCAGTTCCGCGGTGGCGACGCCAACAACGTGATCCCGTCCAGCGCGTATCTCGCCGGAACCATTCGCGACTTCGACCTCCAGATCGCTGAGAAGATCAAGAGCCGCGTGGCCACGTTGGTCCACTCAACGTGTGCAGCTTACGGCGCCACAGCCAGCGTGCACTTCCTGGACGGTTACGCTCCTGTGATCAACCCGCCCGTGGAAACTCGCAACGTGCAGCAGGTCGCCATGGACATGGGGCTGTTCGTGAGTGAGGAGGGGTTGCCGCTCATGGCCGCCGAGGACTTTTCCTACTTCCTGCAGGAGCGCAAGGGCTGCTACTTCTTCCTGGGCACGAAGGAAACAGGCGACGAAGACAAGACGCGTGCGCTGCACTCGAACCACTACGACTTCAACGACAAGGCCATCCCGGCCGGCATCCGCTTGTTCCTGGGCATCCTGCAGTCCCGCTTCAACTGCGAGCTGTACAGCCTCGAGGAGATGCAGGCCTTCCAGGTGGCCATGGAGCGTATCATGATCAACGTGAGCGCCGTTCTTTAACCCACAAGTAGACACAGGTGGACATCTGAATGGACCATTTTACTGTAAATCGTCCAGCTCTCATGATCCGTATGATTGGCGGAAATCCCGACAATAATTGGCGGCCGCACAATATATTGTTGGCGTCTAGCAAAGTGTAGCATCATGGCGGACCGGAAGCTCAGCGGGCGGCAGATAACGGAGCTCTTCTACACGGAAGTGGACCGCGCGCCGTCTGTCGGTGTGGTCGAAGAGGAAGCGGATCCGGCCACCTTGTTCCGCTGCAAGTGCGGCAAGACGCGCACCCAGAGGCTCAAGCACGGATACTCCAACCTGGTGCAGCACGTGCTAGTCAAGCACCCGGAGTGGGTGACGGCTGCCACGCGCGAGGCACATCCGAGTCCCGTTCCTGCCGTGGCCAACAGCGTCAAATCGCCATCGCCGAAGAAGAATGGCAAGGCTAAGGCGCAAGCAGCGGGGGCGGACGACAGTGACGCAGAGACCAATGAAACAGCGCTGGATAGCAACGAAACCGTCTCCGAGTTGAGTGAGGACGAAGTTAAGACTGCGGTGAAGGCTGAGAGCTCGACTGAGCCCAAGTCGGTGGTGCAGAAACGATCGGACTACTTGTCGTGGGACGACTACTTCATGAGCGTGGCGTTCCTCAGTGCAATGCGCTCGAAAGGTTGGATACGGGAGATTTGGTGATGGAAGTTGAAGTGGATGGCGTTCTGATAACCTTTATGTGTCTTTTTTTTCAGATCCGTCGACTCAAGTTGGGGCATGGTGAGCGCTGCTGTATTGCTTGTCATGGGGGGTTGCTGTAGGTGATGACGGTTCCATTTGTGGTTTGGGGGCTTAGCATCGTCAACCCCGAGCGAAAGATCGTAGGAATTGGGTACAATGGTTTCCCGAATGGATGCGGCGATGACGAGTTACCCTGGGCTCGCGAAAGTGAGACCAACTCGCCGCTTGACACGAAGTACCCGGTAAGACTGCTTGAGTCGACGTCGTCTTCTGGTCTGTTCTGATGCTAACTTTTGTCGAATTTCAGTATGTTTGTCATGCAGAGATGAACGCGATTTTGAACAAGAACTCCACCGACGTGAAAGGATGCACGGTAAAGACACCTTGCTAATTGCTGCAATGTGGATTCATGTCAAGCATGCCGACTAATTCTTCTCAAACTTGTACGCACAGATTTACGTGGCGCTTTTCCCTTGCAATGAATGCGCCAAGCTGATCATTCAAGTACGCAAACGCGCTTGCCTTACCGCGTTCATTGTTACCTGGATCGATCTCTAACTGTATTCGTGTGCGTTCAGAGCGGCATCTCACGAGTCGTGTACTGCTCCGACAAGTACAACCAAGAGTACGTGCTTGAAGTGTTGGAAGACGGACGTAAAGGCCGATCTCTAACCGTGTTTTGCTGACTCACCTGCAGTTGGAAGTTCGTGGCGTCACGCCGACTCTTGGACATGGCCGGTGTGCAGTACACGCAGCACAGGCTCCAGCTCTCGAAGGTCGTCATCGACTTCACCTCCGTTCAATAGAGGAACAGCGCTCCAATCCTCAGGGGTCCCTTCAAACAACGTCAAGTTAAGCGTGGACACAACTGGAAGAGTCACAGTGTTCGACATTCACAATATATTGCCATCCGCCCTACAACCGGGGAACTGTGTAGAAAGCCAAAGACTACAGGATGGCTATTAACAAAGCAGTGCTCTCAGTCGGCGTCAGCTTACTCGGCGGACTCCCACTGCGACACAACGTCGTTGGAGATGGTGCCGCTGCTGAAGTCGAAGTCGTCCGCGCCGAGCTCAATGACCTTGACGCCGTAGTCCTGGTCAATGATGGTCACGTACGTGGTGGGGCCGTCCGTCGGGCGCTGGGAGAACTTGTCGTTGCCCGGGTTGTACGTGCCGTCGTAGAAGTAGTAGTGCGTGGCACAGTAGCTCGTGTCCTTCTCCAGCACCTCGGCGATGTCGAGCTCACCGCATCCGCCGGCGGGGCCCGTGCCACGGCAGTTGCAGCCGTACTGGCCCGAGTGGGTCACCTGGTCGGGCAGCATCCAGATAGCGGGCACGTTGGGCGCACCGCCCTCCTCCATGGACACCTTGGTCAGGAAGATCTTCTTGCCGCCGCTCCATCCAGCGTAGGCCGTGCCGTCCGTGTCGTAGGCGCCCTCGCACTCGACGTCGACGCCGCACTGTTTGTCGGTCATGATGTGCACCTCCGCACCCGTGTTCTCCGAAGCCACGATGGACTGGCCGCCGGGGTTCGAGGCCGCAGCAAGCACGCCACCGAAGGCCGTGGGCTCCTTGGCGGTGCCCGTGCCATCGGCCTCGCAGAAGCCCTCGGGCGAGCCGGCGCCCGAGTAGTCGATGTTCTCGTTGTTGAGGAAGACCATGTTGGCGACGGCGCCGCCCTTCTCGTAGGACGAGACCTTGCTCCACGTGCCGTTGGTGCCGTCAAACACGGCGATGTTGTAGATGGTCATGGGGCCGCGGAAGGCGACCGTGACGCCCGTGTCAAGGGGCGACACGGGGCTCGACGTCGTCACGGAGGACTTGGAGCATGACGCGATGTTGGTCACCTGGTCGTACGAGCCGGGGCCACCGCAGTTCTCGCCCGTGTACGAGTACGCGTTCGAGACGGTGCCGGTCGTCGACTGCTCGCCGCCAGCGATGGTTGCCTGCTGCGTGGTCTGCTGCGTGGCGTCCGAGCCGGCCGCCGAGGTGCTGGCCTCACCGTCCACGCTGCTCTGCTGCTGCTGCTGAGCGTTGCTGCCGTCGTCCTGCGTCACGGGGGCCTCGGTCTCAGCGGCCGGGGCGTCCGTTGTCTGGGCCACAGGGGCCTCAGTCTCGGGGACAACAGGGGCCTCAGTGGCAGTCGTGGCGGCGGGCGTGACGGCCGGGACCGGGTCCATATCGCAGAGCTTGCCGGCGCCGGCCGACACAGCGCCGGCCATGGCCGCGGCCAACAGGAACATGCCGTAGACCTTCATGGTTGGTAGTGAGTTAGGTGAACTGAGTACTGAGCTGTGTCTGCTTGCCGTAGGCCAAGCAAATTGTCGAGTGAGACAACGGAAAAGGCTGGGCAAGCCAAGCGTATCAAAAGCTGGATAAGAACCAGAGGAAGGCGGGGTGAGGAATCCAGACGCTGGGCGTGCAGAGGCTCGGCCGAGTGCGCACAAGCAGACAAGGAGGACGTGCAGTCGGTGCTGCCAGTCGATACAGGCTGTATCATACAGCGGCCAAGTCAGAGGGGGGAACATTGTTCCCGAACAAGGGCAACATGCATGCCCTTGCGCTGTCCGAGCCCATATGCTGGTCGCCGACTAGACAACTGAAACCGTATGTCTGTCGCGTGTGGACACCAAAGCTTGCATGGGTACAACCTTTCACGTGCGAAGGGACGTCTTGGCAACACTCTTTGCTGCAAGACGCCGCCCTCGTCAGCGTCCTATGCTGCACCGTGCTGCACTCGACGGCATCGCCACGCCGAGCGGGCGCTCGCATCTCAGGCAATGGCCGAGTCTATCCACTTGGCAACGATATGAAAGGCATGGCGATCCTTGAGTTGCTGCTGCCTCTGCGCCCGCATCGGAGGCCTGCGTTAGGAATGGGAGCTCTGGCGTGTGGCGGTGCTGTTTGGGACAGTCTGGCGACTGCGAGCACGCCAACTCGGCGTCACGCACTCGCTTTGAGTTGCTGGGCCCGGCATGGTCTCGGTGGGAAGCTCAGCTGATCCCTCACACCGCGAGATACAGCCGCAAGTCGCTCGTTACTTACATGTATGAGCGCTACACCCTCTGCGAGGTCTCCTTTGGAGGTGGCACCGTGCGTGCGGTGCTGGCTGCGTTGCGCGCTGCTGTTATGCGGAGCTCTTTCGCAAGTCGACAAAGGGCGACGTGTGCACGACGGCGGGGTCTGTACACAGGTAAAGTCCGACGCGATTCGCGCGATTTGGCGAACCGATGCGCGATCTTTTCGGTTTCGGTAGACGTGCAAGTTGAAGTGGAACAGCATGAATGACTTGCCAGAGTTTAACTCTGGCTCTGAGTTAGCCATGTTGTCTGACTACAGTAACTGGTCCTCCCAGAGCTGTATTTGTAACGACGCGCTTGGTAAAGACAAGAAGCCCTATGGGCAGCCCTCTTACGTGGTCTACAGGTGACGGGCACGGACACTGGCGAGCGCCTCCTTCTCTGGGATCTACACCTTGTAGTCCACAGCAGCGTCGATGCGATCCTTGATCTCCGGCGTGATCTTGTCCACGAAGCGAATGGCCTCCAGGTTCTCGTCCAGTTCGTTCCTCGAGCGTGCGCCGATCATCACGGTAGACGCGTTGGGGTTCGAGACGCACCATGCGATCGACATCTGCGCGAGCGAGCAGCCCAGCTTGTCCGCGATCTTCTGCAGCTCGAAGGTCTTCTCAACACGCTCACGGAAGTCGGGCACCATGTTGTTGTAGAGCTCCAACGTAAAGCGAGATCCCTCGGGCGAGCCGGTCGTGTACTTGCCAGACAGCACGCCGTAGCCCAGCGGCGAGTACGTCGTCAAGCCCAGCTTGTACTTCTTGAACAGGTCCAGGAACCCATACTACGGTCGAAGATGTTGTACTTGGGCTGCTCCACCACAGGACGGATCAGGCCCAAGCGGTCGGCGATCTCGCACGCCTCGTGGATGTCTGCAGGCATCCACTGGCTGGTTCCCCAGTAGAAGGCCCAGCCCTGCTCGATCACGTAGTTCATGGCACGGACGGTCTCCTCGATGGGAGTGAAGTCGTCGGGGCGGTGACAGAAGACAACGTCGACGTAGTCGAGCTGAAGGCGCTTGAGCGAGGCCTTGAGGCCCTCCACGATGTGCTTGCGACTCAGTCCTTGATCGTTCGGACCGGTTTTGGTGCCAACGTGGATCTTGGTCGAAATGACCAGGTCTTCACGCGACCAGACTCCTTCCTTGACGCCCTTTTGAATGGCGCGACCCACAATCTCCTCGGACTTGCCTCCGATGTAGCACTCGGCGTTGTCGTAGTAGTTGACGCCGTTCTTGAACGCGTGGGTCATGATGTCGTACCAAGCAGCGTCGGTGCATCGGCCGTCCCAGGTCATCCAAGCGCCAAGAGAGACCAAAAGACCAGAGTTACCGAGGAAACGGTAGGTCATCTTGACAGGGTCGGCAGCGCTCATGGTTAGTGTTGGTGTTGCGTCGGTAGGAAGGGAACTTGGAAAGTGATGTTCTTTCTTGGCGAGAATGCTATTGACGATCGGCGCGTTTGATGGAGTGGCGCGTTGATGCGCCGCAAAATATTATGCACTTGCGGGGATTATGGTGACCAATGCAAGTTGTCTGGTGAGACAGCGTGCCCTCATTATCAAGATTATGCAGTCCACCGCCCAGCTAGCAGCTTGAAATCTACCATACACTGGGAGGAAAAGATCTATCGACAGCGACGGAACCCAGCAGTAAATTTCATGCGAGTGCCTCGACCTCGCCGTAATAATTTGCATCCTGAAGCTGTACCATTGGCAATAGGTTATGGTCTACGAGGTCTCCTCCTCTGTCGCTCCACTCGTCACGCGATAGCAATCGTCGATTTACCACGCTGCATGCACCTTGTCCAGTTCTGGGCTAGCACAGCGCCACTCCACTTCGTTTTGACTGGAGCGGACCAAATTATAGCGGTGGGACCAACCCGCCCCACCTTTCCAACGAACGACGCCAGCTCTTCAGAACGACATGTCCTTGTGTGCCTTAATGTCCTCCTCACTGTACACCAATTTTTCTCGCAGTCCTGCGATCGCCGTGATGACTTTGAACTTGGCCCGAATGCGCAGCAGCTCCTGCACCATGTCCTCATCCACCAAATTCTGTCCAAACACCGACACCACCTTAGCGTATAGCGCCTCGAAGTAGCCTCTCCTCATCGACGCACCTTCAGCTCGAACGCCTCCAGGAGCGCACCGAACGAAGCCACCGACTTGGCGGCTCGAGCTCTGAGCACCAACCAAATTCACATCAATCGTTATGGCACTTCCACACCCTGCCACACAGCTTTGAACGCCGCCACTTTACGGGAGTTTGCTCTTGTGCTCTTCACTTTGCAGCATGTGGTTCCACACGGCGTAGCAGCCCTGGTAGAAGCCCAGCTCGCTGCCGATCTCGGCGCCCTTCATGACGCTGGCATAAGAGACAGGTTGAGTTGAGTGCCTCCACGGGTGACAGGCTGACGGCGCTGTACCCACCCGAGCTCGCGGCCTTCCTCGATGCCCAGCTCGCGCCCGCGCTCCATGCCCATGGCCTCGCCCTGCGCCACGAGCGTCTCCTCGTAGCCGGAGATGGCGTCGAAGGCGTCCGCGATGTCCATGGCCGCTGTGCTCTGCTCTGCTCTGATAATGCGCTTTAGTGACGTCGACGTGCGTTACTATACAAACGCTAAGAGCGGTTTGACTGGAGCACAGAAGAGCTCCTCGATCTTGCACGGTCGCAATGCGCGTCGGTCAACGCTCCGCCAGGATGGCAACACACGGCACGAGGAGAGTTCTCTTTCTCCAAGACAAGCGTCTACTAACTCAGTGCTATGAGCACCGATCTACTTCAGCCCACGAGCACCGATCTCCCCTCTTGCACTCGACCCCACGGCTGGTGGAGCAGCAGAGACAGCAGAAGCGGAGGACTCACGAGGACCACATGCACCGGGGCCATACGTTGGCGCGCTTTGTCATAGCAGGTAAAGCTGGAGGATACGCCGCGGCAAGATTGCGGCAAGATGGCATTTTGTAGCCATGTGCCGCATGGCGACGTTGAACGTTGAACTTGCACAAGAATTTCAGCGCCGAAAAAGCTGGTCTGCCAGCAGCAGCGTGGTGCTACTGTTGCTGCCGGACCCCGATGCATCCTTCCTAGTCAGGGGGCCATGCTTGGAGGCATATCGCCATGGCGAGGACGTCCTTGCCTCCATCTAAGCAGCGAAAAGCAGCGGCAACTGGGGTGTACGCCCGCAACCCTTCTCTGTCAACCGGCGCCAAGAATAGCAGCAGCCCAGCTGCAACACGTTCGTGGGTGCCTTTTCCTCGCCGTTTCACGGGCGGAGTCTCCACCGGAAGCGAACGCGGGCCACGAGACCACGCGGGTTTGCAAGGAAAAGCGCTGTCTTAATAGTATAACCGTGGTAATTAAGGGGCTGCTAGAGTACAGGCGTCGAGCGCGCAGGCAGCGTCAAACTAATAGGGGGGGGGGGGAGGGGAGGGCCTCACTGGGCTTGTTGCCGCTGCTGCTGCTGGGCCTCGACGGCGGCGGCGGTGAGCGGCTGCACGGTCTTGACGAAGCGGCCTTTGACGCGCGGGCGGGCGTTGGCCAGCGTCTTGCGCACGCCGTAGCGCACCTTGTGCTGCGACAGCCTGCGCGCGCGCTTGGCCATGTACTTCTGCAGCAGCACGCGGCGCGCCGCGGGCGTGTAGGCGCCGATCATCTTGACGGGCTCCGAGATGTAGTCGAGCCGCAGCGGCGTCAGGTCGCGGTTGTGCACGCTCGTGGGGCTCACCTCGTCGGCGCGCTTGCCCTTCTTGAGGGGCGATGCCTCCACGTCCGAGTCCTCCGAGCTGGGCGTCGTGTAGCCGTCCGAGGCCGTGTCCGTGTGCGCGGCGGCGTCCAGCAGGCTCAGCGGCTCGGCCTTCTGCCACTCCATGACCACGCTCAGGAACAGCTCCTGCGAGCTCAGGCGCGCGCGCGACAGCGGCCGGATGGGCACCTCGATCTTGGGCAGCGGCTCGACGGCGCCGGCGTCGGCGCGCAGCCAGCCGCTCGGGCGGCGCAGCACGGGCAGCGACGGCAGCGGCGGCTCCATCTCGCGGCTGCGCTTGCGGGACAGCAGCATGTTCATCGTCATCGCGGGGCTAGACAACAGGCTGAGGGCTTCGGGCTTGGGCGTTTCGGCGGAAAAGTGATTGTGTGGTGCTCGCAGCGAAACGCGGGCTGTTTGGCTCGCAAGCGACGTTTCCTGCCGCTCCGCAGGTGCGCACTGTGGATCAACAGCGGTCGAGCCGTGCGACTATAGGGCCACGTCGCGGCGTTTTTCGCTGCCAAACGTGCCCGACGCGAGTTGTTTGGACGGACGCTGTCAGCTCTCTGACTTTTTTCAAACTTGCAGTTTTTTCTCCTTTGAAAAAAAAAGCCGAAGGGAAAAAGTTGCTGGAGAAGCGCGAAACGGCGCTCGCGTGCCTTCAACGCCTTATCCGGGGGCGCTATATGCATCTCGAGCCAACGTAGCGAAGCAGGCGAGGAATTTTCCAGGTATTGGTCGTTGCGCCGAGTGATGTCTGTCGACCAGCGGACCTCTCTAAGACGACGAACCAGTTGCGTCGCGATGGAACAGATAGATGTGATCGACCGAGCACGAATGCAGTAAATACACGACTCGATGCTTGCAGTTTTCTCGCTATTTCTTTCGCTAGAAGTTTTTGAAGTCCTTCAGACGCAATAGTCGATAAGATTATGATTAACGTTACCTATTCGATATTGCAGTTGTAGTTGACCTACCCCTTTTTACATGGAGCCATATTTATAGCGTCTTTCGTTTTTACTTGGTCTTTGTATGGTGGCATATGGCGGCACGCGTCGCTTCGGGATCCAATCCGCGCTGCCCCGGTTCTGACTCGATTTTTTCTGCTTGGGCACACAAAGCACGGGCGATGGCAAGATGCAGCGCGTTGCATGCTAAAGCGCGCAGCCGTTCGCGATGGCGCTGGCTGGCGGCGAATACATGCACATGTGCGCAAAAGACAAAGACCCGCGGCAGTCGCCGACGACCAGCAGCGACGCCGCTCGCTAAAAAGAACGCCGCGCGGCGGAGCTGCACGCTGAAGGATTTGATGCGATACGTACGTACTTCGGGCGCCACGACTCGTGGCACGAGGGCCCCACACTTGAGTAGGTCCATCACGGTGCTGGTGTCGACACTCCACCGCTGCACACGAAAGTGCCGGCGGCCCATCAACTCCAACGTGGCTCCATGAACCGCAGTGCGCTGCTCTTCAAGGCCGGAACTTCGGGCCGCGCTGGCCGTTGAGCCGAGCCGGCCGAGGCTGCACATCTTACTCACAGCATTAATTCACTCGCGCGCACAGCCGCACACGTGCAAAGATGTCCTGCAAAAAATGGCTGGCGGCGCGCCGCACGCTTGCTGGTCACCAGCCTGTGGCGGACATGTGACGCAGGCCTCTGCAACACTATAGACGCGCATGGTCCGCATAGAAGCCGCCGAGCCCCAGCTGTCAGCGACTCGCTAAAGACTCGCCAGCGGCTCGTACCAATTCGCTGGTCGGGGACTGGTGACGCACTTGCTCGCCCGTGCGAGTGTCGGCACACCCGAGGTCTGCAACGTGCGGTGATAGATGTGGGGCCAGCGTGCGCGTGTCAAGAGCGAAGTGACGCGACGAAGCCAAAGCAATCGCAGCGATTATCGCTTCTTGTCTGGGCGCTTCGGCATGCATAGCGCGGGCAAGCTGCTCGGCAGCCCCGCGCGCTTAAAGACGCTGGTGCCGTGGTCGCGAAAGCTGGCGGCCAGCTTACCGAAGTATCCGAGCTGCATCTTGATGGTCACCCGTCCCATTTCGCCAATATGTCCTCGATCGTTGTTCGGGATTTAACAGCTCCAAGTTGCACTACATGTATTAATACTCCGAGCTTGGTTGGAATGCACTGATCCGGCGCAGCAGTTGCAGCATGCGCTGCTATCGAAATGGAGATTGGCCGTGCATCGTGTTGAACACGTGCCTGGATACAGTTTGTAACCTTATTGTGAATAGGCCCGGTTGCTTTCACAACCTGCGCGGGAACATGACGCAATTGGCCTCTATCGTGGCATCTCCACTGGCAGCAAACCAAATAAAACGTTAGTTCACTGCAGCACTCGTCATCTTTCACTTCACACACACAGTATCCGTACCCCGTCCAGGCGCTTCTCATGAAGCTACAGGGACCATGAACCAAAAGGATCTCCGTCATTTTTTCGGAGTTGTCAGCCAAGAAGCCCGTCGCGGGGACAGCAATACTACTAGTAACTGGGTCGACAGCTCGAAGTAAATTGTCCACGGCCGGAGGTGCGGAGGTCCCGATAGAAGGAACTTCTGTATCGCCTATCTTTGCCTTAACTTCGGCCCCTGCACAACATCAAAACTCGGCCGAAGATAGTGGTTACATTTGGCGGCTCGTGTACACTTGGATAAACTATAGTTGGATATTCGTACCCCCAGTAACTTCGTCCCGAAGCTGGGATTGGCTGAAAAAGAAAATAGGAAGGGACTAGGAGGCGGCTCACACAGTGGGGACACTCGCGGGCTCGGTGGTGTTCGCAGACTCGGTGGCGCTTGAGGAGATGGTGGGTGGCTTTATAGTTGGTGTGCTCGTGGACTCGTGGCGCTCATGTTCTTGTTGGTGCTCGCAGACTCGCTGGTGGTGCTCATATAGCTGGTGATGCGTTCGGAGCTGGAGTTTTTGCGGGGCTCGCGGACGTGGTGGTGCTCGTGCAGTTAGTGACGCTCTTGGACTCGGTGGCGCTCGCGGACGTTACTCAGTGGTGCTCGTGGTGATCTCGAAGCTCGCTCGTGGTGTACACAGAGCTGGAGGGGCTCATGTAGATGGTTGTGGGTGTGATCTCGGTGGTGCTCGTGGACACTGTGGTGCTCGCGAACTCGTCGGTGCTCTCGGACTCTTGGAGATCGAGGTACACTCGGAGCTGGTGGGCTCATGTAGCTGGTGGTGGCCGTGGGCTCGGTCGTGCTCGCGGACTTGTTGGTGCTCACGGGGCGTGCGATGTTCTTGGAGCTTGTGGTGCTCGTGGCCTCAGTGATGCTCGTGTAGCTCATGTCGCACTCGGAGCTCGTGCTGCCCTCCCAGCTCATGGCGCACTTGGAGCTCGTGCTGCCCTCCCAGCTCATGGCGCACTTGGAGCTCGTACTGCTCCTGGAGATCGGGCTGCTGTCAGACCTCGTGGGGCACTCCGAGCTCGTGCTGCTCTCGGAATTAGTCTGTGGTGCTCGCGGATGCAGCGTTGTTTTCGGAGCTCGTGGTGCACTCCGATCTGGCGGTGCTCATGTCGTTGAAGCTGGTGGTGCTCTGGTGCATCGAAGGTGGCATGACGTGTATTCAAGTTGTGTAATCCCAACTTGACCAAGAGGCCTCCAACTATCTCACTCATGCTGCTAAGAACCGGATACGCGGTAGTGAGCGAAACGCCGCCCGCTGCTGATCAGTTAGCTCACCCCAGGCTTTGATTATACCGGTAAGTTTTCCAGAGCGACGGCGCTTGCGCTGTGTTCCTTCTTTTGCATCAGCAGCTTTGGTAAAGCCATTGACTAACACTGTTTCGCACTGACTTGCCATGTTTTTCATTGCAGATACCCATTGAACCCTGTCCACCTCTCGCGATAATGCAGGAACTGGTGGGATGCTGGCTAAGTCGGCAACGTAGGCAACGATTTTAACAGCTCGAAGGCAATCCTTCTGCCCGCGATTTCCTCGTTCCTTTGGAATAGAACCCAGGACTTCTGTGTAGAACTGGACGAGAACATCGGAGAGATGCCTACCCTTCAGCTTCGTCAAGCTAGTGGGCCACGCCTTACCAAGATGAGGGGATCGCAACGAGAGCCCGCCAGAAACTTCAGCATCTGGACTACCTTCCGTCGCGTTGGTGGAGGAAGCGTTGCCTTCTGGTTGACGATCAAGCCGTCGAAGCTCAAGATGTAGCATGCTCCTGAGCTCCTCATTGGAGGTCACCAGCTGCTGGTGTCCTATGAGTAGCCGTTCCAGCGTTTCGGCAAAGGTATGGAATCCAACAAACTGCTCTGCTTGCTCCTGGATTGTAAGGCTGTCTCCAACATGTTGTATCGGAAGTGAAAGGATGTTGTCGGTGACAAAGCGTTTGCGAATCTTGCTTCCCCAGTCAAGCAGCTCATCCTGACATTCAAGCTGCGAGTGCAGAGTGGAATGTACCCGCTCCAGTTCTTGGTGGACGATGTGTTGCGGTGCGACAGCAAGCGTGTCGCGGTAGTATATCAGCAGAGTCGCGGTAAGACAGTCCGCGAAACCTTTCGGTGCGATCTTGGAGAAGTGAAGCAACCGTAGTGCTTGAGCAAATGTACTGACCCTTGTGAATGTCTGATGTGATTCTTTTTCGAAACAGGCAAGCGTAGGCGGGTGACCAGCCTGCTTAGTGTCCACCCACCCTCCGAGCACCTTTGCAACGTTCTGGTCGCTAGCCGTCGTCGGCGATATGTATTCGAGTAAGGTAGCAAATCCATCCATGGACCAGAGCCCCCGGTGGACCAAATCAGCCAGGTTGACGCTAGCGTTGGAGCTTGCATGCGCTGCGCCACCTCGACGCGCTGAGTGTGACTGTAGGCTTTGCGTCAGCTCTCGCTTTGTGTCGTACTGATACACCGATTCTAACACTCGATTAATGTATGCAGCCACACGCTCGTCTGTTGTAGCTTCAGTCACTTGCGAGAACACACGCGGCGAGGTATTGTATGGGTCAGCAACCAGCTGAGAAGCCAACGTGTGAAAGGGATCGATGTTCCAGCAAATCGGAGAGCAAAAATTGAGATAGTCTGTTGCTGCTGCACCTTGGTGCTATTGAAGCAGCACACAGGTCAATTACTTATTACAATGCTAAAGCCAAAGTATATGCACGTACCGTGTCAGATCAATGAGAAGAAAACTACCATGCCAGTGCAAGTCCGTAAAGTGTAGCATTCCTACGTCGGAGCTACGACCAACTGCAAGCCACTGGTTGTTAAGAAGAGTGCGGTCGAGTAGCGCCTTCTTATCGTCTTTGAGAAATAGTATGGTTGATATTGAGCGAAGATCATCAATTGTCATGGGTGGAGCTTGGTTCTTCAGCTTTTTGCCTTCCGAGATGGCAAGCATGAGATATTGCTTTTGCAAATGGCGTCGGCAACGCCGATACCACTCGGGGTCACTGCGGAACAGGTCCGTTCCCGTTTTCTCCTCCAGTTGTCTCTTGATAGAGCTCAGATAGTTCATCGATGTTTGCCAGTGGATGTCAGGATCATTGAACAGAAAGGTAAGGAGCTTACCAAGCATTTCCTTAGTGACCTGTGCTGCCCTCAGCGTCTCCATAGTCAGGTTGGTGTCTACGTGTTTTTTCAAGAAGGTGTTGAATTTCGCACGGGCTGAAGAATCTTGTTTTCTAGAAGAAGGCCCCAACTCGCTCTCCATCAAGTCCACGATGGCTTCGACATCTGCCCCACGCTCCATTGTCGGCGTGGTGCTGCGAGCAGTTTTATCAAACGCCCTTTCACATGTTACTAGAATGGTGCTCTAATGTTGCTCGAACTTTACACTTATCTTCGGCGACGACGTTAAACAAATACACTACTGTAACTTCTGTAACATTGGAACTTGTAACAACGGGTGTGGGTGTAACTGGGCTGCTTGGCGCCGAATCAGACTCAGAACTAGGCGCGGGGCTTGCTGGTGCCTCCACGGGTGTTTCCGATGCTGGCTCGGACAGACTCAGCGACAGTCGGGCGTAAGGTTTACCGGTACGCTCGTAGCTGGAGAACAAGTGGCGGAACTCCGGCGGCAAGCTGTCGCAGCCGCGCATGTGCTGGCGCCAGCGGTCTTTGCTCCGCGACGTGAACAGCTTGCTGTAGTGGCGGCATCGGGTCGTGCGCGTCTTGCCCTTGCCGTCGTGCACCACGTGCTCCTCGATCACGCCCATGGCTGTAAACTAACGTGTAACAATACCATACTGAAATCAAGTGAAGTGTAAACTTTGTGTATAAATACATGAATTTGTGTTCGTCACACACAATATCTTTCGAAGGCACAAAAAGAGGCTATCTATCTGTCTGAGCTGCAAGTAAACTCCGGATCCGATAGCTTCCTCATTGCTTCTGTAATGGCAAAAAAGTACGAGTGATGCTTGACAACGTTAGTGGCCAGGATTGTCGACTCCTTGGTAGCAGCGAGCGCAAACTGGTCCGCTGCCGCAACGAAAGTCATAGCATCCAGCTCTTCATAGTTCAGCCCCGTCATCTCCACAAACTTGCGGATACGGAAATCTCGAGGCAACTTGCCCACAGTCACTCCTTCAGGCGACTCAACCGTGTCACCGTCCACGACATCTGCGTTGAGCTCCGAGTCGGCCGTCATACTACGGCGATTCCAGTTCGCCGACCCGATGGACAGGTACACGTCGTCGATGATGACAAGTTTGGTGTGGATGCAGAGGCCCAGCTCTGCTTTGGTGGTGTAGATCTTGAACTTGTTCGGGTACTTGGATCGGATAGGCTCGACGTTTTGGTACAGGTACTTGATGTACCCTGCATTTGAGAAGGCATTCGTCTGCTCCTTCGTCACCACGATCAGGCGTTGGATCTTCGGCATCACCTCCATCAACGCATCAAGCAGCTCTGGCACCAGGACGAAATACTGGTCCTCGACGTAGATGAAGTTCTTGGCGTTCTTGATGGCTTTGAGGCGTGCTTTAAACAGCGAAATTTCACCTTTTGGTGCAAACTCCTTGTAATGTTTATACTTGCAGCTCAAATTTCGCGTGATTTGGATGCTCTGGTTGCCGAGTTTGGATGTCGTGTTGCTGCTAGTGAGATCTTCGTACAGTGGGTTCTTGAAGCCAAGAAGATCGTCGTCCAATCCTCGACAAGGTAAATAATCCGAATTCCATCGTGCCAAGAAATTGTTGGCCACGTCTTTGGCAGCAGGACCGTGGATGCGAAGGGATCCATCTACCCAGCCCTTATGTTGGCACGTGATGTTTGCCGCGTCACGGATGGCTGCGTTGTTGTGGTAAATGGTGTCCCATCGATCGTTGGCGAGGTCAATCCCGCCCACATACGCCACCGGCTGATCGTCTTCGTCTTTTGAAATGTTCGCAGCGATCACCAGCGTCTTTTGGTGGTGCGAAGCGATCAAGTTGACGCGGTCATCGAAAATGTACTGGGCCTTGGCTCCATTGTTCGGCGACTTTGGGATGCTGTTGATGGCGTCGTGCGCCTTGATGTTGTAGGGCATGTATCCGCCTGCAATGCTCGCCCAGCCCAATATGTTGGCGTCCCCTCCTCTCTCCACAATGCCAGCGAAAAATTCCTTGAAACCGGACTTGGCGCCTGTAGGGTCGACATCGGGCTTGAGCGGGACGACAGCTGCGAGCCATGTGGCTAACATGACTCGGTCTCCCTCCTTGGTCGTGCTCAAATCGTCGTAGACGGCGTTGTAGAACTCATTCGTCACTGTATAGGACGTCACCTTGTTACCAGTCGTGTAAACCGACATATCGCTACGCGGGATTCCGCCCCGCGACTCGGTAATTTCCTGCTCAGTGAGGAACCATGCCTCGGCATCCAAGAGAGGCTGCTACGGTTTGAGATCTGTGCCATTGGAGAGGTTAGCTTCGGTGTTGCTTCCTGCGCCTTGTTGACCTCTTGAGTTGTCGTCGTCGTTGTTGTTGTTGCCGAACCAAGACGTAAAGGAGAATGCCGACACAGAAACCGGCGCCAAGACTTGTACGCAAATCGAGGCGAGGACTAGAGCATGCATCGCTCTCGTCCAAGTGTTTTTCATCGTAACCTGTGAATATCAAAGTGATCCGGCCTGGGCCATGACGCGGCATTGTGAGCGGACCTCGTCTCTAGAACCAGGCTTACGGGCAAAGCTGAGCTTGCTACGGGTCCTAAACGCTGGACGCCTACCATATACAGTCAAACCTGTTTATATGATCCTCTCTATTTGAGCCATGCCGTTTATTTGATGCAGGCTTTGTCGCTACCAAATATTTCACTTAGTTTTTGTATGATCTCTGTTTATATGCATACAAGGTATATGAGTCACATTTTTGAGGACCAAATTAGGTCTCACCTGTATATTTGATTCACACTGCTCACGGCCACACACTCTTCAAAGCACCACTGCTCAACACTCAACGCCTACCGCAAGCCTTCTTCGCTCGCCATGTCTCCTCGCACCTGTCTGACGCTAGAACAAAAGCTCCAAGTGCACCTAAAGCTCAAGCAGAATCCTGGCATGAACAACCCCATGCTCGACGAGTGGATCTACGCAACTTTCAGGGCCCGGGTCAGCCGTGCCACACTCGCCCGACTGCGCAACCTGCCTTCTTCCTACTTCAGCCACGTCGACCAGAGTACGACCAAGCGGCGCCGAGTGAAATTCCCTCAGTTCGAGCGGGAACTGAGGGAATTTTTCTTTCAGAACGAAGCTAAAACGGCGATGGCGGACGACGTGCTCCTGCTGAAGGCGCATGAGCTGGGGAGCGTTTAGGAGGAAGAGGAGGAACAGGAACCCGCAGTTCAACCTGCCATTGCTCTGAGACACTGTATGGAGCTGGCTACATTTCTGCTGCAATGCGGAGAGCAGACTGACAGAGAACGAAGAGCTTTACAGACCGTGACCGCTTTGGTTCGAGAGACTACGGTGAAGGCAAAGCGGCAGCGACATATGCACGATTTCTTTACGTGAACCACATAATTATTTTAACTGAGTCCATTTTATATGAGTCATTGTAGTAGATGGTCACCAACAGGGCCTCATATAAACAGGTTTGACTGTATACATTAACGGGCTGTCATAGTTGCAGCAGGTATGTCAGGCCTTAAAAAAGATATATGTTGGCATATCGCTAAAAGCATCTACCACAAATGCCTTACATCGAGCATCTGTGTCCGTGTGGAAGTGCCCTGAATCAGGCAATAACAGCAGGCAATTAGAATGTACCCGTCACTTTGCCACGGACATCACTTACGTCAGGAAGCTTCTAGATTTCGCCACTTTTGAATTTGGCGCGCGTCGGACACGAGGATACACGCCGAGGACGCCGATGCGCTGCTGGTGCTCGCCAGCACCATCCTCGAGCAAGACGAGGAGCTGCATGACGCTCGCAGAGAGGTGTACCGCGCCCTGGTGGGGGAGGCTTGGAAGATCGCTATGCGCAGCAGGCACTACCTGACCACCCAGTGCCTGGATACTCCGCCTGGATGATGGTGTACAAGTACGGCAGCGACGTGAACTTCCTGAACACGACAAGTTGGACCAGGTGCGATCTATATTAACTGTTTACCATGCTGCTATTCTCTATCTGACATGCAATGCTGTAGGTCGGCTTTCAACCAGCTCCTGCAGCGGTTTACCCACTTCTACTACATTCCGCGCCACACGACACGCGGGCGTCCAACCAAGCTGAAGCACCACCACCAGGTGTTCGGCCTCGTGCTCTGCTTCTATGTCGGCTCGATGGAGCAAAGCTCCCTTTGCATGCTGTTTGGGGTCCCGCCAAGTACGCTGTCGCGGACGCTTGCGCGCGCCGAGAAAGCACTGGCGCAGGCGCTAAGCGGATACGCCCCCGCACGGATCTCGTGGCCGTCCCCAGCTCGCCAAGCCGAGTTGGCAAAGCTGGTGGAGGCTCGCGAACCACTTCTCAAACACACTTTTGGGTTTATTGATGGGAAGAACTTCCGGGTAAGTTTCATTTGAAATCATTATTTGCTTTGCTAAGAATGCTGCACGCTAACAACTACTGCACTGTAGGTCCAGCAGCCGTCGAATGCGGATCTGCAAAATGCCATGTACAACGGGTGGCTTCACACCGTGTTCGCGACTGGCACGATCTGCTTTGTCGCCGACGGCTTTATCATTTGGAGTAAGCACAATTGTCCCGGGTCGTGGAACGACTCGGACACCTCGCTTGGCTTCCGCGCCAAGTTGCTCGACCCCGCGTACTGCCCAGATACGCGTATGAACGTGGTGCCGGACTCCGCTTTTCCATGATCGACTGCCATGGTGGGACGCATCCTGACGCCTCTCAAAGACGGCGACCTGGAGAGAATTCGGCCGTCGCTCAGGAGCTCCGCGCGAACGCTCCACAATGCAATCACTTCTGTACGGCAGGCGGCTGAGTGGGGCATGGACAGCATGCAGAAGGTGTACAGCCGCCTCAACCTCCCCCGGCCGTACGACCCCAACATCCGCGGGCGCAGAATCAGCAACGTGTTCAGAATGGCTAACTACCGTGTGCGCACGGTCGGCATCTCGCAGATTCGAACGACGTTCTCGGGCGAAATGGAGCTGCCGCCGTCAAGCGAGTAGGAGCCTAGCTAATGATGTTTGTGTTTGTAAGATGTGAACAATACATTTCTCTTTGTCGTTGTATTGTGCCTTAGCTGATGTTGACTCTGTAAGGCGCGATCAATATGTTTCTCTCCGAAGGTGAGTTGAGCGCTTTCGCTGTCTGCGTTGTCATCAACCGCCTTCTGCATGAACTGCATTTGCTGATCGTGATTGCTACAATTGACTAGAATGTGATGACTGAGAAGCGAACACTGCAATGAGCTTGCGACATGATAATGAACAACACATTCGATTTGAAGGCTTAGCAGTAAGTGACGAACAACTACAAATTCAATGTGAATGGCTAGCCTCGCTCAAGTGAGCCAATCTCGTCATTAGGCGCGAACTCTGGCGCGGGCTTACTGCGATGCGCCTTTTCGTCGATGGGTGCGAAAATCGGCGTGAGCCGAACGAGCTTCAACACAGCGCTGTAGGCACGAAGTACATGCGCGAGCTACATGCACTCACGTCGGCCTGCAACGTAGATGCAACTCAGCCAACGTCAGCCAAAGGAGACTCGAACTCTTCTCATCAATGCAATCTTCATTTGTTCACATTACGCACCTATACAAATATCAACACACCTATCGCCTTGCACGCGCCTTTGTCTTGCTCGCTCTTCTGTCTTCCTTTCTCCTTCGCACCCTTACGGATCTTGAGCATCTTGGAGATGGCGATGGCGGCATCTGTCCGATCCGCATCGGCAGACGAACCACAGGTCGTCGCCATAATCGACCGTCACCTCTTGGCCCTGACGAATGTCTTCCGTGCTCGCCACGACAACGGTGGTGCGGCGTCCGTTGGAGACCTCAACAAACTTCGCCAGCGCCTCGCAAGAGTGCTTTACGAACCGCATGAGGCCGCCCAGGTTCTCTGCATTGATCGCCACACGGACGGGGTGCGTGGGCCTCTCTGGCTGCATCTTCATCACCAAACGATACCCGTTGTTGCGCGGTCAATTCGCGCGAGAAGCGCTGACGTGCTCCATCTCGCCGAGGTATTGACCGAGGACTTCTCCAGCTTCAATGGCCTCAGCGGCGACCACTCCGAGCGTCTTTGTGCGCACATCTTCCCCAGGTAGATCTTGTTCGACTCGCCCAGCGCGTTCCCACAGAGGCCTCTGTAGGGGCAACAATTGATGTTGCAATACAGGTGCATGCGCGAGTTGCGGCAGGAGTCCACGCGGCACGGCGACGGGCAGTCGCACCACCCGAAGTGTGGCACCGCCGGAAAGACCGTCGCCAATGGATTGAACTGCTCGCGGAGGTGGGCCACGTGATATGGCCACCGAGCTGGCACGAACTGATCACGTGGCCGCTGTGCTTGCGGTGGCTAGCGGCGCACCACATCCGAGCTGGCGCTTATCGATCCACGTGGGTCGACGGCGGGTCGATCCGGACGCTGAGGCACCGACGGGCGACGGCTGTACGGCGCAGCAGCCTCACGCTGCGCACGACGTCCTTCTTGGCGGGGCTGAAGCGCCTTGCGTGGTATTGGGCGCGCCGGCGACGTTGGCGGCGTCTCCAGCAAAATTGGCGACGCCGTCGTGGGGTTGGCGCTTGGACGGGTTCTCGGCGGCGACGACGCAGGTGGGGGTGTTGCCTCCGGGCTTGGCGGTCGATTCGTCACTGCCTTGGAGCGGCGCTGGCACTTCTCCGGCGACATCCATGGAGGAGTCGCGGTGCCAGTGGAGCTGGCGCAGTCTCTGGCGGGCTGCTCGCTGCGCTTGCTGCCTTGGGTGCGCTGCGGGCTTGCCTGGACGTTGGGCGGCGTGTTTTCGTCCTCGCTGGACGTGTCGAAGATGCAGCGAAGCTGCCAGTGAGTAGCGGAATGGGTGAGGCGCACCATAGCCTGCACGCACACAACAGGTGAGTCCTCGTGATCACCGGCAACAGTCCTTTGGCTACAAGCAACCACACCTTTCGAAGCGGAGCTCTGCTGTCGACTTACTGCTGTCGGAGGCAAATTCGCAATGACCGTCGTTTCGATCCGTCGGAAGATATATGCAACGCGAAAAGCCCACAGAGTGAAGTTTACATATGTAGGAGTGATGGTCAGCCTAAACTATACAAATTGCAAGTCAAACCTTTATGATGGCTACACGACATATATCTAGGGGTAGGGCGGCTTGTTGACACCAGATCTGGGCCCCGGGAGATTTATGCGCCGAGTATGCCAGGCATACTTGCTGCAACTATGACAGCCCGTTAATGCATATATGGTAGGCGTCCACTGTCCTCTCAATCACATTGACAATGAATTACCGTATTTTAGGTATCATACTCAGAGAAATCAAAGCGATAGTGCATTTGCGACAGAATATGACCATTTTTGGCAAGAAAGATCCAAAAATATGCACAAAAAGGGTGAAATAGTGCAAAGGCAATACAACAACACAACTTCAAGAATATGATGTATGTAGTATCCGCAGTTCGTAAGAACTGTCGTTTGCGGAATCCCGTTAAAGCAACGTTAAGTTGTGACATGACTGTAGCTAAAACGACTTTAAGCGACCTTAAAATCGCTGTAGGCACCCTAATGTTGCAACTCCAAAGACCCTGAATATGCAATCAAATCCCAAGATCCTTAAGTCGTCTGGGCAGCAACTTAAGGAGGATGGATGTCACGAGAGCCAAATCCCCAAAACGGTCGTTAAAGTCAAAAGGAACGCGCGTAGTTTTGGCAATATGAAAGCTCTAGAGGTATGTTTGAGCTCGATGAATCGATCTAGGCCACCCTTATAGGCCCTATGCGTTTGAACGGTGTTCAGAGTTTGCAGGCATGATTGAATGAAGATAGTTGTTTAGTGAATCGTCAAGAGTTCATTCACCCTCTCTGCGATCTCAAGAGTGATGGTAATCTGATTAAAGTCGTAATAACTACTTCGGTCGTTTGCGCCCCTGCGGATGTTTGAGATAATGCAACATAAGGTTTTATGTTGCATTATCGGTTAAAGAGCTATTTGAAACAACAGCAATGACAGTTGTACAGCAATTGTATTACAGCATAGCAGCGCAAACTCCGATTCATTACAGCTCAAAGCATGCTTTCGGCGACAAGCTAACCAGGCAGCAGCAATAATAAAGAGGGGTGATCAGTCAATCAATGCAATTTGTGAGGAATCGACCGAATCGGGGCAGCAAGCGAGCAATAGATAGGTCGCCGTCGTATCGGCTAAGTTAGTTTAGGCATGTGGCTGTCATTTCGAAGATACGATATCTGTATGTACATGTCGGACGCCACAGCAGCAGCAACTATAAACCGTCGTTGAGTAAAACAAAATTATCGCTATTGATTAATGGTCGTGGGTGCAGACTGTTTGTTGAGAGTCGACTTTGAAGTGAGGGGACCTAAACGGCATTGAAATCAGTATAGCAATTCTACAAAATCAAGTTGCAGGCGTCAAATTAGACATATAGCCCGAATAACCCCAGAAAATAAACACATTATACATTCAACATGAACCGAAGCTCAGTCTGGCAGCTTGAAGCTGTGCAGTATGTACCATGAATAGCAGTAACGCTAGTGTGAGTGAAATGAAATTTGCGGTTATGACGGCTGACTACGCCCGTCGCCGCGCACTGCTGCAGCGCCGCATACGGGGACTCCCGCGGTAGCAGCCCAATAGTGTGAGTTCACGTAGATCCGCCACGGCAGATCAAGCAGCGTAAGCCATCCAGCAAATTGACGCATGATATCTCACAGTACAAAAATAAGAGCAAGCGCTAAAATTCAAGAACGTCTTCATGCAACGCTCTTCTGCGGCAAGCATAGCGCTACTACATATAGTAAATAAAGTTTTTAACTGTGCAGGTTTTGGAATACAGTAAAAAAAGACCGAACTGCGAACACTGCGGGCCAAAGCCCGCAAACCAGTGAGATCTCAAATACGGTACCGAATTGGAGATTTCCTAAAGCAGAGCTTTCTCCTAAATGACACCCTCACATAGCCAATCATATTGAGCCGTTCATACAGCTCGCTGATCGAGATCTCCTAGATGGCAGCACCTAATGCACCTAAACAGTGCTGAAAAAGCCAGTCATTTTGCAAAGAGCGAGCAGGATGCCGCAATCCCCCGGCCAGCGCCAAGGCAGGGCACTGACTTCCGGCACGGGGAAGGCTTCCAGCGAGTAGCGGTGTCCTACCGCTTTAAGCTGGAGGTTATCCAGTTCTATGAAGAGCCTAGCACCATGTCTGTATGTGACGGGGCACACAGCACTTCTTAACAGAGGAAGCAGGAGTATACAAACTCCAAGTGAACAGCCGTTCACGTGTCCCTGGTCTGAAGGGGACGACTTGACTTGAAAAGCGGTAGATCTAAGACCGAATGTATTTATAGGTTGGTACAGATTTGGCCTGCATACAAATCCTAAGTTCCCTATAGTTTGTGTCATACAAAATGTATCTGTTGGCTCTGAGGCCACTTGGGTCACTATCCAGGGGAGTGACCGATGTTGCCATCCCGGAATAGTGACAGGGTCACTATTCCATGTAACCCCGTTACATCCTCCCCCACTTAGATTCGATCTTATCGACCAATCAGAGCGAGGTTAAGCCGGCGACTCACATTTCACTCGTAAAGTCGAAATCCATCGACAATGGCGCGAGCTCTGGCGCCTCGGCTCCCGGGCCTCACAGAGCAACTGGCGCATCGCCGAGCAAGCCGCAGGGTCTCCACGTCGACCGGAAGCATGCCTCCAAAGCGCAGTGCGCGCAGTGCGAAAGCACCTCCGAAACCGCGGGCCGTAGGGCCGAAGACCAGGGCGGCCAAGGCCAAGGACGAGTCGTCCGCGCTGATGGAGGCCACGAAGGCGGCCGAGGAGGTGGTGCGCTCTCGTAGCGGCACGCTGGAGAGTGGCCGTCAGGCCGGGGCTCGGAGCAAGTCTCCTGACGCCGCGCAAGGCAAGGAGGAGAGTCCTCGGGGCCATAAAAACCCGGCTCGCGACTGGGAAGCCGCCGTCTTTGACTGCACGATGGTCCAGTACTCCGGTGAGAGTTCACCCGACGACGAGAACGTCTCGGAGGGCAGCACGAACGCTGCCGAAGGCACGGAGCTGGCGGCAGGCGACATGACCAACGCCTCGGCCGACGCAAAGGCCTCGTCAGAGAAGGAGGCGGAGGACGCCGAGTCCGGCTCAGGCGACAGCAAGCAGTCGCACGACGAAGTCGCCATGGCCGACGCTGGGGTCGTGGCCGAGAAGTCGCCGAGCGACGCGGGCTCCAAGCCCAAGGAGGTGCTGGCATCCAAGCATCTGACGCTGGCACAAGGTCGTGAGCGTGCCCAAGCGTCGAAAGCGGCTGCCGCTGCGAAGGCCGCCGAGACCAAGGCGAAGAAGCGTTCAGCTTCCAGGTCGCCTCGCGGCTCCAGCTCCAAGCTGTTCATCGACTCGGAGTCTGAGGACGGGGAGGGTGCCGTCCACGAGCCCAAGGAGCTCTCCAACAACCTCGACGAGCAGCAGCAGCAATATCACGCTGCTAGCTCGGGTGCGTATGCCAGGCAGCCGACTGCCACGACTACCATCGAGTCTTCTTCAGGCGGGGATCCCACGTACCCGCAGGGCTACTTCCCGCCCGAGCCTGGCACTGGTGCGCCAGCGCTGTTGGAGAAGCTCTCGGTTCCTCGTGGCCTTATCGGCGGGTACACCTCGAGGGGTTCCTATGAGCGTGCTCTTGTTGAGAAAGAGCCACTCTTTCTTAGCGACGTTGAAGTCGCCCGGTGTGTGCTACTAGCACCACACAAGCTCACACTGAAGGAGTTCACCACGCTTCGCAAGAAGCCGGAGGACAAGGGTGGACTCCATCCTGTGTGGGGTTTCCACTGGGTCAAGCCGAATGACAACATGACCTGGAGCGAGGTGGAAGACCTCTTCTGGCGCTACGTCCAGCGCAAAGGGTATTCCGACCAAGAGTTCAAAGAACTCCGTGAGGATCGCACTCTGTCCGCAATCCTGGACGTGCGCGAGCTCCGCATCGAGTTCGCTCAACTCGTGAGCAAGCGCAAGCTCCACTCGAAGATGGACGAGCTGAAGCAAGAGGCTAGAGCCAAGCTCGTGAAGAGCGTGGGCGTGGTGCGACTACGTCTGCTACCGTGCCCCGGGTACCGGCCAAGAAGCCAATGACTACTTACGAAGCTGCCGCTGCTTCTCGTCCCATATCGCAACAGCCTTCGCGCAGTCTGCCTGGAGCTGCTCAACGGGCTCCCACGAGTTATCCGACTCAGGGTAACCCCTCCACTTCACGAGCAGCTGGCGCTTGCCATGGAGCCGCCGCTCCCGGACGACTCGTTCCACGTGGTAGTAGACCTGCCCATTACGATCAAGGAGGGCCGGGGGTGGCCTCGCACGGCCATGGCTACGAGCCTGAGGCGACGCAGCCGTATGCTGGGGCCCCGAGTCAGGTGGTGGCCCTGCAGCAAGAGAAGATTCGTCTTCTCCGGGACCGTGTGTACGTCCTCGAGATCGCGCTTGGCGTCGCCCTTGGTGGCGAGGCTGCCGCTCGTGCTGGTCAGCCTGGTGCCGTGGAGCGGCTCCGTGAGGATGTTGCCTCGCTCTATCAAGAAACTCGCAGTCTCCATGGCCGTGTGGATCGTCGAGCCGACCTGTCGTCTTACGACTCGCTGCGAAACCAGCTCGCTGGTCTTCGGGCCGAGCTTCATGGCCACGCGCCGTCTCCGGAGCAGCAGCAGCCCCACTCGTATCAGGCCCAGTTTGGCCAGGGCTCGTACGGGGCCCCTGCGTATGCTGCTCCGATGTACGCCGCGCCGTCTTACGACCAGCGCGCGTATCAGGCGCCTTACCGCGACCCGACGCCGCGCTTCGAGGAGCTGCGCTCTTCTCCACCGGGCCACCCACCGCTTCCTGCGGGGTAGCCAGAGCCAGAGGGTCATGGTACCTCTTAAGACGACCCACGTAAAACGTCGGGTGAGTCGTCATAGACTTGGGCAAGTCTATGGTGTACGCCGCGCCATGCCGGCTGAGGACCGTGAAGGGTCCAATGAAGCGGTGCTTCATCTTGTTGCTCTCGACCGAGCTAACAGTGTTTAGCGGTAGGTTTCTAGTATCTAGGAGAACTAAATCCCCAACCTTAAACACGTTCATGTTTCCTCTTCCATTTCGGTCAGAGTACTCCTTCTGTTTATCTTGGGTTTGCGCCATGGTGTCTCGCACCCTGCTGATTATGTTCAGCCTGTCTTCGGCAAACGAGGACAGTTGCTTCCGCAAGGTGGCTGGACTCACGTCCGAGACTTGGGAGGAAAAGGTTTTCCGAGCCTCTCCCCCACTTAGGACGGAAGCCCCGGTACTGCCTCGTAATGTGAGCGGCACCTGAGGGTGGCGCAACCCGTTCAGGTAAAAGGGCGTAAAGCCCGTCGATGCATATACCGCATTGTTGAGTGCGAACTCAACCATGGGCAAGCGATCAGCCCAAGAGTGGGGCATCTCCGCGCAGATACTGCGGAGCGTGTCTTCGAGCACGCGATTGACGCGCTCCGTCTGGCCATCCGTCTGCGGGTGGTCCGCCGTCGACATCGACAGTCGTGTGCCGAGAAGGCGAAATAGCGTCTGCCAGAACGTAGCGGTGAACCGCTGGTCTCGATCAGAGACAATGGTCTCGGGCAGACCGTGGTGTCGGAAGACACAGTCCATGAACAGGCGAGCGACCTCGTCGCCAGTGACGGTGTCACGAACTGGAGCAAAGTGGACCATCTTGCTCAGACGGCACACAAAGACAACAACACCAGTGTTGCCACAGTCATCGGCCGGAAGTCCGAAGACAAAGTCGAGACTCATCGACTTCCAGCAGTCCGCTGGGACCGGCAGGCTCTGCAATGGTGCCGAGGCGTGACCGGCAGGCTTCACGCGCTGGCATGTCTCGCACGTACGGACGTAGGTGGCGACCCACTTGTACATGTGACGCCACCAAAACATCTGCGAGGCAGACGCGTACGTCTTCTTACGGCCGAGATGGCCACTGGATGGAGCGTCGTGCGCCTCCATCAGGATGTCGTACTTGAGATCCTCGTCGTTGGGCACGACAATACGGGGAGGATCCTCGGGCTCGACCCTATAGTGGAGCAAACCGTCAGCCCACTCATAGCGGTGCAGCCTTGCACGTTGTCGGGGCGTGAGCCACTCGACCTTGGCTTCCGAGCCAGCGGCCAAGAACCGCACAAGAGGTCCGAGACTGGCATCGTCCTCCACGGCTGCCTCAGCGGTGACCGCCACGATCCTTGACGCATTCCACGACCTCCTCCTCCACTGCCGCTCGCTCTGCCTCCACTCTTCGACTCCTGCTCGACCTCCCTCCTTTCTGCAGCGTCATCGCGGCCTGCCTCACTCTCTCCACCTCCTCCTCCTCCTACGCCTCCCCCTCCTCGGCCACCACCACCACCACTGCCGCCGCCAACGACGACGCCCGTCCGTCCGTCGTGCCCTTGGAGCCTCTGCTGTCCTTCGTACTCTTGAGCTCCTCGCCTTCCCCCGCGCTCTTGGTGCCCCCCCCGGTGCCTGCTGCCCCTCGCCCTTGTGTCGTGGGTGCCCTGGTCCTCCTCGCTCTCGACTGGCTCCGAGGGCACAGGCTGAGCACGCCGACGTGCCGGGCTTGCCACGAACCGTCTTGGGTGACCTGCTCACGCCTGTGCACGCCCGTATGACACGCATGCGAAGCCTGGAGGGGAGGGCGTAGCGCAGGTCACGGGGCGCCCGCATGACACGCATGCGAAGCCTGGAGGGGAGGGCATTGCGCTCAGGAGCGCCGCCATTATGACCACCACGAAATGAAAATGCGAGAAGGGTTCAAAATAGCCGTTTTAGACCAATCAAACAAATTCAGACTTTTAACCAATGATAGATTGTGTCGGCAGGTGGAATGGTATCAGATACCTCGTACCGGTTTAGAACCTCTGCCGCGCGCCAAAACGACGAGGCGCTCGATCAAAGGTCTCATTCCTCAATTTCCAGCTCCAGCAGCAGCAGCCTCCTCCTCTCCTCTCTCCAAGCTTCTACTCGACTTGAACCATGTCTGGACGCGGCAAAGGCGGCAAGGGACTCGGCAAGGGCGGCGCCAAGCGTCACCGCAAGGTTCTTCGCGACAACATCCAGGGCATCACCAAGCCGGCCATCCGCCGTCTCGCTCGCCGTGGTGGAGTGAAGCGCATCTCCGGCCTCATCTACGAGGAGACGCGCGGCGTGCTCAAGGTCTTCCTGGAGAACGTCATCCGCGACTCGGTCACGTACACGGAGCACGCGCGCCGCAAGACCGTGACGGCCATGGACGTCGTGTACGCGCTCAAGCGCCAGGGACGCACCCTCTACGGCTTCGGCGGATAAGCGCGGTAAGCGAGGCTTATTGACTGCATTTTGCAATCTGGGCAGACAACTCTATTTTGTAGTATCGGCTGGCTTTAGCTAGACTTTGCTGCGTGGGGCGCCAGCCCCAAACTCTACCACTGGTGTTTTTTAACACCACCCTTTTCAAAGGAATCCAAAGTGTTTGCATAATGCGCAACGCGGAACCAACGAAGTGATGTCATGGCCCCCAAGTTGTGTGCTTATGAACTGAACTGAAGTGATGTCATGGCCCCCGAGTTGTGTGCTTATGAACTGAACAGCAAGTTTAATTGCAGCTCGTTGCTATTCCTGTAACCCCGCTCAAGTGAGTCGCAGCGTTAGGAAACACTGGATATCAGAACCGAAGGAAAGAACTAGCATCTTGTCCCGACCTTGGAATCGTCTTATTACTGTAGGATAAGTAGTATTTGGCCGGAAACCCGACCCTTATAATAAGCTTGCCACCTCGCTGTAGCCAATCAGCGATTTGTTTCTTATCATCTGGCAATTACTGTATGAAGCGGTTCTGCGATGAAGAATCAAGCGACTCGAACATGTACAACGGCGATACTTGGTCAAGTAAAATCACAAAGCTATGCTATCATAAGTTACTATGTCCTGCTTTCAGAGCGTAAAGTGATCTCGCGCTTTCAGCAGAAAATGGAGATGGGGTCTTCAGTATGCGTCCGCTTCATCGGTCGTGGTATCTGCGGTGACCACGAGCTTGACAGGCTCTGCGGTAGCCAGGAGCTTCAGTCGTTCAATGCGCGACGTCAACAGCGGATGGGAGGTGTCAGCCAAGTAATTGCCGCGCTCGTCGATCATCCACGTGTTGAGCACCGAGCGCAACTCGCAGTTGCGAGACAGCCTCCTCTGGAAGCAGTTGATGCCGCCACGAGCGAAGCCGCTTTCAGCAGCTACCTGGTCGGCTTCGTGCTCCAATTTCCAGGACAGATACCAGTTACCGCCGACGATACCCAGCACTCCGACAATGCCTGCGACCAACTTGTTCGGAATCTTGTGGATGGCGATACAACTGCCAACAAGTGACGTCGGTAGGAAGGCACCCGTGTACATGGAGTGGTTCTTGGCGATATGTGCGCTTTCGTGAGCCAGGACAAAGTCGATCTCGTCTCGCTTGGGAATGTCGTACTTCTCGTGCAGGTGAGCCGGCGCGTGGAAGGCGTCGTACAGCTCCATGGGCAACACGATACACGCACCGCGGCGACCGACGGTAAGGTTGGCTCCCATGGATGCTCCAGCAGTCTCCTCACCAACTCGAATCGAAATCCGCTCCGGGTTCTTGACGCCGACACGGGCCGCGATTTTGCGTACGTTGATGGCGAATGGGTCCTTCCGGTCGAGCTCATGGGAATCCAGTCCCTGTGCCAGTCGCAGTGAGTGCGTACTCGTGGGCTCCGCAATGGGGTACGACGCGTACCCGTAAATGAGCAGCGCCGACGCGCCGATGAACCGCTTCGAGTACAGAGCTGTCGACATGAGTCTGATCGCCGCTCGCGTGGCCGATTTCCAAATGGGCTCCGCATCGCCGGGCACTCGACGAGGATCCATGCGCATGGTGCTGGCTGCTTGAGCTTGGTACGGGATATCTACGGCTTTCCTGTTGCGGCGGTCCACTGCGTGTGTCTTTGCCTCTCGCCTCCAAACGACGGCGGATTTGTATGCTGCTTGCCTTCGCTTGCCTATGCTGCCGATGCCCGCAGATATCCTTTAGCAACTGCGCTCTGCCACGCTTGAGGAGCGACGGGAACAAGTCGATGCTGGGGATTTGGAGGCTGGTGACCTCGCTGCTGCTGGTGGCGAGGAGGTTCCGAGCTGGGAATTCGGTTGTGGCCCATGAAGTCCTGCGCAGCGCGCAATGACGCACGTCGCCCAATTGTAGCCACAGAAATTGCATTGACCAGGGAAAACGGTCAGCCTGCTGATTGGCTGAAAATACAACGGCGCGCGCAGATTGGCGGATGAAGCGTGTCACAAAACCGTTGGACTGTAGCCATCTCGGTGGTCGGCACATGTACCGGGGTGTCTGTTCGGCGTATGGACAGCAGAACATCGACATCTTGATAAGACTACACGTGGCGAAAGTCCTGTTTGCCGTTCTTGCAATACGGGCAGTGTTTCTCGGGATCGTAGTCTGGGGAGCTTCGGTCCTCTTCAGTCAGCGGACTGCGGCACACGAAGCAGGAGGTGACGGCCGCCTCTGTCAGATCAGGCTTGAGCGCCACGCGGTCGTCGAAGATGTAGCAGTCGCCCTTGTAGTGCGCACCCCCAACCTTCTCAAAGTACTTCAAAATCCCTCCGTCGAGCTGGTAAACCTCCTTGTGGCCTTCGTTCAGCAACGCATACGACGCCTTCTCGCAACGCACGCCGCCGGTGCAAAACATCACGATGGGTTTCTCCTTCGGCACTTGCTGCAGCTGTGTCCGCGCTTCGTTGGGAAACGCACGAAAGCTCTTGATGTCCAGGTATACGGCGTTTTCGAACGTGCCCAAGCGGACTTCATAGTCGTTTCTGAAGCACAGCCACCATCAGTCCATCCATACGTCAATCCATGGAGCTCAAGGCCTCTATACTCCGATGCTCAGCAGACCCACCTTGTATCTAACACAATCATGTCTTTGCCGTCATCCATCCACGTCTTGAACTCTTCGGCCGAAATGTGAGCGGCCAGTCCGTCCACCGCTGGGTTCACCTGCTCCATTCCCATCGAGATGACCTCCTTCTTGATCTTCACCAGCATCCTCGGCAGCGTCATTCGCTCAGAATACGAGTCCTTGAACTCCAGTCCACGGATGTCTGAGTGCAGCGCAGCAATAGCGGCCTTCATGGCCTCCACTGCGTCCGACGTCCCTGACAGCCGGACGTTCACCCCTTCGGACGACAACAAGATCGTGCCGCGCAGCTTCTCCTCGCCGAACTGTGCTGCAACCTGCAGCAGCTGCTGCCTGAGCTCCGGCAGTCGCTCCGCGGTGAACACGCAGAAGCCATAGGCCGACGTGTTCACATACGCCGCCTTCGCGGACTCCGTGGTCGCCATCGTCGTTTTCTAGCCTCTCGTTTGACACGGCCCTCAATTAGAGGTATCTGCGGTACAACTTCAAGCTGTTCGTCTTTCAGAGATCGTGATGACCTGCATAAAAAAACCCGGCGAGTTGTACCGCACACTCATCACTTCCCAAAAATCGTCAAACCCCCCAGTTCTTGAGCGAAATGAGCCCGTGCGAGTGGATGGAGACGCCGAGTGTCATGCTGGACGAGCAGCGGCTGCTGCACAATATCGAGCGGATGCAGGCGCTGGCGACGTCGAACCACGTGAACCTCCGTCCGCACGCCAAGACGCACAAGACGCGCGAGATAGCCGCGATGCAGTTGAACGCTGGAGCCTGCGGTCTCACCGTCTCAAAGCCGTCTGAAGCTCTGCAGTTCCTGCGCGGTGATGTGCCCGGACTGAAGAGTGTGACGCTGGCGTACCCCGTAGTGCAGAGCAACAAGGTGCAGGAGGTGCTCAAGGCTGCGCGGGAGGCTGGCGTGGAGTTCTTATTGACTGTGGACAGCTCTGAAGGAGTTAATGCAGCACAGAAGGCAGCTGAAGCTTGTGGCGTCAAGGTGAACCTCCTGATCCATGTGGATGTGGGATACCATCGAGTGGGCATTGAGGAGGACGACCCGCGGCTTCTTCAGCTGGCGCAGCGGATCGACAAGACGAGTAGCCTCGAGTTCCGCGGTCTGCTGTCTCACGCAGGCCTCGGGTATCGCTGCAAGTCCGTGGCGGAGTGCTCTGAAGTAGCGGAGACAGAGAGGCAGATCATGGCCCGCATTAAGGAAACGCTGGTGGCGAATGGATTCGCGGTTCCTATCGTTTCTGTGGGCAGCACGCTGACGGAGCCCGCTCGCAAGAATTTTGAGGGGATTACAGAGATCCGCCCTGGAAACTACGTGTTCCTCGACCGCACTCCGGTGCGCATGGGGCTGTTTACGGTGCAGGATGTGGCACTCACCATTTTGGCGACGGTTGTTGACGCTGGATCCAAGGTGTTGAGCTCTGATGGAGCGCGATCGGCTGGCGATTTCGGCTCGTCATGCTACGGTCTTGCCTTCTATGAGAAGGATTTTGAGCGCGTTGTGAAGGAACCGACCCAGAACAAAACTCTGCTGGATGACGGCCAGGAGCTTATCTGCTTTGAGGTTACCAGTCTGTCGGAAGAGCATGGCTGGGTGAAGAAGATCGATGGCATTCCCTCGTCAGCCATCGGGGAGCGCCTGGTTATCGTACCCAACCACTCCTGTGTGGTGTCGAACCTCACCAATCAATTCTACGTGCAGGGTGAGCAGCCTAAGAGCTGGAAGTTGTTGTCACGTGGATGCACGCAGTAAGAAGAAAATCTCCTTCGTAGGGACAAAGTTTTCTGACAGATCGTAGCTTCATTAAAATCAATGCAGTTGGATGTTTTCAACAAACTCTCGGTTGTACTCATCCTGCATCCGTTGCATGAACTCCTCCTGCGTTTGCGGCAAGCTGCTGCTCGCGCCACCGTCTTTGGCTGGAAATTCCCGAGCATCCTAGAGGTAGCGTCCTCGATCACCTCTATCTCTCGTTCATGGATCGCCATGTAGTGTTCAAAAGCTTCCGTTTGCAAGTGCGATTCACGTAGAGACTGTGCCCATTCTTGCTCGTAGACGAGCTTCACGAGGTGCCTTCGGAATGGCGACCGCAAGATCTTGGCAACCATAGCCTGGAACTTCGCGTCTTCCGCGCCCGATGCTTGGTCTGCAGCATCCGTAATGCTCTGATAGAAGGCAGCACTCTCAGCCATTGCATTTACCGGAGGCGAATGATACATCCACGTCGTGAGAGCGTAGCGTGGCTTGGTGGACGGCAATACTCGATGCAGCATTTGCTGCGACGAGAAGAGCACCAGCTCACCGAAACGCGGTTGCACAACCACGCGAGACTTCGGAAACGGGTACAGCACGATCTCGCCCCCGTCTCCATGCTCCCAGTCCTCGTTCAAGTACAGCACCGCGGTGACACACTTGCCGTCGTCGCCGTACGTGTCGAAGTGCGTCGGGAAGCACGCCCCTCGTCCAGCGTTGTGCTGCACCTTGACCATGTGGCCTGCCAGTCCCAACCAGTCCGGCACCGCTCGGTTTAAGGGGCCGAAGACCACTTGCTGCTCGAAGAAATCTCTTAGGAACGGCACGGACGCCTGGTCTCGAACCGCATCCAGCGCCAATTCCGTCTCCAGGATGTCGTGCTTCTCCAGCAGCAGCGTCTTGGGCGGCGATTGACCACTGCTGCCTGCTGCATCATTGATCAGAATGTGCGTCGAGTTGGGGTACAACTGGCCGCTTGTTCGCAGCAACTACATCTCGTCGCGGAGCTGGTGGAGGTAGTCGACGGAGAAGGCGTCCTTTACCACGTAGTAGCCGTCGCGCAGCAACCCGTTCACCAGGTCAGAATTCACCGATGCATCCCAATTGGCGCCGACCCTGACGGCACCCGGAGCGAGCGACGAGAACGCCGAGCGATGGCCCAGACGCCGCAGCAGCGGCAGCGGAGACCTTGCGCGCAGCATTGCTATCCTTTAGTTTGGCATATCCCGGTATGCGCTAGCACAGTGTGGTGCCACAGCACCCACAGGTTGGCTCAGCAGTTGAAGCCCATGGCGACCGAGTCCGTGCCCAGCGGTGTGATCGAGAAGGCGTCGCTGTACGACATGATGTACGGTCTTGCGTGTTGGCGTTGAGGAGAGTTTAGAGCGACCGTAACGAGGTGGTGTGTGCGGCGGAGGGCTCAGATACGCCGCGTGTCCTCGATGTTTCACCTCAATGAATTCCCACTTGGCCACTGGCACTGGCGGCGCGAGCACACAGTCATTGCGTGTACAATGCGCGTCCTGCAGCGCATTTTGTCGCCTGGACGAGCTGCAATACAAGTACCGACTGAAGGTAGGTGCACCACCATGTTGAAGCGCTTTGACAACTTGATGATCTATTGTTTGGTGTGGATACTGGTACGGGTAGATTCAACTTGCGTACGGGTCGACCGTGGCCGACGCCATGCTGTTTGACGAAGTGGCGGAGTTGCTGCTCGGCGTATCGGCTTGTCGCCTAAGGAGCGAGATCCTGCCCAAGCACCCGAGCCTGCCTCAAGTGCTGGAGGAGCTCTTGGTCGGACTGCGCGTGTCCTTTTCTTTCCAACGTCCAGCCCCGAAGCGCACCGCCAAGCAGACGCAGTTCACGGTACGCTGTTACTCACGCTCGTAGCGCGGGCAAATGAGCCTCACTCACTTATGCGACGTTGCGCCAAGCTAGAGAGATCTCAAGATCGTCAAACTGGAGCCGCTGCTGCCGCAACTTCTGCCGGAGCCCGCCGCGACCTTCGCCGTCAACCTGCTACAGCAGCATCAGCAGAGGTCGAGTACGTAGCAATCACCACCTCGACACGTGAAGACAATATTAGTAGGCGGACAATTGCCTCCGCGCCACGTCCAAGCCGATCACCAGAGATGGTGGCGCGGTGCTGTGCTCGTTCGACTCGGCGACCCGTTGAACGTTGAAGTGGACACGCACACGGGGCGCGATGCCTTCACAGCGTACCAACACCCCATCCCATTCCGCTCCGTGGTGCAAACACGTTCTCCTTGCGTGAACATTTCTACATAGAGTACCTACCTCAATCTCTTTCGCCGTTTTTAATCCATCCCTCCGCCAACACGGCAAGCACTGGAGGGAACACGTACATGTAGCAAGTCCCAAAGTTGCCTTTTGTGCCACGACGCCACGCGTTACGTCCGTCTCCCGCATTGGTCCAAATCCGTACCGCATTTCATCCAATCGCAGCCTGTACACGCTCTCCCATTGGCTGAAAACCAGCCGCACCACGTTTTTGCGCGCTTCCTCCGTCTCTCAGTCAAACACAGGCGCCGACTATCGAGCGAGAGAGAGACCAAGCTCCGGCCGGGCAGAGGACACTCACTCACTTCCTCCTCTCCCCATGGCGCACGACCGCGCGGCCGCAGTGACCGCCGCCTCGGCGCGCGCAGGGCCACCGCTGCTCGTGGCGCGCAACCTGCTGCCGTCCTCCGCCAGCGTCAACAGCAGCAGCCACGCGAGCATCAGCGCCAGCACCACGAGCGTCCTGAGCTCGTCCTCGTCCTCCTCGGCGACGACCGTCGTGAGCGCCCGCAGCACGCGGCGGCGGGACCGCAAGACCGTGGGGGACGACCGCGTGACGGCCACGTCCTCCTCCACGCTGTCCACCACGTCGTCGGTGGACGCTTCGTCCTCCGTGTCCACTGCGGAGGCCGAGGCGCGCCGCGGCAGACGCCACACGCACCACAGCCAGCCCGACCACGACCCCAAGGGCGCGCGGCGGCGCGGCGCGTCGTCTCCGTACCGCCACCACACGCACAGCCACCACAGACGCCAACCCGCAGCAGATTCAGCGGTGCCGGATGCTAACGCCGACATTGGACCGGAGAAGTTCGCGTCCAAAGTGTTCGCCAAGACGCACAGCTCCAAGAAGGAGGCGGCGATGATGGCGACGGCAACGGAGGCGCCTCCGTCTCCGGAACAGGACTCGTCGTCGTCTTCGGGCGGACAGGGAAGTGATAAGGAGGACACGGCAGCACTTGCCAACGATCAGCAGAGACAGCAGCAAGTTTCCATGAAGCCGTCGCGCATGGTCGTGAAGCGACGAGCTACAGCGCCGACGAGCAATAACAGCGCGAGGAGGACGTCGACTGGACCGACGCCCGTGCCGTCGTCGTCGGCGAGACAGCCTTCTAGGAGCGTGGGGAAGCCAGCGTCCACTAGCAGTCCGAAGGTCGGGTCCGGTAGTCCGCGGGTCGGTACCAGCAGCAGTCCCGGGGGTGTTACGAGAAGCTTGGAGAAGTGGCAGCTTCGCTTGAAGCGGTCGATTTCGGGGAACTCGAGTGGCACAGATGATGAACGCCATGGACGGGAGCCGACTTCGTCGCGGAGGTTATACAGCAACCACCGCAGTCGTCAGCTGATGGAGAGTCCACCCCCGCCCGGGCAGGTTGCAGCTACGAGTCGAAGACGCGATAGTGACTCGCCTTTGACGGATCAGGAACGATCACGAGCACGCAGTACGTCACGCGGGTCAAGGCACGCGGCGTCACCTGGACTTAGTGGGGGATTACCGCCTCCGCCACCGCCTTTATCATTATCGCCGGAGACCCAGGGTGGCTGCACTACTCCTCGCTCACAGGCTCGCAAGGTAGTACAGTCTGATGATGAAGCTGGTGAAGATGTGGATGAAGCTGCACCGAAGCCTCGCCCTGTTCGCATTCGCTATGAGACCCCAGAGCGCGGGATGGGTGGCAAGCGGGAGATTTCTCACGCATCACTGGGCAAACTTATTGCGCGCCTCACTGATGCTCACCAGTATGATACAGAGTTCCGCGATGTATTCCTGCTCACGTTTCGCTCTTTCTGCTCGCCTTACGACTTCATTAAGAAGCTGCTGAAACGATATACAGCCGTGCTTTCACTGTGTGGAGGCGTGGATGCCGAGACAATTGAAGAAACGCAGCGGTTACTGGACCAAATCACGATGGAAGAGGAGAGCGAACAGCGCTCGTCAAATTTAACGTCAATTTCGACAGCGCGATCCGATATCAACACAGGAATGGAGGCCAACGTGTCGATTATGCGGTTGCTAAGCGTTCTCAAGTTCTGGATCAAGGAGAGTGGGTTCATTGACCAGGATTTGGCCAACGACCGCAAGGCGCAGAAGAAGCTCATGAGTTTTCTTAGTGAGATCCAAAACACGTCCCCGATCCCTTCCATTCGACGACACGCTGAAAATTTGCTGCTCACGGTAGTACAATTGCTGTCGACGCAGAAGCAGCAAGCTCAACAGCAGGCACAGCTAGCCCAAGCACAAACCCAACAAGCGCAAGCTCAAGCACAAGCCCAGGCACAAGCCCAATCTCAAAGGTCCCCCGCGAAAATACCCCCTCCTCCTGCATTAGTGACTTCTTCTTCGGCATCGGCGCTACCTGATAGAACGTTCTCCAAAGCGTATGAAGTTGCCCAGCCTGCCCAGAGTGCAGCAGCCTTAGCTATGGCTCACCAGCTGAGTGACCGTGGAGCTTCGCACTCACGAATGCGCTCGCAGGCTGCGACAAAACTTGCTTTGAATCGGTCTTCATCCGATCCCAAGCGCGAGCGTTCCATGGTAAAACTTCGCACTAAGAACTCGAGCGGCGACATTTTCCAGTTTCGGAGTCGTTCGATTCCTGCAGGAGCGGAGGATCAAGCGATTGCAGCGGCAGCAACAAGAGATCGGTTGATGCGCAGTTCATCTCAACAGCAGGGCATTATTCCTGTTGCTGCAGCCGTGGCACCGAAGATTGCCCGCGGTATCACTACGGGCAGCGCTGAAGCTGTGATCAAGGCAAACGCCACGAGTAATAGTGTCGGTGGATTCGACGAAATTATCCAGGATACGCTGCAGCGCGCAAGGCTCATGGCTGCCTCCCGGAAGAGTGCTCGTATCAGCTATGACAACGTGGAGCCGCTGTCGGGATTCTCGGCGCAGGAGCTAGCTGACCAGCTCACGCTTATGGAGGCGGACCAATACTTCTCGAAGTTGAACCCGCGCGAGCTAACGAACAAGGCTTGGACGCGTGAAAACAAGCACCGCGAGGCTCCACATGTGATGGCGTTGATCGAGCTGTTTGATGCTACAGCAGAGTGGGTTTCCAGCGAGATTCTGCATCCGCAGTTGCAAGCCGTTGAGCGTGCGAAGATGATCACTCTTTTCATCGATGCCGCGGACAACTGCTACCAGATGAACAACTTCAACACATTGTTCGAGATCACTACCGGTCTGTCAGCTCCCTGTATCCGGCAGCTGAACACGACATGGAGTCTGGTTAGTGCCGCGGCGCAGGAAAAATACCAGTGCCTCCAGCAAGTGTGCTCACCGGATGATAACTACCGCAGCTATCGCCAAGCCTTTGCGTTAGCAGAAGGACAACCGCGACTTGCCTGCTGGTTTATCTTGGTCAAGGATCTGTTCACCTACGAGGAAGCCATGAAGTCCATGGAAGACGGACTGGTGAACTGGCAGAAGTTCCGAAAGATCTACCGTGTCATCAGCGAGGCGCTAGACCGACAGAATTTCAACTACGTGCCTCCTAGTTCCAGCGGCGCCGGCTCCACTGGTGCTAGTTCCAACAACACGGGAGGGGTATCGAGGAAAGGCCGCGGCATCTTGAGGCACGACAGGAAGACGCAGATTCATATCCGGCATCGGATTGACACGTACGTTCTCTCCAATTTGGTTTGTGTGTGGCTGAGGCTCAAACTAACACTGCTTTTGACTTTGTGATGATATGCAGGATCCGGAAAGACAGCTCCGTGCTGTATCAGCTGGCCCGCAATGCCAACACGCAAGAGAGCATTCTGTTTGTGAACAGTCTATCGGAGGCAGGCTTCCTGTAACCAGGGTCGTCAAGCACGCACAGTCATCTATCTCATTGCTCATTGCCATCACCGGCAAATGATACGCACGTGGTGTCGCACCAGAGGCGAGAAATAGCGGGGGGATATCGCGAACTCGAGGATACTTACAATATCAGCCCTGCCATGGCAGCAGGCAACATTAGCCGATCCGATTCAGCCCCGCAAGTGTACAAAACGTATTCAGAGCTGCAGCGATTGAAGTCAGCCCTTGACCAGCTCAAACGGAATGAAGAAGAAAACAAAAAGCAAATAAACCGTTGTGAAATCCCTCGCCGTCTAAGGCGGTCTTGGGCCCTTCGCCACATTGACAGAAATCATGTCGTATCGTACACAGATAAGCACTCGTGCATGACCACTAGCTCAGCTCAGTTGTGCTGGAGCTATGGTCATACACCACATCTTTCTCCTTGACCTGAGCGTCAGCTTCAGACTTGCCCTTCTTCTCCTCGCCCTGCTGCTCTTCATCGGACGAGAGTTTCCGCTTGGCACCAGCTTCCCGCTTCTCTTCTACCGCCCCGTCGGTATTCTCCTTATCGTGCTCTTTCGCATCCTTCTTCCTCTCACTTGTGTCCGTGTCATCTTTCTTGTCGCCCGCCGTCTTTTCCTTCTCCTCGTTGCCCTCCTCAACGCTTCCCGTCGGGAGTCTCGTGTTGTCAAAGAGCTCCTTGACCACCACCCCTCGACGGACGTCTCCCTCCTTCTTGCTCTCATCCAGCTTCATCAGCGCCTCTTCTGGACGGAACTTGTAGAGCTGCTCAAGAAAGTCGTCGCGCTCCAGATCCTTAGCGCCCAGCCCCATCTTGTAGTCCATGGACATGCCTAGATCCCACATTTTGAACCCTGCGAGATACAGCAGCTTGCTCAGAGCGTGCAGCTGCACTGTGCCCGCTCCATTGGCCTTGCTGAAGCCCGTCAGACTAGTGTAGACGCTGCCCACCGTGTAGCCGAGCTCTCCGGCCACGAGCGAATCCGTGGCGACGTCGTACAGCTCCACAGTAAAGAACCTGACCTTGCGCCCGGGAAAGAGCTCTACGCCGTCGCCCCCAGCTTGAAACAGCGTCTTGAAGCTCTCGACGATGGGCGGGTAGAGCCACGGGATGCCGTGCTTCTCGTGGCAGCCGGCCACGACGCCGTCGAAGTCGCGGTTAAGTACGAGCTTGTACTTCTTGGCGCGCTTGCGCACGACCTTGGGCACGTGCTCGGGCTGCATCGCGTTGAGCAGCAGCACGCAGCGCTGGCGGTGCAGCTTGGGCAGCAGGAAGCACTGGTCCTGGAAGTCGGAGGCGATGGGCAGGAAGCCCTCGTACATGAGGTGGCTCAGCAGCAGTGGGTCGAAGTGGCGCGACACGTAGAAGTCGTCCTGCGAGTGGAACACGAAGTGCCGCAGGTGCGCGGGGACGTAGTCGGCGTCCGCGCGCTTGGGGCGGCGCGCGGGGGCCGGCGGCGGCGTCATGGGAGCCGATGATACTATACGTCGGTCTTGCCTGCGGGGTGCAATGATATGCGGCAAGAAAGGTGTTTGAAGCCGTTTGTGGTGTGGCGCACATAATATTTAGTTGACACAGTTTTTGGTCCGGACTAAACCCACGGGAGGACCAGATTTCTGTGACGCTGCGTCTGGCGAAAAAGGTTATGTACATTATCGCCATGAGCTCAAGCGCTGAGCCCCCACCGAACGAATACGGCTCGGCGGCCATGTTTGAACTGAGAACTGGTGTCACACAGCGACGCGCGCTGAAACGGCGAGCTCGGTGTCCCAGCAAACTTTGCTGCAAAGCGGCCCACGCCCGCGACTGGACTCTCGAGCGCCGTCTGCGGCGAAAGGAGCGGGTAACCGCCTAAAGGGCTGGAAGTGGCCGTGCCGCCGAGCTGCGCGGGTGGCTGTAGGCGCGTCGGCGGGCGGCAAGCGCATGAGGAATCGGAGCGGGCGAGGAATCCCGGTCTGCAGGGCACAGCGAGATCCGAGCCTTCGCGCCTTCAACTGCCGTAATCGAAACAGACCTTTCCCTCGACTGTGTTGTATCGCAGGTTGAAATTGGGGCGCAGCCATCGCCGAGAGCTGCACGTCGTGCCCTTGTCCGAGCGTAGGTGCTCTGTCTCTCTCTTCTGCGGCATCGTCCGCTGGCATGATCAGGCTGCTCGGGGAACGCCGCCGATAGTCGAGCGCATGCAGTCGTCGCGCATGCCGTCGAGGAGAGCGAGCTGCACGACGAGCTCGATAGAGTCAACTCGGCGTAGACGGGGCAAAACCATGTTTCTGACTTGACTGGCGTGTGGACTATAATCTGTGACGCACATAATTTGGACTGGACTATTTGATCCTCACCGCCTGTAATGTACAGGAGGGCTTGGTAAAGATGGAAGATGACACCACCTTGAGCAGGAAGTGCTTGCTGCCTGATGACATCGGTCGTGAAGATTGCCGGCTTCAATACAATATGTAGCGGCTGCTGTGATCCAACCGCGGCGACTCCGCTGCAGCATAGACCTCTTATTATGCCTTACCCTACAACGCAGCATAATTCTCTCATACAGACTCTTATTTCGAGAGCCAGCATTACTCGCACTCCACAGCCTCGTCCGCGTTCGGCATTCTGTTTCCCACGACGCCGCGGCACGACAAGCGAAGGCACGCCAGCTCGGCTCGGTGCCAGCAGGAAGACAGTCGCGCGCTCTCTCTGTCGGTCTCGCCGCAAGCGTCGAGCCAGTGGCACTCAGACCCCTCCGCAGCAGCACTCTACGTACAGGCAGCAATGGGCACGCGGCCCGTGAGCGAAGACGGCAGCGGCGGCGGCGTGGGCGTCGGCGTAGGGGCCGCCACCAGCAAGGCCAGCGCGGCCTCCTCGGCCTCCCTGCCGACGGGCAGCTCCGGCGCCAACGCGGGCGCGACCACCAAGCCCGCCGCGGCCGCCGCGACGACCAACGGCGCTGCGCCCGTGCACCTGCAGCGCCTCGGCAGCAATAACAGCAAGCCGCAGACAGACGCCACGACGTCGCACCGGCGGCCCGAGAGCGAGAGCAACCTGCGCGCGTCCTCGTCCTCCGTGAGCGGCGGGCGCGTGGCCAGCGCGTCGTCGCGACTTGGCGGCCGCCGCCGCGCCGAGACGGACAACCACATGCGGTCGTCGCTGCCCCCGACGCTCAACACGAGCGACGTGGTGCTGGACCGGCGGCTGCTGCACAAGTACGAGCAGGTGAACCAGGAGATCGAGCGCATCGTGCGCGCGTCGCAGATGGAGCAACAGTACTCGGCCGCGGGCGACGCCGTGAGCGCCAACCAGGTCAAGAGCGAGCTGCGCCAGGCCAAGAAGAGCTCGGCCCAGATGATCCACGCGCAGAAGGAGCTGCTGGACAAGATGGAGAAGCAGGAGCGCGGCGGCTTCCGCCGCGTGTTCACCATCAACAAGGCGGCCAAGATGGCCAAGCTGCGCACCAAGCTCTGCGAGAAGCTCAGCGAGTCCGTGCTCGTGGACGAGGAGCTCCAGAGGCTGGAGAGGCAGAGCACGGCGCTGTCCTCCACGACGCTGGGCACGATCACGCGCAACGGCACGGCCGTGGTGAACGTCAGCAACGTGCATGGGGGCGGCGCCAACAGCTTCGCCAGCGCCAACAACTTCAGCAGCAGCTTTGCCAACACGGGCAACAGCGTCTTCAGCATGAGCGTGACGGGACTCAGCAGCTTGGATGAGACGCGCGACGTGAGCGGCAGCGAGAGCAGCGGCCCGTTGCCGACGCTGAGAATGAGTTCGGGCTGGGAAGACGCACAGGAGGAGCTGCTGATGCTGGAGAGGGAGAAGGAGGATATCCTGAACAACCTCTTCCAGACCGTGGACATGCCCCACGTGCTGGACCTCCACGCGCGTATTGCGAGCTTTTCCAGCGAGATCAAGGCGGTGGCGAGCGTGAAGAAGCAGGCGGACCGTGTCGAGGAGCTGTACCGCAAGGCACTGCACTTGCTGAGAGTGGCGCTGGCTGCCGTTGTGTCGCCGAACTACTCCGGAAGCATCCGCGAGTTCGCTGTCAGCTCGTACCCGCTGGCAGTGGAGGCTGGGCATCTGATTGAGCAAGCGTGTCATGTGATTCAACCGGAGGCGCGGCGCAAGTACGACGTGTTCGCTGCGGAGTTGACCCATGTTCGTCCCCCGAAGTTCCCGCAGCCCGTGTCGGACTTTGCTCGGCGTTCGCGGACACACTACGACCCACACAGCGCGCTCTCGATCGAAGGGATGCGCAACCTGCACGCGGCTGAGAATGTCCTCATTTTGTTGCAGCGACTGGTGATCCAGAAGCTGGAGGGCATCGAGAAGTGGCAGGCCAAGCTAACCAAGGACCAGGAGGCAGCTGAAAGCGCCCACGCGCAGATGGAGACAAGACTGCAGGAGCAGGTGGCTGTACTCGCGCGCTCTGTGTCGGTCTGAGTGCGGCGGCGGTGACGTTTGTAGCCTATCTGTGGAGAAATGATGCGTGTGCTTTTTGGCTTTTGATATACATAACGGATCGCGGTGGGCAGGAGGTGGAGAGCAAGGAGGCGAGAGGAGACGAGGAAGAAGGAGCAGGGAAGGTCGGCCTTCCGAGGACATTTTCGATGGCAGAAAGTGGGGGCAGGGTGAAGGGAAGCAGGTGGAGATTGACGTCGGAAGTCACGAACCGAGCTCGTCTCAATTGGCGGGCGGTGCGGAGGCCGAGTAGCGGCGCGTCAATATATTTATTGCCGCTGTTTCGTGAAGTCTACAGTAGATCGTTGGCTATCGTGTGGTGGTGCGTTGGAGGTTCTGGGCAGGTGGCAAAGCCGTCGAGCATTGCCGTCGGATACCCCGGTTTCGAGTCTGAGCGACGATCTCTGTGTCCACGCTTGAGAGGCCTCTGGGTGGATCTCGACGCTGTCGGCGTCAAGCCAACCGAATCGAGCGCGGGTCCCCACCAAGCAAAAAGCTGAACGTGTCAAGCCCCGCCGAGCCCACGTCGGCCGTCGACTCGACGGCGTGGGATGCAACTTCAGATGTCCCTTCATGAGCAAGATCGGACGTTTAGCTTTCGGCGAGGTGCGTGCGCGATCAGAGCGTTTCAAGGCTGGCTGCAACGGCGCTGATAACCGCGACGGCCGTCGCCATTCATCCCCGGCACCACCACCGCCATCAGATTCGCCGCGAATCTCATCTTTGCGTCTCGAATGACATGCCACCGAGCATTGGGGACGAGTTTTGCAGCGAGCAGAGCAGGTGATTGGATAGTTACGTGCAACTCGCGTTGCGTTTATTAAATTGAAGGCGCTAGAAAAGTACAAGTTAAGTGAGTGAGTGAGCGTAGTGAATACAGGTCCCGTGATGTTCTGTGGTCGAGGTGAGCTGCAATGCTGGGTCACGGACTCTCGGGTCTCTCGGGCTCGTCGTCCGTGAGCGACCCGTCCGTGGACAAGTTGCTCGCTCGCTTGAGCGCGAACGGATCTTTCCACCGCCTCTGCGGGGGCGAGGCCTCGACCATGCCGCGACACATGACGCAGTCGCACTGCTGGGTCTTGTCCTGCAGCACCACGTAGGGCGACACCTCGACGTACTTGAAGTAGTTCTGGAACTCTGCAGCCACAGCGTTAGCACCAGCCATCAAACAGCAGCCCTCGCATCCCTTCATCACCCCCGTACCAGCATAGTCGAGCTTCCAGCGGATGGAGCAGCAGCCGTGCTCGCACATCCAGAGCCTGGTGTCGGTCTTGGGACGGCAGTCTCCGCCACTATACCCTCCAGGTCTATACGGCCGGCGAATCGGCTGCAACAATGCGGGAAGAGGGAATGTCAACGCCAACAGCGACACAAACGCGGGCGTACAATGGCCACGGACCTGGTGCCCCCACGCGTCGTAGTACTCGAGGCTGCTGGTGTTGGCGCACGAGCTGCGGCAGATCCCCATCTTGTTGACTTGACTGGGTTTGATGTGCGTGCGAGCTGCCGAGTGGGAAAGTGGCGTCCGGTTGGATCCCTGCCGTGCGTTTGGTTTGCTTTGGTTTGGTTTAGTTTTTGGCGGGTGTTCGGCCGTTCTCGTTCGAAATTTCTTTCGTACACTCAAAGCACGGCGCGATCTATTAGCCAGCCCTTTGCGAGCGAGCGCTCCTTCACAGAGAGAGACAGCCTTCTCCCACCAATGTGTCGCCGCCTCGCTGAGAAAGCTCAAGTAACGGCCGCGTGTGAACCGGGGTACAGATCCAGTCATCGCCCTCGCCATTGAGAAGGAAAGCGTGGCGACAGAGATGAATGCATCGAGCTCCAGCTGCAGCAGCAGCTGCCGTCTGCATCGCCGCCGCCCAGCGCCGTGCCGTGCCGGTGACATGCTACACTGTACTTGAAGTTGCCCTTTGAGCACGAAGATGGCTACATCAGTCCTCAATTTCCGCCAATCGTCGAGTGAGATCCAACTTCAACGCTGGGATTGGCTGAAAATGCGCTCAGTATCACTTGCGCAGCGCCAGCATGATGGAGCAGCGCGCGGCGGCGAGCGTGCGCGCGTCGATGGACTTCAGCGGGCCGCTCAACGCGCTGTCCACGTCCCCGAACAACCGCCTGATCGCCGTGGGCGGCCGCGATGGTCTGCTGGCTTAGTTGAGCTCTGATTGGCGCAAAATAGCTGACAATTTGTGCTAATGTTGCGCCAGTGCTCAAGGTAGTGGCGCTCGAGGCCGCGGGCTTCTCGGAGAAGCGCAACTTACGCGTGGCCGGCAAGCCCAGCCTCAACTTCAGCACCAACGACATCCGCTGGCACCCGCGTACGTGATGGAGGGCGAGTGAATTAGGGTGGAATGGGGTGCAAATGATACTTTTTGGGCGTACCGTATTTGGGACTAGAATCGGACTATTTATTGGCGACGGCGGCGACGAATGGCGCGGTGGTCATCTGGAACTTGGAGCGAGAAGGATACAAGCACGTGCAAGGTGGAGATAATTGTTTTATTGTTGTTTTTAGTGGAGAAACATTTATTCTTTGTTTGCGATAGAGCGCGTGCTGAATGGGCATCGGCGGTCGGTGAACCGCATCTGCTGGCACACGACGGACTGGAACGTGCTCATTAGTGGGTCTCAAGATGGAACTGTCAAGCTTTGGGTACGCAATGTTTTTTTTTGTTAGCATGTGTGACTTTAGAGGTTAATTAAGTCGCCGATGGTGTGTTGTGCAGGACAAGAGAGGCGGGAAGGTGGTGTCGACGTACCAGCCAAAGTCCGAGAGTGTGCGCGACGTAAGGGCGAGTCCGTTCCACCCCAACAAGTTCGCTGCTGCTTTTGAAAATGGTATTGTGCAGGTCTGGGATATGCGCAAGAACTCGCAGCCGGAGCTTAAGTTCACAGCGCATAAGGGCCTAGTGCTGAGTATTGACTGGCATCCTACTGATGCGAATGTCCTTGCGTCTGGCGGACGCGATCGCTACGTGAAGATTTGGGAGCTGGGCGACGTCCGGCAGCCGAAGCAAACGATCCAGACGATTGCGAGCGTCGGTCGGGTTGCCTGGAGGCCAACTTGCGTCACGCACATCGCTACAAGCGCCTCGCTGATGGACAACAGCATTCACGTGTGGGATACGAAGCGGCCGTTTATCCCAGTTGCGTCCATGAAAGGCCACTCGGACATCGCATCGGGAATTTCGTGGATGGATACGCCAGTGTCGCCGAATTTCGGTCAGCCCGAGATTCCGGGCGACTGGGAAGGCCACGACTACTGGCAGCACATGCTTGCCTGCTCCAAGGATGGCACCCTCAAGTTGCACTCACTCGCAGACTCGTTCAAGCCGCATCAGTCGTTGCCGACCACAGCACTTGCATTAAACTCCAAGGGACAAGTTGCCTTCTCTCACGACTACATTGGTACGATTCGTATATTCTTGGGGATATTTGGATCGAATCTAATAACTCTTTTTTCTCTGTGCTTGTAGATCGTTCATGTGCATCTCTGAAGATTCACCGCCATTTCAGCTTGGGTAGCTCACTTTTCACGGTTGCGGGAGTTTCCTCGTCCTCCCCAACTCTTGGGCCTTTAAACGGTGATCGGAAACCTGGTAGCGGATCGCTTACCATGTCGCTAAGCCCTTATCACGGTAGTTCCGAGAGCCCCGAAGAGGTTGGCGCAGCCCTACCTCAGGAGCAGCCCCCAGCGCGCGCAACTGCTTGGTCATTCAGTGGATCACAGCAGCCTCCGCTAGTGCCGAAGGGTTTAAACAGGTCGGGCGGTAGCACCGCCAACTTGACGAGTTTATCCAACGGCGGACAATCAACAGGTGCGAGTTTCAAATCCGCAGGGGGTAGTAGCAGTCTTAACGCGGCAAGCGGAGTGGGCTCGGGAGGAATCGCTAGAGGTGCAGGACCTGCATCTTCTTCTCAGCCGAATGTGTTATCGCTGCAAGGCAGCAACGGCAGTGGAGCAGGAGGAAGCGCGCTCTCGGATGGAAATTTCGTTTCGGTGTCAAACGCTTCAGCGTCGCTGGTACCTGCGTCGCCAGTAACCCCGATGATGTCTGGTTCGAGTGTTCCTCGAGCGCTGGTGGCACTTGTGACGATGCAAAACGTCAACGAAGCCAGCCAGCTTGAAAAAATCTTCTTGGGTGATGAAAGCGAGTACATGCAAGCGGGGAGGCAAGTTGAAGCTATGCGTGCTCAATTTGAGCAAGGCCAGTACTTGAAGGAGTCTTTCGGTTTTGATGAGCACACGTTCCGGTTCCTGGCCAAGCACTACCTGCTTTTTCCCGAGGGGGTTAACTCAAGTAAGGGTAGTAGTGCCAGTGGTTCAAATGGAACTGGAGGCGGTACTGATCCTGCTGGAGGGAAGAGTGGAGTAAGTTTTGCGCAAATGTGTGCCCATAACGCATTGGCAGCGTTTGTGACGGGAAACTCGCACTTGTGTCAAATGTGGCGTATTCTCGAAGTACTCTACGCGAACGAGGAAGCAGATGCTGCAAAGTCGAAGCACAGCGAGAGGGGAGGAAGCAAGTTGAAGGCCGACCGACGCTATATAGAAGAGGGGTTCAGCCCTGAGGAAAGTCATGTGGGGATGCCTATGGATGGAGAGGATGACGAGGACAACCGCGAGCGGTCTCGAAGTGACAGCAATCACGATGACCATATCGATGAGCTCATGCGGAGAGATGACCAATGTGTTGATGAGTTTGAGCACGAGGGCCATGGCCATGCGAATCACAATCACAACAACGCCAGTGAGACTACAATGTTGCTGGAGCAGCTTGACCACGTGAACCCGCAAGCTATGGAAGGCTTCGACCCATATCCGTACGACCCTAGAGGAAGGCTTGCCAACGAGAACGGGCGCGAAGGTGGGGATCGCAATGGAGCGTCCGGAGTGACCAGTGTGCGGGGAAATTCGTCAACGATTATGAACGGAAGTGCCGTCATGGGCGATCTAGGCCATCTACGGGATGATGTGCTGAAGGAATTGCTTGAGTATTACACGGAGATTGGCGACTTGCAGTCGTGTGTCGCTATCACAGTTGTTGTGGGCAAGGTGACGAGCGTCGAAAAGGTCATGGGCAAGGCGTGGCTGCAGCACATCTACATGCACTACATCGACCTCCTCCACCAACTGCAAATCTACACGACAGCGAACGAGCTGGTTGCAAATTGCTCGGATCAGTCGATCCGACAAATGAACATGGTACGGCAATGGCACAGCGCTATCGGGAACAATACGTTTGGTGATACTGATATTCCTGATGTTTTGACTCCATACAGAAATCAACTAGCGTGTATTTCAACTGTGCGAGGTGTTCGAAGCCGCTGGAGTCGTCAGGCCCTAGTGAACTTGGTGTGCCGGTTTCTCTGTGTACCAGTTGCAGCAACGCTGCCACACTCTGCTCCATCTGGTAAGTGCCACGTTTGGTGTTAACTCTTGGAGTCGAATGCGTTCTAACGCGCCATTTTCTTGTCTGCCGCAGTCAATTGCCTGTCCGAGGTCTCTACGTTTGGTGTCCCGTGTGTGCGCATGGCGGTCACTTGGACCACCTGACAAAATGGTTTGCTCACGAGACAGTATGCCCAACGGGCTGCTCACACCAGTGTTCGCTGAACTTGGTAGACGCTGGCATGGGGAATTAATCGCTCGCCAACATACTGGAAAGTCAATGTAGCTGTTGTTACCCTGTGCTGTGAAAGTACCACACTCCAACCGAGAGAATAATGATCGCTGTTGTGGAGATAACCGCATAGATTTTGCTGTCCAAAGAGCGTGTTGCTGCGTCAAGCATCGATGTCGAGTCTGCTGCAGTGACGTTTGTGTCCGTAGTCGTCTCTAGTGGATTATTCACACCGAGCAACATCTCAAAAGGAGTTCCTTGCAGCCACCGTCGAAGAGCCAGCCTGGCCAAGGCAAACCTTATAGCTAACTGAATTTCAACCGAGTCGGCAGATAGCTCCATCACACGGTCATAGTACCTGCGCGCTCGGCCCAGATTAACCTCAACGCCGTCACCAAATTCGTACATGTGACCGACATTGTACGCCCCTGCCTCGACACCTGCAGCACTGGCACGGCTGTACCATCGGATTGCCGTCTGTGGGTCCTTCCGCAAGCCAGCAAGTCCGTAATAATGGTAATCACCGATACGTACGAGAGTTTCTCTGTCTCCGTTCTCGTCGTTCGCCAATGTCAAATACTTCAGAGCTCCGCGTTCACTTGCTATGTCACCTGACCGCAGCAGTCGTTGGTCGTAGAGGAATGCCAAATTGCTGGTTGCTACGGGGTACCCAAGCTGGCGGGCTTCGTGATACACCACCGCAGCACGCTCAAACTCGCCGCTGGTGTACAGGTCGAAACCCTTCCTCACTGTTCGTCCCCATTGCCCTCCATCTGATGCCGCCTTCAAATACTGCAGCGCCCTCTTACAATTTCGTGGCACTACCCCCTTGACCCCCTTCATCAATACCTTCCCCATTTCAAAGATGGCGTCGAAATGTCCGAACTTTCTTGCCGCCACGTCATAGAACTCCATCGCTCGAGTGACGTTCACCTCGGTGCCAAGTCCCATCGCATGGCAATATCCAGCGTTGAAAACACTGTCTCCGTCTTCTTGGTTTTCCGCAGCACGCTCGAAGTACTCCAGGGCAAGTGACTTGTTCTCCGAAACTCCACCACTTCCGTGGAAGTGGATAAAGCCCAATCCATTGAGTGCTCGGGTGTGATTCTTTTCAGCAGCTTTCTCGTACCATTTGATAGCAGTCACATTGTCTTGAGCGGTTCCTTCACCTTTCAGCAACATACCGGCCACTGCAGATTGTGAGTTCACGTCACCAGCTTGAGCGGCTCGGTTGAAGTAGTTATACGCTTGAGCATGGTGGCGTGGAACACCGTGCGCTCCCCAATAATACAAATCCCCCATAGCCGCCATCGCCCCGACGTCTCCTTCTTTGTCTGCACGCAACTTCTGGAACTGAATTAACTCATCGTCATCCCCACGCTCGCCAATGGTGACGTCCCGTTCGAAAGAGTCATAAAGACGTGTCATCTCATGCAGAGGTTGCTTGCCAAGTTGGTGAAATTCAGCTGCCGCTTCCTCGGCAGCATGAAAATAGTGATACACAGCAATCTCCACATCGTGGTCACTGTATCTGCGGCCTAGCATAGCAAACGCGTCCTTCTCACCCGCAGCGGCAGCAAAGTGAAGGAGGCCAGTTGTGAGTGTCTCAAGACGTGCGCCTTCCAAAATGTTCCTAACTCCGGCCGCATCGGCAAGAAGGGCTAGAGCTTTACCAGCACTGTAGGAATTGCTGCCAAAAGCCTTCTCCAGAAAGTCTCTTGCAAGCCCAAAGTTCTGCTGTACCGATATGGGCGCTGGACAGTGATCTTGAGCTACATAAGATCCGTACAGGTACGCCTCACCGACATCCTGGCACGCCGTTGCATGGCCTAGATCCGCAGTTTCAACGATGAGGTCCCAGGCATCAGAGTCGCACGAGTCACGCGCTGTGACAGCTTTTTCAAATGCTGCTGCTTGAAGCTCCGCAAAATTATTCTGGATTTCAGAATCTACACCGTTGTCGCTCAATGCACTTGAGTCGTCTTCTTTGAACTGTAGGCACTGGGATAGATAGGATATCTGCGTAGCTGTTAGAGCGAGGGCATCGTCGCTGTCAACGCTTTCGCAGTTGATGTCATTCTCGTGATCGTGACGTTCCGCGAAATACAATTTACGCATCTCGTCGGACGAAATGGGCACTGGAAAAACTTTCAAGCTGCTTGAGAAACCCTTCATCCCATCAGTCCACGGCCCTTTGCCAATGTGCAAGGGTCCACTGTTTGCGACGACGGGGTCGTGGATATGAACTTCTGTGTCGAGTAGACCGTTCACATAGAAGGCGTACGAGTACGACCAACTACCTCCAAGGCTCTGGTTTCGAGGGCACGCCCTTGGTAATTGAGAATCTTCCTTCACGGAGCTTTCACCGGAGCAATTAAGAAATGTGAACCCCATGTGGATCCATCGGTTAAGTGGCAGCTCTCCGCCACTGTCGAGACCAACGTCGGCGCTACTATTTGTGCTTACGCGCAGCACCAGCCGACGGTCGTCGGGCATCCACCATGCCGACGGCGTACGCTGTTCATGCTGACCATCCCCGTTAAAGAAAAGGGTCCGAAAACTGCCTGTCGAGTCTTCCGTCAAAAACACCCAAAAGCTCAAACTCCAAGATCCTGATGTTTCCATCTGAATAGCATCGTGCGGCAACACGAACCCTTCTTCTCCACCATGCGTCAACACTCCATCAATTGCAAAGGTAGGAGTGGTGTCACGTATAACCTCCCCACTCTCAATCGACGTGTCTTTTGACGCTCGCCTCGGGTCCACAACGATATATGACGCATCACAGGGTTGAAACGAGACTTCGGGCGACCAAAGCGCAGCTTCATCAGCAACGAGAACTCGTATCAAATACGTCCCAGGTGGCTCCACCCGTAAGCTTTGTACTCCTTCAAACACCCCCATTCCATCGCCGCGAACATATTTTTCTTTCAGAAACAGCCCTGTTCGAAGCAGCCCCTGCATCAGCTCCCCCACGGGCTTCACCTTCTCTTCATCAATTTTCACAATCTGAATCACCAGCACCCGTCCATCGTCCGACCAGGTCCCCACCAGTTCATCTCCAATATATTCCGTGAAAACCACGAACTGCTCAATCTGCTGCTTGGAACTCGCATCCGGTCGGTTCGTAGGCTGCTGGAACTCCAGCTCCATGGTGTGACCTTCCCGTAGAGAGGTTCCATCTTCGTTCTCCTGGTTAATGTGCGGCAGTCGAACGTTCACGAGCTTTGGGGTGCAGAATTGCGGGTCGAACTCGCATTTGATCCCATCCTCTTCCAATTCTTGCCCTATTTCCTCCTCTTTTTGGTCTTGGGGGTCCAATAAGGCCACTTTTAGCGGTCCGGAGGCGACAACAGCCCCATTCTCCCAGCCCTCCACCTTCTTGGCGACTAATTGCCACCTAAAAGTGTCTTGATCTTTGTATCGAACGCTCTTAGAGGCAGCGAATTGGACGCCGAAGTGGAACGCGTCCAGCGCACACACAGACGGAGGCTGGACGGCGCTCCACGCCACGCGCTCGAATGATGTGAGCCACTTGACGTCTTCAGCCAGCGACAGGGACTCGAGCTGGCCCAGCGCCGTCACGAAGAGGCCCAAGGCGACGCTTAGCGCTCGCATGATGTGCGCGCTGTTAGGCAAAATCCAAAGTGCCACTTCAACTAGTATTTGATTGGTGGATATTCATCAAGCGTTTATTTTCCTCCAATAGAAACTCAGATAGCTTTTAGTGTTTGATTGCCATGGCATTGGTGACGGAGGTGCGGCTGCGGAGCCGCAAGACGCCGGCGAACCACGAGGTAGACGCTGGATATGTGAAGTTTAAAGATTGAAGATGAATCTCTGATGTTTTCTGCGTATTGTGGTGTGCTTTTTGGCGCGGATTTAGGCTGGTAAAGGCAAGAAAAACAAGAAAAATAAGCGTCGACGGCTGGCGGGTGGCGATAAAGTCGCTGGAGGAGAGGAGGAAGACGCCTGCGCGGATCTTTACGAAGCCGCACAGGCCCAGCTGCAGCAGGAGATGAAGGCGGCAGGGATGGAGGGGATTCTACCCTTGAGCTTCGGTGGATCGCGGTCGAACGCAGGCTCGAGGAAGCGGAAAAGGTCCCTGGAGGTTGCGGAGGAGGCCCCGGAGGGAGAGGAGGCCGAAGAAAATGGTGAAGAAGATGAGGTCAGACAGGAAGAAGAGGAGGTTACTGTTGAGGTGGAGGAGGAAGAGCAGGTGGTGGAGGATGAAGGGACTAAGACGGAGACGGCTATCGTCGACAAGGTGCGCGTGGTGTACGATTCGGATGGAGAGGTGGCGGAGCGTGTTGTCGAGAAGGTCGAGGTTACCACGGTCGTGCAGCCGGAAAAGAGTGAGGTGGCTCATGAAAACTCGAATGGGAAGACTAACAAGAAGAAAAAGAACAACAAGAACAAGGACAAGTATCCAGGTATGGTGGTGGTGCGGGGGTTACTGGGAATGATGCCGTTGCTGACATTTGCGTGCTGTTCATATAGTTCCCAAGGATGTCGTCAAGTTTTACCTGCAAAGGCATACTCTCTTTGAGAAGTTCGAGGAAGGCATCCAGCTGGACCACGAAAGCTGGTACTCGGTGCGTACTCGCGCACGTTGGGCGTGAGTTGAGGTGTGACTCGTCCGCTTACCGGTTTGATGTGAATGCAGGTCACGCCTCAAGTGATCGCCGAGCACATTGCGAAGCGTCTTAGCTGCGATATCGTTGTGGACCCGTTTTCAGGCTGCGGTGGGAATGTGATTCAACTGGCGAAGACGTGCAAGCATGTTATCGCGATCGACATCGACCCAGAGAAGATCCGGATGGCAAAGCACAACGCTACCATCTACGGCGTTGCAGACAAGATCGAGTGGATCGTCGGCAACTCCATCGACATTTTGCCCACGGTCAAGGCGGATGCTGTGTTCTTGTCTCCTCCGTGGGGAGGAGTCAAATACAGTCGAAAACACTTTAGCCTGGAAGATATGCTCGTGAAAGGCGTGTCCGGGCTCGATCTGTTCGAGCTCGCTCGTAAAGTGTCCAAGAACATCGCGTACTATCTCCCCAGAGGGACCCCTGACAGTGACTTAGAGGCACTCACACCAGGTGAGCCCGTGGAGTGTGAGAAGATTTTCCTGAACAAGCAGCTGAAGGTCGTGACAGCTTATTACGGCGGCCTGGTTGCGTCGGACAAGCAAGTCGAGAATACCGCTCCCCCCACCGAGGAGGCGGCAGCCAACTGAATGCTCAACACATCGGAGTAATGAATAATTTTGCCATTCAACGAAGTCCACGCAAACATTGCATCTGTCCAGTTAGAACGGGTCCTTCGGCAAATCGAGCAGGCCGTACTCCTTCTTGTACATCTCAGCCATGGTGTTGTACGCCAGCATGTCACCCGCACGGATCATGTTTCCTGCAGGACACAAGTGTGATCAGGAACAACACATTTTCTTCGAAGCTCGATGCTTCAATCCACTTACCGGCGTCGCAGTTGAGCGGCGAGTCCGCCGCAGGGTCCGACAAGAGCGAGATCACCGCCAAACACGCAGCCTGGCCCAACCGAACAACCAGTGAGTCAACACACCACATCAAGAGCCATAGCAGAGGACAGAACTCTTAGCTCACCCTCAACGTCCACGCAGGCGACCACTCGCGCTTGAGAATGTCCAGGCAGATGCTGCCGTCCTACCACAGGCGATTGACACGTAGCACGGCGTCCGCAACGTCAGCTCCTACACACAATGACAACCCAGCGATCTACAAGACCCAGCAGAGGCACTGGCGACTGCGTACCTTGAAGTGCACGTTGGGGTGAAAGATCTTGGTGATGAACTTCATCTTGGGCGGCTCCATGGGGTAGAGCGGCGTCGTCTGGATGGCCAGCTCGAAGCAGCGGTCCTCGAACGGCGTGTCCTTGGGCCCGCGGATGAAGGCCTTCCAGCGCATGATGGTGTCCTCCTCCGGGTAGAGCACCATGTCCTCCTCCGGGTTCTTCTTGAGCTCCTGCAGCTCCTTGCGGAGGCGCTTCACGTTCGTGTTCATCTCTCCAGAGTGGATTCTCAAAATGAAGTTGTGCACCCGGGGGCACAAATACTGAGCCGGTAAATTACCGAATTGATGAAATTTACATTTTGGTAATTTTAATTCAGTATTTTTCAGAAACAAATTATCTCTTCGATTTGCTAACTTCAGGCTTTGAATCGGTATTTGTCAGTAAAGAGTAGTTTGCGAAGGGAAACTTATCGTTAGCGCGGAAGAACCATTAGAACGTACGGTAAAGACAGCTCAAGGTAGCAAAACAAGTTGTATCCCATTTGCAACACGTAGCAGCTACTCGTCCTCCTTTTTCAGTGTGACCTTGCCATCTTCGTTGATATCAGCACGCATTTTTGTCTTTTCAAGTGCCGCGTTTGAAGCAGCATCCATGCCTTGTGGCCGAAGAGCATTGATGTAGGACTGGTTGGCCTCGTTCCCCTCGCACAGGTTGCGCAGCGTCACCAAGGACCATTCACGAATCATCGGGTTCGTTTCGTCAATGTTGCAGTGGTTGAGGAACAGAGGCAAGTAGCCCTGCTCGCGTACGAGGTCCTGGTGGTCTGTGTGGCGGTAGCTAAGGTTGCCAATAACGCGAATCAATCCCGACCTGTACCCGAACGGCTCCCCGCTACTCAGCGGCTGCGCGCTTGAGCCTGCCGCGCGTGTATTCCTTGATGTTGGATTCTGGCGGCCAAGTTCCCAAACTCGTTGAAGCTCTTGCAGTAGAGAAAGTAGTAGTTCTCGGGCGCCATCCGCGTCGAGTTTGTTGTGACCCACAGTCAACTCTCCAAGAACGTCGAGAAACATCAGCTTGGCCTCGTTCTCCAACTCAATCCACACATTCTTTCTGAATTCATCTGCTTCGTCCGGCCTATCTTCATCACCGGCAGTGGTGATGTATGTCCAAGTGCTCTTCACGTACTCGAAAATTCCATCAGGGAGAGGCGAATTGTTGCCGATTCCATCTCTGGTGGCTGCAGCCGAAGCCGTTTTTGTCGAAGACACTGCCCACATTGTAAACATTCGCAACATGATCAGTTGTTCCGGCGTAACTCGAGACCAGAGCTTGCTTAGCATGTGGGCGCCCACAGCGTTGTACAGGTCTTTGATCCGGCCGTCACGGAAAAGTACTCCGAAAAGAGTACAAATCCATTCGAACGCTGGGTCCTCGTCGTCAATGCGAGGGCCACTTTGCATCGATTCATCAAGGTTCGTAGACTTGGGAGGCTTCACCATACAGCGGTGAAGAATTGTAATCACCAAGTTGCGAGCGCAGACCTGCGTAAGCAACCTCAATGCGGTTAGTTTCACTTTTTGTTTATCAAATTTCCATCCTGCTCATTGTCATTCTTACCAAATCAACGCGACGAGCAGCGAGGTCCTCGGATCCAGTGCTGCTTGAGTTGACGCAATTCATAATAAACGCCACGGTAAATGCCACAACCTTGCGATACTGGTGGCACTCCACCAATATTTTCTGTGAACAGCATTGAACAAGTCAGTATTCACATACGACATCTTCATGGGTAAATGCAATGACACACACCTGGAAATCGTCAGGGAAGAACAATCCCCAAGCGACCGCCTGGTTCTTGTCATTACTCGTGACGCAGTTCACGCAAAACTGGAGAGCTACTTGGGCTACAAGCACAATGCGCCTGCATACAAAACGAGTATAGCGTGAGCACAGATGATCATTTCACGCATAGCACCCCAGGAAATCGATAACGCACCCTTGAAGAGTTTCATCCTCTACATCAGCCCAGAGACAGCAGCGCACAACCACGTCGTGTGCCTACAAATAATGATGCGTCACCACAACTGTCACTACAACACCCCCAACTCACAATGCACGCAACCTACGCACCAGCTTGATCAACCCAGCTTCTTGGCACGCGCCCTGGTTGTCAGCGGATGCTGCACAGGCGTTGCGTAGGAAGCGGAAGACGGACGTCACAGCGTCGACTCCCTCCACCGCTCGGCTCACGTCACCCACAACGGGCTTTGGCGGGGAGAAATCGTCTTGCAGCGACTCGACCGTCGGGTTCTTGCGGTCCACGCGGAACGTGTAGCCCAGGCCGTCATCGTCTTCTGTATCCTGCTCATCACCTTCTGCATTGTGCGTTGATACTGGCGAGTTGATCTCGCTCTGCACCTGCTGAATGCTGTCATTGAGCGCCACTGCGGCTTGCGCCCACACGGGCGACGCACTGAGCGACTCTCTGAAGGCGTAAATCAACGTGCAAACAAGCAAAGCCAATGGTTAGGCGGCTGAAAATTGGCAGAGAGGAGTGGTGTTGCATGTAGATATTGGAGATGATCGTGTTAATACGAGACCAGTGGCCAGTCCCACGTACCGGAAGGTGGCGCTGCGGCATTCCGCCGCCAGTGCTTCGAAGTCCATCGTGTCGGTGATGATACACGAAACGTACACTGCTGTATTTGATGTGGACCACATAAGTCAACGTGTATCGCAACTTGCGAACCGTCGCGAGAGGATCATGTATGTAGCCATTTCCAGGTATCTGCATTCACGTTAGAGATCAACCATGAGCCGCGGGGACAACCAAATGCCGAGCATCTGCTTCGACGATGACTATCAGGTGCGCGTGCTGGACAAGGACAACATCACGCACACACAGGAGCTTGAGCAGGAGAGCAACCAGTTTGCAACAAGTAAGCGTCTTGCGGTTTTCGTTATGAAGCTCGTGTCTGACTTGGATGGCAATTATTTTGCAGAGCTCGAGGAGTTCCATGAGATCGTCAAGGGCGTGCTGGAGGTGATGGAGGGACAGGCAAAGCGCATTGAGCGAGAAAAACTTAAGGTTGCAGCTTCGAGACAATTGAGTGTCGATGGTAATGAATCGCTAACCTAGACGAACTGCAGGCAATCGGTCAGCGCAACCGCGTGGACAGCGAGGTGGAGAATCGGAATCGACAGAAGCAGATGCTGGAGCTGCTGATCAAAGAGAAGAAGACAGAGCTGGAACGGTATGCCGCTGGTAGAGATGGAAAGCCGATTGCATTTACTAACTCTAGCTGCTGGACACAGATACAACCTCCAGTTCCAGTCGCTGAGCAAGATCGCCGACGAGCAGCAAGCGCTCATGGACAAGCTCAGCAACAACGAGGCGTAGCGTCGTGTCGTGCACCTCCATACTGCAGTGTAGCCGCTTTGAGCAGCGAGTTGTGGCGGCCGACAACACCTCGACGCCTGCTAGTTGTAGATTCGCAGTCGAGCTGAACTGTACCATGCATTTCCCACAAACCCTGAATCAAACGTGTCCTTCTGCACTTTCTGTCAACAGCATGCGCTGCACTGTGCCGCCGGATATGTGCAGATCCTGCATTCCATCCCAAGAATGCAGCAGCCCCTCCGGAAACCATCATCTTGAAGCAAACCAGGGAACGTTTCGTGTTTGGAAGAGGTTTCTTACTGCAAATAATAAGGCTAAAATACTACGGGTTGCGTGCTTGAGTACTACGCCCCATCACACACAGCAAGCCAAAGAAAGCTAACTGGCGATAAGAAAAAAAACTTGAATGGGCGCTACTGCCCGGAGAGCGCCACCAAGGGAGGGAGGAGCAAGGACACCAATGGGCCCACAGGCCGCTTATGTGCGCTCGCCGCGGATGCGCCGTGCGAGCTGGATGTCCTTGGGCATGATGGTGACGCGCTTGGCGTGGATGGCGCACAGGTTCGTGTCCTCGAAGAGGCCCACGAGGTAGGCCTCGGACGCCTCCTGCAGCGCCAGGATGGCCGTGCTCTGGAAGCGCAGGTCCGTCTTGTAGTCCTGCGCGATCTCGCGCACCAGGCGCTGGAACGGCAGCTTGCGGATCAGCAGGTCCGTCGACTTCTGGTACTTGCGGATCTCGCGCAGCGCCACCGTGCCGGGGCGGTAGCGGTGCGGCTTCTTGACGCCGCCGGCGGTGGGGGCGGACTTGCGCGCGGCCTTGGTGGCGAGCTGCTTGCGCGGGGCCTTGCCGCCCGTGGACTTCCGAGCCGTCTGCTTGGTGCGGGCCATCTTGGTTGCTGCTGCTGGTTGCTGGTTGCTTGTTGCTGCTGGGTCTTCTTGGGCCGGAGCTTGGAAAAGCGGAAATGAATCGAGCGCTGTGGGCGCAGAAAAGGAAGAAAGAGGACTTGTCGCCGAGTCGGGAGGCTGGTATACAAAACCCAAGTGGTTAGTTAAAGGGGGGTGCAACCAAGGAGGGATGACGCATTGGGGTGTGGCGAACCCCCCTCGTGTTTGGCTCGGATTTTACCCCACACGCGGCTGGGGAGAGGTTCGGGGCGGCAGGGCGACGTCGCCGCCCCCTCTCGCTCTTCGTGTCTCTGGGCCAATCGCTGGCCGCGCTGGCTCCCCATCCCAGACCGCGTTCGGCCTGCAGATTGAGGGCTTTGGACGCCGCAACAGAGCTGCTGAACATACCCCCGAGGACTGTCTTGGTTTTTGTATGCCTCGCTCGAGTCGGAAAAACGGCGAGCGAGCTCTCCGATCGCGATACTGGCCAATCACAACGGAGACCTTCCCCTGGAATATGCACAGAGAATGGACATTCGTTTGTGCTTCAAAAGCAAGCAACGCAAGTCCTGCGTTGCTTGGCTGCCTGCCTGGCAGGCAGGCAGGCTGCAGTGCTCCGCCGGCGTTGAATCGCGCGGGAGTCAGTCAGTAGCATGCTGCAGTGCGATGGTATCCTTGCATTATATTGGTTTTGAAAGAATGCATTTGCAGAGAGCCCACTGCAGTACTATACAAGCGTGTAACACGCAGACAGCAGCGGCTTCGCGCAGCCGAAAACATCGATCAGGTCGGCGAACTGGCTGCAGCGTTGCGGCGAGCGACTGAGTGAAGTGGATGAACACGAAGATCCGTGATTCCGGGCCTATATGCGTGTCGAGCTCGTTGCCGACGGCAACTTGCCGTTATGTAGCGGCAAGGGGCCAACACAAGACCTGCTGCGTGTTTCTGGCCTAGAGCACGCTGAATAAAGATTCAAAGCACGACGACCGCGAGCGAGACTCCCAACGAAGCCGGCGATGTTCAAGCTTCGTCGTGCCATTTGGTTTCGCAGCAGTTATGCGCACCAAGGTGGACAGTCGGTGGACGAACTAACGACCATCACTCTCCATCTTCAACTCGGCGCTTTGTGTGGCCCACACCACCAAGATCTTTGAAGCACGTTGAAGGCAACGTCAAATTAGCAGCTAATGAAGGGCAGCTTTGCAGTCAAAGGCAGAATCTTCTCTGCCCGCTTGATTCCGAGGTGAGGAGTAGGGAAATCATGATCGCTGGCCCAGCGGAGCAGAGCAGCACGAAGCTTACATTGGCGTGGTGGCCGCGTGGACAATGCGCGTGACTGCACGACGTTCTCTCAACGACTCGTTCTTGGACTTCTTGCCTAAAGCCCCGGAACCCAGAGCCGGAGGCTTCTTACGCCTCTTGCTCGAGTCAGACGGAGCCGATGCTTGCAGGGCCTCCTGGGATATCGGTGGCGGTGTCATTTGCTGGAGTGGTGGAGATCGGTCGTGAAGTCGATTGTCGATAGAGCTCAGCATATCGCTTGCAACGCTCTCGTAGCTACGAAATGGTCCACAAACTTCACAATCTCAGCCTCGTGTGCCGCTTTCATCTCGCGTATGTGATTATGAAGATTGGCCACCTCCTTGTCGAATTCCTGCTTGTCTTCGAGACGCTGGGCATCGTGGCGCTGCTTGTCCTCCAGCTTCACTTCCAAACTCTGGATACGCTGCCTATCCTCGCGACGCTGCGCCTCCAAAGTGCCCATCCGTTCCTCCAGTCTTTGAACACGGAGCCGGCCAGCGTCTTCGTGGGCTTCTTGAGCTGCCATCACCTCCGTGATCAGTGCGTGTGTCGGCTCGCACTCTACAGCGGGGCTGGCCAGGGATGAAAGAGTACAAGCACGAACGTGCTTCGTCAGCACAATCACCCGAATTTGGCACTCCTCCACAGTTCGAAAGTGATAAAGTGTTTGTAGTCTTTTCACCACTTCCAGCCATCCCTCGTGGACGCTCCGGAACGACCACGGCTTCACGAGAACGATTATCGTCAGCAGTAAGGAGTCGAACAACACCGATGGAGCGTCGGGGGCCACCTCAGCAGTCTCAGTCGTCTCGTCCTCCTCGTCGTCTTCCTCCTCGTCTTCTTCATCCGCGTCGTTCTCCTCCACGTGCTGCTCCCCACGTACTGGGCTAGTTTCGTTGATATTGCCGTACTTAGCATCAGCGAGAGCGGTCGCCGCGTCAGCACCGGCCAGCCACTTGGCCATACGCTGCCCAGCGTCGAGCATTTCTCTCCAGTCCGGGCTCTGAGAATTTGAGAGTGCCTTAGTAGACGTAGCCACATGGCGTATCTTCAATCAGGCGTCGAACGTTGAACTGCTGGTCGAACTCGCATTGGATGAAGCCACACAAACTACCATCGCTTGATGGTAGTTTTAGTTCCAGAAAGCTCGTTCCTGATGCGTTCCGTCTCGAGCTGCAAGCACGCGGTTTGGAGTCGAAGCGAGGCGAGTTTGTTCGCTGGATCGAGTCGAACGCTTTGACGGAGATCGTTGATTGCAGTAGGGAGCTGTTCTAGCCCCAAGAGGGCGTTTCCACGGCCAAAGAGAACCGCAGCAAGATGCTTGTGGTCTGCTGGGTCCACAAAGCGCAAGCACTCATTGTATGCGCTCGCAGCCTTGTCGAACTCATCCTGCCGCAGAAATTCCTGAGCCTGTTCACGCTGACCCAGCAGCTCCGTCAGACGACTACAGTGAGTATTTAACGACTCGATGGCCTCCATATACTCCTTGCATTCGTTTTCTTGCCTTTTGAATGCCTCAGCAATCCGAATCGAAACTCTGTAGAACCCCGCGTAAGCCAAGGCTCGAGCATACACCAACGTCAGCTCAGCACTCGCTCCAGTCAATGCAGACTGCTTCAGAAACCTGGTCACGAGTACGAACTTCCTCTGCTTCATGAGGGAATGCACCAGGAGGACTGCTACTTCGGTGGAGAGAGGCACTTGACGTAACAGGCTCCAGAATTCATCGGTAAGGGAGGCCAGCACGTGAGGTGGGGCTTCGTGACGCGCGAAAAGCTCCTTGTGACGGTCCAGCGAAGTTTGAAATGCCACACACTCGAGCAGGAGCTGCTTGGCAGCGGCAGCAACATGGCGAAGCGCTTGGCTTTCGTCGTTCTCATTCCGCGAAGGCCTTGCAAAGGGCGCCTTGAGGTGTCGTCGAACAACGTCGAAACATTTTCCTAGAGTCGAACGAGCTCGACCAATGTCGCCGACCACTTTCCAGCCACTGGCAAGGCCTACAAGCTCGCGGCAATACTCGACGCGGTTGTCGGGGGTTAACTTCTCGTCGCCACTCCACTTCATTGACCTTAGTACGCTTTCCCACTGGTCCAGAAACGGTGGTAGCCATTTGAAAGGTGTCGGGGTATCCAGCATCTTCGTCAGCACTCGCGTACGAAGTGTCTGCATTTCCATCACTACTGCCGAGGCATCACGGGTGTCCAAACAACGTTGAAAACGATCAATTAAGTTGGCTAAGTCGTGATCGGCTGCTTGGTTGTCATTATCCACGATGCAGCGCTTATCAGGTAAAGGCTCCGCTGCAGAGAACTGAGCTGCAATGGATTCGTCCGAAAGCACCACGAAGATTCGCTCGTCGCTACTCCATTCTACTCGGAGTACGTCTCTCTTTGCCATGGCCATGGCTTCCTGTTGTGTAGATCGTTAGCTCCTAGCTCACTAAATGTCTTTTCAGCTGAAACGATCGGGTATCGAGTATTTTTGTGAATCGACTGTAAGATGCACTTGCATTATCTCTTGCGTGGAACTCGAGGTTGAGGCTAACGCGCATGGTAGACTGAACCTAGAAGGTTGACGGAGGAGATTGCGTGCAGACTGGCCCAACCGAGTGCACCAGCCTCGGCTTTCTATCAGATGAAGTACGTGCGCGATCACCAGATATCACGGACGTAGCGGTGCTGCGTTCCCAGCTCGCGTAGCTTCTGCTCGGCGTCCTCTTGGGACAATCCAGCGCTCTCCACAAGAATTCCCACGAGAGCGGCGTGAACGTCTTTAGCCATTGCCATGCCATCACCGCAGACAAAGACGTAGCCGTCCGAGCCCAACAAGAGGTCGCACACGAGCGTCCCATTGTCGCGGAGGTCGTGCTGGACGTAGTGCTTCTCTTCTTGATCGCGCGAGAACGCAGTGAACAGCTGCGTGAGTGTGCCATTCGCGACGTACTCCTGCATTTGCTCCCGGAACAGCCAGTCATCGCTCTGACGACGGCAGCCGAAGAAGAGATACGAGTCTCCACGCGTGAAGTCGGCAGCCTTAGCCTCGTAGTGGCGGTGCTGCAGGAATCCCATGAACGGAGCAACACCGGTACCCGGCCCGATGAGAAGCATAGGCGACTGAGAGCTCTCAGGAAGATGGAAGTCCTGCGTGCCACGCAGGAAGATAGGAATCTTCACGTCGACAGCGGCAGTCGCACCCGCGCTAATGAGCGGCTGGCAGATTTCGGCCAACCAGTTCGTGCAGAGTCCACGTCGTCGGAGTCCGTGCTCACCAATGGCGTGGTCAACGACGGTGAACGCAACAGACAACTTAGTAGCGTCGACCAACGGCGACGTCGCGATTGAGTAATAGCGAGGCATCTGCTGCGGTAGGAGCGTCAGCAAGTGGTCGAGAGGCGGCTTGCAGGACGGGAACAAGTGAAGAAGTTCGACGACGTTGAGGTGCTGCTCCGTGATGAAAGCCTATACATCAAACCAAGAGCATACTTGTCAGAGAGAAACCCAGGAGCACTTTCTGATAGACGTATGTACCTTGTACTTGTCCGCTCCAGTCTTGCTGCTTAGAAGAAGCATACGGGCTCGTTGTTCCTCGTCAGAACAGTACGTTGCGAGAGCGCGCACCGCAGCCTTCTTTGGCGAACTCAGGATGTCCACGTGGTGCAAGAAAATGTCACGGACACTGCACGGCGAAGGAAAGTGATTCGAGGTGTTTTTCTTCTTCGCCACGCGCCCGTTGGTCGCGGCAACCGGCTCCGCTGCGATAACTTCGTCTCCACTGATCCCGAGGCGCGCGAGCAGCGCGTCCACGTCTTTCGTTCGGTTCGGGCACTTGACACCGATCGAGTCGCCAGGAACGTAGTTGATTCCAGAGCCGTTGATGTCGATGTCCAAGCGAAGAACCTTCCGCTCCGCGTGCTGGGCTGTAAGGTACTCAGCACCAACAACCGAAGCCATGAACGGGTTCGTCGAGCTAATTTCTGAGTCCTCGACTGCCTTTGGCGAGGCAACTTCTACCTGACGCTCTTCATCAGTCAAGAAGCGCACGCTAAGAAGCGAGGACTGCAGACGCGGGAGGTCTTCAGGAACCTCAGTCGGCGTTTCCAGTAGACCGAACATCTTCTCATACGAGATGAGGTTCTCTAAAAGGTACGACGTGTCGACAGCGGTCTCCGCAGCTGATGGAGCTGCGGACGGCGTCGATTCTGCAGCATCCGCGCTGCTCTTGTCAGTGCTTGAATCCGTCGTTCCACTAGCAATGGCGCTTTCACCAACACCACCCGACGCCTCATCGTACGCTGCCCAAAGACCATTCAGCCACGGTTCCACGCTGTCTTCCAGCCCCATTGCTTCATCACAAGCTCCTGCACATCCAAAATCGCATCTTCCCGTAAGAATCCGACGACGCAGCAGCAATATCCCGAAGAAAAAAAAACAGCAAGCAACCACCTACCAAATTCGTAGAAGCTCTGAGCACCGAGCTCCCGCATGCGCTTCTCGATGCTCTTGCCCATGAAACTGCAATACACCAACATAAGCAACAAGAGATAATACGGGTTAAACGTCCACACACTTTTTACTGCAGCCGTCGCAGGGCCTTCGTGACTCACCAGAACTTGTCGTAGTTGGTGTCTCCCAGCCCCAGCACCGTGTACTTGAGCTTGGCGAGCATGTCGTCCGGCTGCGTGCGGCGCTTCACATAGCGCCAGAACTTGCCGCAGTTGTCGGGCGGGTCGCCGTTGCCCGTCGTCGAGCACACGATCACCACGAAGTGGCCGTCGCAGGTCTCCACTTTGCTCTGCCAGCACCAACCAACCAACCACCGTCAGCTCACTATAGTAAAACCAACATAAGAACATCACTAAATGCGTCGCCTACTTTCTGGAACTCGTTGAGCGGGTGCAGCTCCGCGTCCAGTTGTCGCTCCAGGGCCTCGTCGTAGATGCGCTGCGGAAATGGGTCAACAGAACCAAATTAGCGTCGGGTATGGGCGCAATTCCAGTGCATCTCAACTGCAATTGGGGGTCAAACCTGGGCGATGGACTCGGCGCAGCCGGTCTGCGAGCCGAAGAAGACGGAGACGGCGCGGGTCATGGCGATGGCGGAATAGCTGCTCGACGTGTTCACCACAAACGCTGTTAAACGGTTAAAGTAGCGCTGTGAAGTGGTGCTATCTGAAGTAACAAAACCATCTGGAATGCACACCCATACAAAATCTAGTGTTTTGCGCAGATAAGTAGGGTTTGAATTAAGTTGGTCATGTTACGGTACTGCTGAAACGGGACAAACGAGGAAAGTATAAGTACATTACCTACATAAGACTAAAGTCGACTAACTGTAAATACACGTACCGGTACTGTGTTAGACATGAACTCCAAGCTTCATGTTCAATTTGCCTTTAGTCACGAGCTCTAGGTATCCAAGAATCAAAGCCTCGCTTTCGGTAGTTGTGAAGAACGGTGGGGCAGCGAGAAGAGTTGGTTCAGCCGGTAGACTGCATTCTTACGAGGTACTGCAGGCTTCATTCTACTTATTACTCCTGATGGTATTGTACATGTACCATCGAGCTACGCAGAGGAAACGATAATATTAGGAGTAAGGATACCGCGTTGCCGCGCCTCCTTCACTGCAGCGAAGTCTACCTTCGGTTCATGCACATGTACGAAGCGTATACCGGTGGTCGTCATCGCTTTCTGTGGCCTCACTTTGTGGTCAATTGGATGGAACGAGGAGGCAACAGCTGGCACATCCTTCTTGGGCTCTTTGATGATCCCTCGAGAAGCATGTTGTCCAGTCGAGCACGGCTATTTCTCCTGCGGTATGAATGCATTTCAAAAGTTTTAGCGATTCAGCTCGTGTGCTCTGCTTGCCTTTTCAAAACCTGACTCATACACTGGATCAACCGATCTCTCTAGGGTTGGAAATTTAGTGAACAAAGCGGCAACATTTGTCATTGATGCGTGCCTCTGGACAATATCCGACGCGCTGTGGTCCCGAGTCGAGGATCCAGATCAAACTCTGAAAATACGCACCATAACAACGCAACGCTCTCGATGAAAATACATTCTTGATTGACAATATTCCTTTAGGACTAAAATCAATGTGTAACTTGAGCTGGAAATTATGAATATTCTCCATCGCAACTGGCACAGGTACCGGTAAGTTGATTTGCCGATGGTACCGTAGCAACTGAACAAAAGTGCTTGAGTTCCTCCAAATGTTCTGCGAAATTAGCCATTAAACCAAGCATATGCAGCTGTCACACGGCAAGGTGTGGCTAGCGCGCACATTCGGAGCAAAGCTCACCTCACCATCTTCCCTCGGATTGGCGTGTGCGATTGACATCGGGTTTTCTGGCGGAGGGACACGCTCCCTCGCCCAATAAAGCTCACCGGTTCATGCATTTGAGCTACTCCTTTTGGGAGAAGCTCTCATGCACTTCAGCTCGCGAGCTGGGCTTGCGCGACCGAGAGGCACACGATTTTCATGCAATTGTACACATCGTGCATCGAGATAGAAGAAGCAAATCTTGTCGCCCCTCTCAAGCGAACTGTGGAAATGACTCTCAGAGAAACATAAGCTGCACGCTCATTTAAATTAACGATGTATGGCGCTGTACCTGTAGAACTATGGGGCTCTTTACAGCTAAAAGGCTCCCTGGTAATATGTACAACATTTGTCTCGATAGAAATCCGTCTCAGTGCTCAATACCAGCATGTTTTAGTGCATTGGAAGAGCTCGTTGGTCCACAAGCTCAACCACATTAGGTAACTTTGTGTTTAATTCTGTTCGTGTAGGTGGACATCGAGGTTGTCCCTTTGTCTTAGTCTACCGTAAGCATCTTGGACATTATTATGCGATCGCGATCCCAGCTGATGCCCGGGAACCGCGGCTTGGGGCACTGGACGAGATCTTGGTTCAAGATGAGCAGCATCCAGCGCTGCGACTGCAAGTGCCTTCGCCATTCTACAATTTTCTTTCCATCACACACCCAGCCACAAGAACAATGAAGGTTTTCTTTGCCGCCGCTATCATCGCCGCCGTTGCGGCCACCGCTTCGGCCGACTCGATGGGCAACATGCAGACCGACCTGATCAAACCGCCCACGGCAACTTACGCCGCTGGCACGGAGGGTCTTGGCTCTTCGGACACTACGACCGGTAGCAGCACGCAGACCACCACTTCGTCCGGCGACAGCCCCATCCAGTCGAACGGATGGAGCGTTCCCTCGACCGGTGGATCTAGCGAGACTTCCACGGGCGGCTCGGCCACGACGGGTGGATCGACCGAGACTGGTGCTTCCAGCGAGACTTCTGCTGGTGGATCGACTGAGACTGGCGCCTCTAGCGAGACTTCGACGGGCGGCTCCGCTGAGACTGGTGCTTCCAGCGAAACCTCCACGGGTGGCTCGACCGAGACGGGTGCCTCCAGCGAGACTTCTACTGGTGGATCAACTGAGACTGGCACCTCTAGCGAGACTTCGACGGGCGGCTCGACCGAGACGGGTGCCTCCAGCGAGACTTCCACGGGTGGTTCGGACATGACGGGTGGTTCGACCGAGACGGGTGCTTCCAGCGAGACGTCCACCGGCGGATCGACAGAGACTGGCGCTTCTAGCGAGACCTCGACTGGTGGATCGACCGAGACTGGCGCCTCGAGCGAGACTTCCTCCACGGGATCCTCCACCGGTAGCACGCCCTCGACCTCCTCGACGGGCTCCAACAGCTGGAGCACGCCGTCGACCTCGTCGACTGGATCCAACAGCTGGAGCACGCCCAGCAGCACGCCTTCGCCCGCTTCAAAGCCGTCCAGCTGCCGCCGTCGTCTCCGTGCTTAAGCGCGAGTCTTGTCATATCCTCAGTGGAATGAGGCTCAAACTGCGCAGAATTAGCAGTGTTCCCAAGAGCAGAACACCAACGGGTTGCTTGTGCGCACGGTTGGTATGTATCTGATGCGGTTTATATGTGTGCGCGCTTTTATTGAGAGAGAAGGATAGGACAATTGTCACCCTCACTACTAATGATATGCTCCTCAATACAAGTTCCATTTGCTGTGTATTATACTTCCAGACAAGCTGCATTTCAGATTCATGGTTAAGGCTCAAACTCGAGTGTACCTTAAACGATTTTGTTGAGGGATATCTGGCGAGGTTCACTCCGGCTTTATTACGACAAAATCGTACGCTTCTATTTGAGACGACGTCTCAACTCAACTAAGCACGTAGTGTGCGTCTACAGCTCAAATATTCACAAGACGACATCATCAACGAAGACTGTTGGCTGTAAAAGCCCACCGTACCATGCCGACAGCTCTAGACTCTCAGTATTCATCTAGGAGCATTGTGTTGTCGTTCAAGCGTGTCGTAGGCGAAGAAAACGAAGAATGAGGCGCCGTGCCAAGCAAACGTACGCGACTGCGTTAAGTCTTGTTGACCTGAGTGCAAAAGCTGTTTTGCGGGATTTCGCTATAGGATTCACCCTGCTGACCTCGACTGGTCTCCACCGACTGCACTCGCGCCTCCTTGCGCCAAGTCCGTTCAATAATGTATGTCATCTTGTCAGACCCCACGCGTGGCGCTTGGAGTCGTCACGATAGTTCGGGATAATCGAATTCGCTCTTGTCCTTCGATCACGCGTCTTTGCCGTCAACTTGACAGATCGACGGCCGTGCTGGCCCTCCTTGGCTGACACCAGTCCACGGTAGTCGTAAAGCCGCCCGTGAGATACAAAGCCGAAGCTGCGCGTTAAACTCGACGGTGGGAACTCCGTTTAGACATCCCTAGTGCCCTGGTCTGCACCTTGCAAGACTGCAAGTCAATCCGCTGAGACGGCGCATGGAGGCCACTTCAACTTGAGATCCAGATCAGCCAATCAGAACACGTGAAAAGAGTTCAGAAGCTCCTTGAGCGTGTCAACTGAGACTTACATCCTTTAAGTAGCGTGCTGCTTGGCTGCAGGCCATATCCCAGCTGATGCCAAGGAAAGATGCGCCTACCGAAAGATAGATAGATGTAGCGTACAAGCGCCCGGCGTCAAGAGTGACCAGCCAACTCGAAGACTGCACCATTCAGCAATTCGCTTCGTTCCAAGCACCCCTGATCGATCTCCTCCGTTTTCAAACCTCAACCAGTCATGAAGGTTGCGTTCGCTACTGCCATGGCCGCTGCAGCGTTGGCGGCTGCCTATGCCGACGACTTCTGCGACCAGTGGGGCACCACAACCACGGACAACTACATCATCTACAACAACCTGTGGGGCGAGAGCTACGCCACGTCGGGCAGTCAGTGCACTGGCCTGGACAGCAGCAGCGGCTCCACGGTTGCGTGGCACACCAACTGGACGTGGACCGGCGCATCGTCCAATGTCAAGTCGTTCGCCAACGCCGCCCTCCAGTTTGACGCTGTGCAGCTCTCCAGCGTCTCGTCCATCCCGACGACCATGGAGTACTCGCTCGAGTACAGCGGGAACATCGCCGCCGATGTTTCGTACGATTTGTTCACGGCCTCGACATCCACCGGCGACAATGAGTTCGAGATTATGATCTGGCTGGCTGCTCTTGGTGGCGCAGGCCCCATTTCGAGCACGGGCTCCGCTGTAGCCACGACGACCATCGCGGACACCTCGTTCAGTCTGTACACCGGAGCTAACGGTGACACGACAGTGTACTCATTTGTGGCTTCCGACACAGTCAAGAGCTTTTCAGGCGACCTCATGGACTTCTTCACGTACCTCATTGATAACGAGGGCTTCTCTTCGAGCCAGTACCTGAACACTGTTCAGGCCGGCACGGAGCTTTTCACCGGCACCGACGTAACTCTGACGGTGTCGTCTTACTCGGCCGCAGTCAACATGGGAGCTTCCAGTGGAACTACTGCGACAACTTCGACGGCCAGCTCGTCCACAGGAACCTCCGTCTCGACGAAGGAGCTCATCGCGAGTAGCTCGTCGACTGAGTCGGACTCGCAAACCGCCGCGCTGACTGCTACGACGGCCACCCCGTCCACGGACTCGTCGTACAGCCAGCAGGAAACAACTGCGCCGTCGACGTCCAGCACGTCAGTGAGCGGTGAAGCCACAACTTCAAGCACGAGCTCGACCTGGAACGAACAGGAATCGACTGCGGCCTCTGCATCTGAGACCACGGCTCCGTCAACTACTTCGAGTACGTCCGAGGAGACCACGTCGTCTAGCGCCACGGAAACTACGACTACCAGCGTTACCGCGGCCCCCAGCACCTCGACGACGACTGGAAAGAAGTGCGCTAGCCGCAGTGTTCGTCGCGTCTAAACTTCCAGTGTTCCCGTCTTGCTCGTTGTTGTTTGGGTTCTCGAGGATACTTGGGCTTTTTGCAGAGAACACCTTAGAGCTCGTAGTATGGGTTTAGTTGTTTTTGTAAGAATGTAAAGCTTTGTCGTCCCATTTGAGTCTAGACAGATCAAGCAACATTCGCTTTGTTTACAGCTAGAACAGTTATTGCGAAGAAGCGGCGGGTCATTTCGTGTTATTAAAATAGTAGTAGTAACTCATAGAACAGAGTTTGATGCTCATGGGAGGTCCAAATGCAGAAAGTTAGCAGGCATCCTACATCGACTTATCGGCTCAGCAGTATCGCAACCGCCGTGTGAGCTACCTCGAAGCTACATCTCTGCGATCAACAACCAACACATTACCGTAGAGTAACCTATCCGATTAATCGTGATAACGTCAACGACATCATACAGTGCGTGAATAATGCACCCCTTCGGCGTGTTCTCGATAAGCATTTACCGTATCCTTATCCTACGACAAGGAAACACACCACACGAACGATGATAGCCAGCGCCACAGGGTCACCCATGCGAGTGGGTTGTACGCACCCTTGTCAACCTACCAGGCGGGATAACTTATCGATCCGTACAAGGGAATCTCTATAACTGTATGCGCTGCTTCTGTAAGATCCGTTTGGCAGAAGTGAAAACACGAGCGGTACGGACTGCTGGGATCGGCTCCGAGTCGATGGCTTGGGAGATACCATGAGTCAACAAGGTTGAAGGGGACGGGGCCCGAGGCTCGGGCTCTTGACAAGTAAATCATCATTCGGCCGCCAGCAGCCCATACCCACCAGCTGCACGATAGTTACCTGCCCAAACGATTGGGTTTCAAACCGACGAAGTCCATCCCGTGTGGGGCACCTACGGGTGAGCAACACGCTCGAGCAGAATTGGCTGGTGCAAGTGCAACAACCTCGCCCTTCCAGGCCGTGGGTTTCCTGAAGTAGATGGGCCATCACCTGGTCCTGGAGACGCTTCCAGATAACGATTCAGCGACGATATGTCTTCAGGCTAAAGTCTCATCAACTTTGAGGCTAAAGGTTGAAAGGGCTTGAAAGAAACCTCTTGGTCAAGTTGGCACACGTGCTACCAAGTCATGGTGTCATGAAGCAAGTGTGCGCATTCCCAAGGGCTCTGCCATCCTACGAGGCTCGCTAAGTGATGCAACCCCAGCATTTCCGTTCTTACATGGGCGACCGAGGATTATTGAGTCAATCGCACGACATCATGGAGACGAACACCAGTGGTGTGGTGTTACACCACCAGGTCGAAGAGAAAATTCCGGCTTCAGCGTCGCTCCACCAATCAGATCTCGCAAAAAGAGTTCAGTTCACGCTGCTTGGTTTGCCTAAAATAGAAAAGCAATTTGCTGACTTGGTTTTTGTATGGACGTTGCTCCATGAAATGTCAAACTTGGCGAGTCCGCTTATTTACACGCCCTAACGGATCCCATCTGCCTAGCAGGAACAAGTGTACCAACGCAGGATGCAGCTCGCGATGCGTTTGATGCCCAGCCACCGGCGTGCTGCAAAGTGTTGTTGACCAGAGCACGCAACACAATCGGACAGACGCCCCATTCAGCGATTTGCCTCGTTCTCTCCATCCAACTCGACCAAGCATGAAGGTTCTGTTCGCCACTGCTCTGACGGCCGCCGCCGTGGCGGTCGCCTCCGCCGCCGAGTTCTGTGACCAGTGGGGCCAGGCCAAGTCGGGCAACTACATCATCTACAACAACCTGTGGGGCTCCAGCGCCGCCAACCCCGGCGGCAAGCAGTGTACCGCGCTGGACAGTGGCTCCGGAGACAGCGTGGCCTGGCACACCACTTGGTCGTGGCAGGGCGGCGACAAGAGCGTCAAGTCGTTCGCGAACGCCGCTCTCGAGTTCGACCCCGTGCCGCTGAGCGAGGTCAAGTCGATCCCGTCCACCATGGCGTACACGGTCAAGTCCAAAGGCAAGGCCGTGACCGACGTCGCGTACGACCTGTTCACCAGTTCGACCGCCAAGGGCGAAAAGGAGTTCGAGATCATGATCTGGCTGGCGGCCCTGGGCGGCGCCGGCGCCATCTCGAGCACGGGCAAGCCCATCGCCTCGACCACCATCGCCGGCACCGAGTGGAGCGTCTACAAGGGCCCGAACGGCAGCATGATGGTGTACTCGTTCGTGGCCTCCAAGCAGGTCGAGAACTTCGAGGGCGACCTTCTCGAGTTCTTCAACTACCTTGTCAAGGAGCAGGGCTTCAAGACCAGCCAGTTCCTGATCAAGGTGGAGTGCGGTACCGAGCCGTTCGTTGGTACGGACGTGACCATGACGGTCTCCAAGTACTCGGCTGCCGTCAACACCAGCGGCGGTTCGTCCACGCCCACGCAGTCGGGCGAGAGCAGCTCGTCGACTGAGCAGACCACGACCGCCCCCGCTGCCTCCAACACGGGCTCGTCGGCCGAGCAGACGACTCCTGCCCCTGCTGAGTCCAACACGGGCTCGTCGGCCGAGCAGACTACCCCTGCGCCTGCTGGCTCGGACGCTGGATCCTCGGAGGAGCAGACTCCCAGCACGCCCAGCACTGGTTCGTCCACCGAGCAGACCACGGACGCCCCTGCTGCCTCCAACACTGGTTCGTCGGAGGAGACTCCTTCTACGGGCTCGAGCGAAGAGACCCCGAGCACTGGATCGAGCGAGGAGACCCCCGCTACGTCGGACGCAGGCTCCAGCGAGGAGACCCCGGCTACCTCCTCTACGGGCTCCAGCGAGGAGACCCCGGTCGAGTCGAGCACTGGATCGAGCGAGCAGAACCCTGGCCAGCAGGAGCCTTCCACTCCTACCACGTCGTCTTCCAGCGAGGAGACTCCTTCCACGGAGACCAACCCCAAGTGTGTGCTCCGTCGCGTTCGTCGCGAGTAAATGTGGATTTCATTTAGATGAACTGCAGCGTCTTCATTCGTCTGTTTAAAGTACTTGGCTTTCGACGGGGCTGGTATTTCGGCCACGGGAATAGAGAGAGTTCTACAGTGCAGTCTTCTCAGTGAGCTTAGTGTTGATGTGACCAAGCTTCTTATAAAATGTCATTATGCATACAACAATGTGTTCGTCTTTGAGCGTCCGTGCATTTTGTCGTGTGTAGTGTGCTCACCACAATCCAACAAAGCGCCACACAGTTGAGTTATTGCGTCGTGATCGAGTTCGTGCATCGTATCCCGCTAGAATACAACACAGAGGATACAACTTCGCGAACGCTGAACGACAGACTACTGTACTTTACAGACAGCAGCGTCGAGCGCTGAGGCTGTTGCAACGAGCCCGGCACCAAATCCCCCTTGTCAAGACGGCGACGCCGGTCAAAGGTGTAGCACTGCTCCGTCTAATTCAGTTGCCGGCTCTGCCACAATACGGTACTGTATGCTCTCGGTGATCGAAAAATGAAAAGCAAAACTGCGACTGTATCATCGACCATGACCAACTTGCAGACAGCCAAGACCACCTGCGGTTGCTCTCTTTACAACGGCCGTTGCCGGCGCGACATCGTGTTGTCTACAGTAGCGATGCATCGCTCGAGCAGCTGTAACGACCACCTCGACGACCACCCAGATGCCAGGGGACCAGATGTTGAGCTTGGCGGCTTGGACGTGAGTAGCGCGGCTTCCATGACTGCCAAAGCGCCAAGCTGGCCGAGAAGAAGAACAGGAAGAGGTGAAAGATCGGATCCCTCCAAAACGGGGGAAGGAGGATCTGGTCCTCTTGGCTCGACGTTCGAAAACGCGCCGACCAGGAGGTGGTGTGACGCCCGCGTCTCATGATCCACACAGTCCTGGGCGCGCAATGCCCCGAGCCCGTGCCCGACCAGCGCACGCCTTGGCTGCGGAGCGGCGAGCGTCTTGAGACGTGGGTTACACACGCTGACTCGATCGGTGGCTGCAGCTTGCACCAATCGCCTGGGCCCAGTCCAGCTTCTCCGCGGCCCGATGTTTTCCGCCGTGACGAGAATCTCGGCGATAAAGCCGACACTTGGCTGCGTCAAGACTCGGTTCGGGATGGGGGGTCCCCCCGACCAGGAGGCTCAAGGAAGCCTCGAAGGCTCGCACCGCTCGCTTTTACGCGTAATGCGTGAGAATTGGCCGCTGCCGATGAGTTTGTATGTTTGTCTAAATAATGTAAGGACAGCGCTAAAGAACGTTGAAGAGAAGCTGGGCTGCTTCCCACACAGAGGCGGCAGCAAAGGCAACCCAGGTCTCGCTCATAAAGAGTGTCTGTGCTAAAGGCACAAGAGCAAAGTAAGCTGTCATACAGTTTGGGCATCTGGTTGTAAAAGTCGGTTTGGGGAATTCGGTGCGACTTGGATTTGTCGCCGGGCTAGGGCCCCAAATTCCACCTGCCTCCACTCGATTGGGCCATTTTGGGCCCAAAGAGGCTTCTTCTCCCGAGGGGCGAGTGGGAGGAAGCGCAGCAGCGAGCAGCAGCGCGAGCGGCTACCCGGACCAACCAGCCTCCGCGGCGGCAGGCCAGCCACACCCGCCATCGCGCATCGATCGATCCTTCTGTCGTGCCGGCACAAGTGGATTTTTTTAAAACTATCATTTGCCGCAACTCTTCTCTAAAAGTTTAACACCACCAGGGAGAGAAGGGAAAAAGGCAAAGGACTCTTTTTCTCTAAATGAACAGCGTGGCGTCGCCTCTGCGGATGAACATGACGACGACCTCCGGCCACCCGCAGCAGGCGCCCCAGCACCAGCAGCAGCAGCAGCGGCGTCTCCACCGCGCGCGCGGCCAGAGCTCGGCCGCTGGCCACCACCAGGACGTGCCCCAGGACGCCGCCTTCGCGCGCATGCAGGCCATGCACAACGCGCACATGCAAATGCAACTGCAACAGCAAGTGCAAATGCAAGTGCAAATGCAACAGGGTTACGCAGGAGGGTACCCCCACCAGGTTACGACCAAGAATCAGGCCCCGAATGCTCAGCTGCGTCGCGGAGCAGCGTCATCATCTTCTTCTTCTCGTCCCCGGGCAGTAGGAGAAGCTCCGAGGAGTAACCAGGTTACGCGCCAGCCCAGGCTTCGATCAGTGACGGACGAGATGGTGCGGAACCAGTATGCAGGTCAGGACGAGGAGCTGGCAGGACGCCCCGCCATGATCGCCATGAGCCAGGAAGACCTGCCCTACGACATCTCCAGGGACCGCCGCAGCCGACACCACAGCCACGCGCGACCGGAGGAGAACTACCGAGGCAACAGCAAGTCGGCGGCCTACCAGGGCAACTGCAGGGGTAACAGGATTGCGGCCAACCCTGCAGGCAACAATCATCAGAGTCGCAGTGCCGTTCGAGGTCGCTCGGCAACAGTGAACAATGCAGCGCCCGAGTCGCGTAACCCGGAGACGTTTAAGCGCAGTAGCAGCAGCAGCAACAGCAACAGCAACAGTAACGGGGTTACACCGGGTAACCCGGAGGGTGTCGTTCGTGGTGCTGCGCCGTCGCGCGCGTCAGCGCCTGGGGCGCGCAGTAACCAGGCTCCTGTTCGGACATCAGCTCCTACTCGCTCGTCTGTTCCCGAGCCAGCTCCCGAGCCTGTGGCGTGGCGTGTGGCCGTTGACCCCAAGTCCAAGAAGCCGTACTACTACCACCCCATTACGAGGGAGACGACGTGGAAGAAACCGGCGGAGTTGGTGGCGGCCGAGACGCGCGAGAAGCGCCAGTTCTTCTCGGTCATGGAGAACAACATCCGCCTCAAGCTGCGCGACGGGTACTACACGCGCGACAGCGAGACGTCCAACTCGAGTCACAGCACGCCCGACGCCGTGCACAAGCCCCACGAGATGTCGCCGCACGCCTCGTGCCGATCGTCGGCGAGTACGCTGAGCTGCAGCAGCGCGCGCAGCAGCTTCTGCTCGTTCACGAGCGGATCCGCGCGCTCCCTGCCTGGATCAGCGCGCCAGCTCATCTTGAGCTCGACGCGCTCGCTGCCCACGACGCCGGAAGGCATGGGCGTGCCGGACTTGAACCAGCCTCAGCAGGAGCCGGACACTTTGGAGCGCGAGTCGGAGGACGGCAAGAAGCGGCCGTCGCTGTTTAGGACGCTGTCGTCGTACGAGACCCCAGTGGTGACTTCGTCCCGCAAGGGAAGTGACGGCTTGGATGTTGATGAAGTCGGGCGCAATGCGCCTACGTGTCTGGCAGTTCCGTCGCCGATCCAGGAGCGCGTGCGTTTGGCCGCTCTCGTGCCGCGTGCCTCAGACTTGGAGGCGTACGCGCGCGCCGTGAGAGCCGCCAATGGCAATGGTAGGCCGTCACTGCAAGCCCCGATGATGGGAGTTGCTGCTGGCCGAGGCAACTCGGCGTCCGCCCTTATGAAGACGAAGACTCCGGAGAACAAGAGTGCTCCCGCTGACAAGCCGCGCGCGCTGCGACGTCGCTCCAACAGTACCAACTCGATTTATTTGCGTATGGGAACGATGAACGCGCCGGACCAAGATGCGACGATCCAATGTGTTGCTACCGTGTTGCGCGCGCACATGATGGAGGCACTGGAGGACCCGATCCGGTCGGACCCCCGCTTCGATGTTTTCGTGACGGCCCGCGACCGTCAGCGCCTGGCGTCAATTGCGGACGAATTGGACGCCGAAGCTACTTCCTTCGTGGAGGTGGAGGACGAAGATGTTATCCTGGATGTGGTCCCCACCCTGTCGGAGATCGGCAATTTCATCAAGCACGTCTTTTCCCGCGCTCAGATGGAGTCGGAGTGCATCATTATGAGCCTCGTGTATGTGGAGCGCCTGCTGAAGGCGACAAGCGGCATGCTGCAGCTGCGCGGGGAGAACTGGCGCCGCCTGGTGTTTTGCTCAATGGTGATGGCGTCGAAGGTGTGGGACGATCTGAGCATGACCAACGCCGACTTCTCCAAGATCTGGCCCGAGCTCTCGCTGAAGCAGATTAATGAGCTGGAGCTGGTGTACCTGAGCGCCGTGGAGTACAACGTCCGTGTGTCGGCCGTGTCGTACGCAAAATACTACTTCCACCTCCGCTCCATGTGCGCCACGATGGGGTTGCTGGAGGCGTTTGACGAGAGTGCGCCGCTCAACTTGGACGGCGCGCGCAAGATGCAGGTGCTGTCGGAGGAGTACCAGGAGCGTTCGAAGCTGATGCCGGTGCCGCGCCGACGTAGCGTGACCATTACGACCACGTCGGCTGCCGAAAGTATGCAGGCGGGCGCGAACGCTGGCCGATCTGCGGTCGGAGGAGCCAAGTCCAAGCCGACCAAGGCCTCACCCGCGGCCAGCCTCGAGCAGCTCGTGCACATGCAGGTGCGCGTGGCTGGCGGCAGCTCGCTCGGAATGCACCGCCTGTCGTCGACCAACACGGTGAAGCCGTGAACAAGGTGAAGGAGTTGAACTGTCCAAGCCACATGAAGCAAGCGGAACGAAGACGGACGGTGGCGATGGAGAGAGGAGGAGGATGGTGGTCGTGTGTCTTTTTATTTGATGAGTTAGTGTAGTGATTCGTGCAGTGCCTAGTAGCTGTTGAAGAACTTCTTGGAGGAGGCTTCGCACCAGGCGGGGTGGACATCTCGGCGTGAGCTGGCACGCGCGTGATGGAAGCAAAGCAAGTGGGCGATGGCCTCAGATGGAGAGAAAGCGAAACATGTGAATGTGATGAGTGACAAACAAAACAAAGCTGGATGCTACTGTAAGTACCAGAAAAACAAAGCCAAACGTTTGGAACGTGTCGATCGAGTTGAGTACCATGCTTTGCCGCTACAAGAGCGAAACAACGTAGGTGTGCATCCAGTTGAGTGCAGCTTCCTGGCCTGGGTCCACAACCACTTCATCCGCCGACTCCACTTCAGCAGCGTTCGACTGGAGTTGAAGCCGCTTCTGGAGTGCCAACCGGAACGCTGGGTCTTCCAGTACCGAGATGCTCAGCGTTTCCATCGAGGAAAGAGGCGCTGGAATTGTGGAGTAAGGCGGAGGAGGTGCGTCTGGATCCCCGGATTGTTCATCTTCGTCGTCATTTTCGTCGTCGCTGGTGGTCATATCCGACTCAACGGCACTTTTCAGCTGCAGCACCATGCGCTCAAACTCGAGATTCGCCATCGCCGGCAACGCCGTGAGTTCGTGATCGTCTTGCTCGGTCTCATCTTGAGCCAAATCGCTTGAAGAAGACACAGTCGTCGGTGCTGGAGGAGGTAGCTCCGCAACCGGCTCCACTGGAGGTGATGGTGGCGTTTTGAAGTCTGGTAGTTGCTGGACCAAGATGATCGGGTCGTCAAGTGGAGACGCCTTTGGTTTCCCGTTCGCGCTGGATACCTCAGCTTGCTTCTTACGCTGGAATTCGAGTCGATGCTCGCGTAGCGAGGGTTGACTGGCACGAACTGCGGAGCCTCGCGTCTTAGGCGTAGATGATGGAGTTTTCGGCTTTGTCTGTTGACGACGAATGCCAATTGGGGCAGGCGGTGGAGCTCGCTTACTAGAGTTCGGTGTCTTCCCCTGAACACCAAGAACTACGGGCTTCGGGTACGCTCGCGCAGCCGGCTGTGGGTTTTTGGAGACTGCAACATTCCGAGCGATTGAGGACGGAGGCGGAGGTGGGAGGTTTTTCACCAATTCTTCTCGTTGGGCTGCCCACTGCAAGTTTAGGTAGAGAGGTTAGTGCGGTTTGATGAATACATTTTCTCCCGAGTTCACTGCACGCACCTTTGTGTTGAAAGCAGCGACGCGTTCTGCAATTCCACTGGGGGATTTGCCTTTTGCCTCATCCGTCTTTGCCGGAGGGTCTGGGAGTGCCGCGACAGCAGCAGCAGCAGCAGCAGCAGCAACAACAACCTTCTCCTTCGCTTTCAACTTCGCCTTGACCTGTGCTGCCGCCGCCCCTTTCACTCTCGACGACACTGCACGTTGCTGCTTTGGAGCGCTCAACCTGCTCACGGCCGAAATTCTGGCAGGAACTCGATCGGGTTGAACCCTCTGTTGAATCGGACGACTTTTTCTCAATGCGCCACTTGGAAGCCCTCGAGCCTTGCGACTTGCACCGAGCAGAGACGCCACTCTCGCCTTCACGGGAAAAGACGGAGCTTTCCTCTGTTGACGAGGCGATGGCTTAATGACCGCGTTAATTGCCGGACTCCGAACAACAGGCTCCGCACGGCGTACGTCCAACGGAGCGATCAGAACCTTGTCTTCCATTGGGATTTTCTTACGGAAGACGTTTTCTCCATGGAGCACTGTGTGATTCAACTCGGAGGCCAGCGCTCGAGCCGACAGGAAGCTCTGGATTCGTGCCAGAACCAATGGCCGTCGGATAAGTTGGTTCACGCTGGGGCGTGCACGTGGTTCCTTCCGTAGCATATTGTCCACCAAAGTCTGAAGTTCTCTCTTGATAGTGTTTAAACTTCCACATGATGGGAGCTGCGGAGTCACGCCTCGCACGATGTTATCAAACAATTGACGCTGACTTCGCCCCTCAAACGCGTGCAAGAAGGAGGCCATCTCGAACAACACACAACCGAGGCTCCAGATGTCCGCCTTGGCGTTGTAGCGCTTACCGAGGCAAATTTCAGGCGCCGTGTAGTACGGCGTACCAATTGAGGTCTGTGCGCAAGCCAGTGTGTGGCTTAACACTGTGGCGACGCCGAGATCTCCGACCTTCACGACTCCAGACTTGGTGAGGAAAATGTTGGCGGGCTTTATGTCGCGGTGCAGGATCTTCCGGTCGTGGAGATGCTTGAGCGCTAGACACACCTGCACGAAGAGACCGAGAAGTTCATCAGGCTCGAAGTAGCTACGACGACTGGTACGTCGCGCTAACTCGTGACTCAAGTCTCCACCATCCGCAAACTCCGTCACAATACAGAGCACCGTTGGGCGTTGCTGGTGTCGCCCCAAAAAGGGAGCGTTAAGTGTGGTTGGTTTCAGCAGGAAGCTCTCCTTGCACGCAATGATGTTCGGGTGATCTAAAGCTGCTAGCAGTCGAGCTTCGCGTTGGGCGTTGGCCTGATCGCGCGGGTCTAGAACCACTTCCTTGATGACAAACTGCTGCTTCTTGAGCTGTTCATCTGCTGTCTTACGCGTGGCCAGGTACGCACACCCGAAGCTTCCCTGACCGATCTTGCGAACCTTCACGTACTTCTCCATGGGAAGGACAACTTGGAAAGTGGCAGGAAAGGAAGTGCAAGACCATGAAAGCTGCAGAAATAGAGGATGAAGTTGAGGCATCCCATTTCAACGATAGCCATAGCGTTGGTATTACCAGCCATGAAACTCCCAATAGTGGAGTGAGATGGATTCCTCCCAAGCCTCAAAGTACAAATATGCAGTGGCACAAGTCACGGATCCACCGTCGCCCATGGCAATGGCAGGCCGCTTTCCTCGTTCTCTAACCGCTGAAGATGACGGCAATGGCTTCCTCTTTAAGGGTAGCGCTTCTCCCATCGTATCCGGTCAAAAGCGTGGCGGTACTCATGGATTTCAGCGCAAGCCACCTCACATCGACATGGCTCGCGAGTACGAAGCCTCAGGGAAAAGCTACAAAGCTGCTCGAACCACCATCGCGACTTTGAATGAACGTCACCGCCAGCTTCAGATTGCACAGGAGGAAGCTTTCATCCGGGAGCAGAAAGACAAGAAATTCACTGCCAACTTTGCCGGAACAAGGCTAGCAACTTGCGGCGTACCGACACTCAACACGATGAACGTGCGCATCGAGCGACAGCGCGAACAAGCCAAAACAAAACTTAACAATGACTCATCGCCGACCAAGCAACAGCCAACCAACAAGAAACAGCGAGAAGCAGTGCATCGTCAGCACCTCGACAGTCAAATCCGAGCTGCTGTACGTCGTTCGTATGGATCTCTCGAGCTTGACTTGAAGTCTCAGGAACTTGTGCACATTCCGCGCTCGGCAGTGTTCACAACGCTGCTTATGCAGCTCGCTCGCTCCATCCGAACTGTGAATGTATCGCGCAACGCTCTACGTGAAATTCCCGAACGTTTTATCCGAGCTTTTCCCGAAGTTGAGACGTTGATTGTCAAGGAGAACGCGTTGGCTCGACTGCCACCTCGTGCACTGGGCGACCTGCGCTACCTCCGGGTGTTGAATGTATCGGGTAACCAGCTCAACGCCCTCCCTATCGACCTGCCAACCACGCTTGAATCACTCGATGCTAGTCGCAACCGACTGCACGATATTCAAAACTTGCATGCTCTCACTCGCCTGGTGACGCTGGACTTGAGCTACAACCACTTCCAGTTGCTACCCTGCGGACTCGTAGCGCTGAATAAACTGCAGACGCTCACGTTGAGTGGGAATCGACTCGTGACACTCGCTACGAGGCCGCCGCTTCTTCGAAAGCGAGGAGCTGAAGACGATGATACTGGTGCGAGCCCACAAGACGAAGAGGACGTTAATACTGGGAATGAACCAACAGAACAAGAGAACGAAGCTGCTCGCAAGCAGTGGAGAGTAGAAGAAGACCCCGTCACGCACGACACGGTCTACTACCACTTGCCAACCAAGCGAGTGACTCGAACGAAGCCGAAATGCTTCCAACATCGCATCCCGAAGCTTCAACTGCCCGGCAATCAAGTGCATCAACACAAGCCAGACAATCGCGCGTTGCTCGAGCGATACCCAGACGGCTGGGAGATTATTCTACCTAGTCCATCGGATACATCGACTGCACTAACGTTCGTGAACCACTGCACCGGTGAGAACTTTTCCACGCTCCCTCCAGCACTCGATCGCTGGGACGGAGTAGACCACTTGCACTCCCTCTATCTATCAGGAAATGAGCTCTTGGACCTACCGCCGTCATTTGTAAGTTTTTAGGCCTCTGTAGTCGTCTTCAGATCAAATACTAGTTGACAGGTTTTTGACTCTTTTCAGGGAAGACTAAAGCGGTTGAAGCGGCTTGAAGCGGAAAACAACAAACTTTTAGCTCTACCCGATGTGCTTCAGGGTCTAGCGGCGCTTAAGACGGTCAAGCTCGGCATGAACGGACTTGCAACACTACCTCCATCCTTCTCAAAACTCGCAAACCTCACCGAGTACGTCATTCATGTCATCCATAAACTCTCATGTTTCTGAACTTTATCCTGTTGTTTTCGCAGCGTCGATGTGAAGCTCAATCGTTTGCGAGAACTTCCCGAAGCTTTAGGCGACTTGAAGCAACTGCGTGTGCTCGATGCCAGTGCCAACGCGTTAGAAAAACTCCCTCGCTCCTTCCTGGCTCTGCGAAAGATTGTCACGTTACGGCTCGCAGGCAACACCCCGCTTCTAAGCGCGGGCTTTGCTGGCGAGACGCTGCGCACCGGGAACCTCGCGGAAGTGCGATGGCAACTGGAACACCAGATCGAGTGCGAGAAGCACGGCGGATCACGTCCCCCAGAGCCGAAAGCTCGACTGATTGGCGTCGGATCCGAGTGCTGGAGCACCGACTTGCACATCAACCGAGAATTCGCTCGCGCGGTGGAAATGGCTCGAGAGACGCACACGCTGTCCATGCACTGGCGCAGCATCGAGGTGCCCGAGTTGCCTCGCGTCTTCTTCACAGCCGTACCGGATCTACAGGAGCTTCGACTGTCGGGTCAAAACTTTGAAGTGCTACCCGCAGGCTTCGGGACGTTCACCAAGTTGCGCGTGCTGCAGCTGCGACAGAACAATATCCGAATCATCGCACCTGAAGTGTTCGGGCCCATTGGTGATGATCAGTTGAAGGGCGATGTGGGGATCGGTGGGAGCTTGGAGACTCTGGACTTGCGCTACAATCGATTGGAGACGCTGCCGGAAACATTCGTCAACTGCACCAAGCTCCACACGCTTCGCGCCAGCCACAACATCCTTGCCTCCTTGCCAGAGTCCATGATAGGGCTGACCAACAGCTTGGTGGACTTGCAGCTCGCTCACAACCAGCTAACGACAGGGCCAAAGGCTCTAACTGCGCTGCGTACACTCGAACGTCTCGACTTGTCCTTCAACCGCATCGAAACACTTGATGAAGTGGATTTCTCGCAGCTCCCGCGGCTTCAAGTCTTGCGGCTGAGTGGCAATAAACTTACGGAGCTACTGATGTCTCTGGGTGGGGTAGGAACTTCCGACGCTGGAAAACCACCGCCGATACGTGAGCTGACGTTCGCTGGCAACATGATCCGAGAGTTCCCACCCGCAATTCTGCTGCTCGGCGCTACACTGCAGCGAATCGAGATGCAAAGCAACCGTCTGGAACGACTGCCCATGAGCTTTGGCGTGTCCTTGCCAGCCTTGGAGATCGTCGAGAGCGACGGCAATCCGTTCCGCTCTCCTCCAGCGGAGATCATGCGGCTCGGGGCGAAAGCTATTCGCTTGTATCTGCACAAGCGCGAGCAGCGCGTGGAAGAACTCTCAGCACTGCTTAGCGCGTTGGGGCTGGTCTTCGATCGGGAGAGCTTTGACAAGCCCATTATGCGCCACTTGCTGCCTCCGGACGTGCCGCTCACGATTCTGCCCTTCCTCACCTCCAAGCACCTCGTAGCATTCGACCGCGCGGTGGATCGCTACGTGAACGGCGCGTTCTACCTGCCGCCTCCGATGGGACCGGACTTCCGTCGCGGCGCCGACATCTTCCACGACCTGCTGCTCAGCACGCACTTCGAGCTTGCGCAGCGACATCATCGTACAGTTCTGGAGGAGCTGCTGCAGCTGCTTGAGTTAATCCGCCTGAAGCGCTGGGCGGACAAGACCGACCTCCGATACGATATGCAGCGGCCTTGGGGGCGTCGAGGCGAGCAGATCGGCGTCTACATGGTGCGCGGAGCCCTGCTCTTCCCTGACGATTATAAAGACGCCGACGACGTCGTTCGTCCTCCTCCAAGTCCAGGTAAAGAGCTCCCGAGCATCCTTCGGGTGATTGAGACCAGGACGCAACGCGGCTTCCCAGCGGAGCCCTTCATCGAGAACAAACGCACACTGCGTGACGTTGAGCGAGCGTTGGAGCAGTACGTTGGCGCCTACGGACCCGTTGGTGTCGCCCACGCGAACGTCCCCATGCGATGCGCGTGTGAAGAGCTCCTCCGCTTCGGTAAGATGCACGAGCCGTGTGAGCAGCCTGGCTGGACGATGGTCCGCGTGCTCTACACCGGTGAAGAAGTCGCCCGCCGTGAGCTGGACGAACGCCGGCTGCGCGAGGCTCAAGACGCTCTGCTGCCTCAAATCCGCGCGTTCCTCGAGACTCCAGACGGCGAGAAGCGGTTCCAGCGTGAAGTTAAAGTCGCCAAAGACGCCTTGCGCACGCACCTCCGAGCGCTCAAGAAGCAGCTTAAACGCCATCAAGCCAAGCTGAAACCCCTGCTAAAGGAGCGCGCTCGAGAAGAAAAACTGGAGAAGAGGCTCGAGCGCGCGGCCGCGAAAGCTGCAAAGGCGAAGAAGCCTGGCGAAGAGGTCCCCGCGAAGAAAGCTGAGACGCTCGGTGAGCTCAAGGCGCGGGTAGCGAAGCGTGAGAAGCTGGAGTTCGACGAGACTCGCGTCCGTGAAGACATGGAGGAGCTGGAGCGCGGAAAAGCTCGACTTGGTCAGGGCCACGCAGCCTTCAGGGAGGAGGTGGAGAAGGTATTGCTTGAAAAAGTCGGCGCTACTGTACGACAGCATCTTGTACGGCAGCAGCGGGATCAAGCCATCGTCATGGGCTGGCGCCGTCCTTGGGATGGCATTGACGGACGCGCCTTCGAGCGATACCACCGAGAAATTCTTCGAAAGAAGCAAGGTGGAGTGGCCGAAGACGGAGCTGCTGCTGCGCCTGACAGCGGCCCGAAGAGCGTCCTTAAGCCGGAGACGAAAGACAACGCAGCGGAAGGCTCGAAAGCTGACGGCGCGGAGGATGAAGACGACGCAGACGACGATGACGCGGTGGCAAGCGACGATAACAGCGAAGTCAGCGATGTGTCCTTCGACGGCTACGATGACTTGGTCGCGAACATGGCACGAGGTCCTCTCGATGCTGGTCAGGAAGACGACGACGATGAAGATGACGATGAAGAGAGCGCAGCGATCGCTGAAGCCGCACGAGCTGCCGCTATGGCAGCACTGGAGGCTGAGGAAGCGGAGAGAGAGGCAGACGACTTGGACGATATCAGCTCCGACGACGATGACGATGATAAACCTCCTGAATCCGAAGACAGCGACCTCTGATCTACTGAGGCAAAGCAAACAAACCACCACACCACATGGAACCAACCGAGGACAGCGAGGACTCAAGCTCTATAGTACCACACAAAAACAAGAGGCTGGGAACATCTATTCCGAATACAAGCTTGGGTCAGCCAACCGAGTCAACACAAGCAAGACCTTACGAACAACGGAGGGAGAAGGCAAGCACGCAGACACCCAGCATGAAGGCTGGTTGCCGATGCATCACCCTCTTCCCCCACCAACTACCTGGATACTTGATACCTGAGCCGCAAATCTGCGAGTTGAGAGTTCGACGAGCATGCTTGGACCGGCCCGATGCACTACCCACTTGATGCTAATCTCACAAATACAGCGGCTGTTGGCCGTGCTGCTGCTGCTGATAGTGCGGGGTGTAGCCTCCCCCGTTGGTGGCTTGCTGCGCGTGTTCAGCGGCAATTCGATTGGCGTTCCGGACTGAAGGCGACGAGCTTCGCTTCCGCGGCGCACGCATAGACACACCGTCGATTACCGGGTACCGGTCCGCAAAGGACGGTGTGCGAGGGGTTTTCAGTAGAGTCTGCAGCACTGCGTCACGCCGGCCCGGGTTTTCATGGAGATAGCGGAACTTCTTGAATACTTTCATGGCATACCGGGCGTCGATGACCGGGTCGTGATCCGCCTCCTGGATGTCCTGGCCAAGCAGGTACTTGGCCACGTGCCGCAGAGAAAAGTAGCGGTAGCGGACCACGCCGTTTGTTAACTGCATGGGCAGTCGGAAGAGGTCGGCGACGTCAAACTCCGCCTTGTAGTCCGTCGGCTTCTGCAGCGTGAGCCATTCCAGGTCCTTCTTGATAGACTGGCCGACAATCACGCTTTCCACCGGCAAGATAGCTTTCAACCGAACCAGCGCCTCCTCCAATTCCGGAGCCCCTTCCAGGTTGCTGCCACACAATACAATAAAACAACCTCAACTAAGTTGCAGTTCACTCGAGAATTATTTCCATTCCAGACGCACCTCTCTGTGATTCCCGTGAGTTGTGTGAGGTAGCTAACGATAGGCTTCGTGGGTTTGACGTACTGGTCAAACACGACCTTCTCGTCCTCATCCACCACAGCAATACGCGCTACATCGCGATCACTGCACAACGAAGAGTATCACGTCAGCGCCAAATTCCCACTTCAACTAAAAAAATCAATCCTTCAACCAACATACTTGGTACCGTTGCCCGTGGCAACACACTCGACGTCAATCGCGAAAAACTACCCGCAACCAATGCCAACAACACAGAAGCCAAAAAAGTCATCATAATATTATACCAAACAAAACAACAACAAAAACTCTCAGTCAACCACCCCAACAATAAAAAGCTTGCACCCCACGTACCGGTCCTTCAATGTCTCTCGTGAGCACGGGCAGAATCTCGCAGATGACCTCCTTCTTCTGTGGGTTGGCCTGGATCTGCAGCTTCCTTCTGGGCGGCGCCCCATTGGTCGGCGCAGTCGCTGCATTCTCGTCTCCCTCCACCTCCGACGACGACGACGACGCCGGCGGCACCATCATCATGGGTGGGGGCAGCCCCGGGTGGTTGTAGAACACGGCGCCGCCGCTGGCCACGGCCACGGGGTAGTCCTGCGGCAGCGGGGGCGCCACCAGCTCGTCGTAGGGCGCGAACTCGGGCGCCTCGGGGCCTGCGGACCCCGCGTCGTGGCCGAAGGGGCAGCTGCTGCCGTTGCGGCACCCGCCCTCGGACTGGAAGAAGCGGCAGGCGCGCGGCTGGCTGGAGGCCGTGGGGATGGAGCCGTTGGCGTACGGGTTGGCGGCGCTCAGGGGCACGTCGTCCGGCTCGCCGTCGTGGCGGAAGGTGCACGAGGCGCCGCGGAAGCAGCCCTGCGGCGACTGGAAGAAGCGGCAGGCGCTCGAGCTCATGGGGGGCGGAGTGATTGACAGACCTTGGGGCTGCGTGCGTGGCCGGCCGGTCTCCGATGTTTAGGCAAAGCGGTCGGTGGATGGAGAAGAAACGCTATTGGGCAATCGGGCGGGGCATAGTGGAGGCAAGTGAAAAAGGGTCGCACCAGCGTCCCTAGCGGCAATTGGGAGTGTGGTGCCTCTCCCGTTGGAGAGGCTATCAGATGGACGTGCCTGGCTGTATGGAGGCATGGGGCTGGCTGCTGTTTAGGTGGTGGCAACCCACGCGCAGCGGAGTGAAACCTCCGGGGATAAAGATTTTTTAACGCGATGTTGACGCGCGCGCTCGGTCTCGGCTGCGGGTGAGAGCTCGGCGTGGGTGTCATCGGGGTTATGAAAGCAATGAGAGATCATCTCTGCTCATGGAGGATACGTTCTGTTGTTGCGGTGTTTGAGCTAAGGCCGCACAGCAGAATAGTAGCAACAGACCATTACGAAAATTCTTTTTCAAGCGCCACCAGCATGGGCTCTCGCTAACTGCAGTTCGCAAAGGACTGCATGTGGTCCACCGCTTCGCTACGCAAATTTCAACCGCCGTGATGTCGTCTAACGCTTGCAACATTGGACTCGAAGGCAAGGCCGAGGGCGGACCATACCTGGGAATCCTAGGTTAGGGTGTTGGGCGTGGCATCTTTGCAGGCTTAAGCAAGCTGCGCCTGAGCTCACCCGACTACGATGTCGAATGCCAGCAGACAGAGTAAAAGAGGTTGCTTCCGGTCAAAGTGCCGTCACCTGGTGGCGGCAAGCTGCATGCACTTCAGTCTGAGTTGCCTCGATGATACCAAGCGCCACGTCACATTTTTGTGTGCACAACATCACACAGTTATGTTTTTTTGCCGTGAAATGCGTGCTTTTTTCGTTGATCGGGATGGGCGCTCAGAGGAGCACCGCACACAGAAAGAACATTCCGCGCGCAACCTTCAGGCGACATTACCCCGCAGGTCGTCAATGTCCAGTCGATTGGGCGGTCGGCCCCTACCCTTTTGCTTTTTTCGACGGGAAAGTTCTTTTTCCCGTTGCCGGGTGCGTGTCTATCACTGCAGTCGCGTCGACAGCATCACGTTTGAAAAAAAACGCTTTTTGCGCGAGCTTCAAGCATCTACAGCATCCCCCGCATGGTCTCCGATGCGCAATGCTCGACTTGCATTTCCGGTGGTCTCTTTGCCATTGCCACCAAGCTGGTGACTTACTACGTCAATTGACGGCGTAACCAGCTCGTCGCTCTATGCCAGCGCACTGACTCCTCTTGTCAGTGCTGCACTTTGTTGCCGCATGCCGCGCGTTCTGGTTGTCTCGTGCACCACCACGCGCTGTAAAGTCGACGTTTCATCGAGCTTTGCGGCTTTGCGCACCCGCTACCTCCGCCGCCGCTTCGTGTCGGCGGCGCGGTGCGGTATGTTTCACCTCTGCGAGTGGTGTTATATTTTCTTTCGCCAGCGATGTCTTCAGCTTCGGCACCATTGCGCCAAAACAGCTTTGTCTACACTATCATATCATACTTAGTCCTGCCTCCATTGCGAAGCTTGTCATACATCAGGTTGCTCCCGCGCTCGGCAATCCCACAACTGCCGCGGGGCTCGTCACACGCTCGCGATCATACGCGCGAACGGTAGTGCTGCTGCACTTGTTGCTGGTGGTGCTGCTGCTACGGGCGCGGGCTTGGCCACTGACGCGACAGGAGTCTGCTTAACCGCTGCTGCAGCTGCCAATGTGGACGCGCAAGATGCCACCACACGGGGTACTGCAGCCACGGGGGCCTTGACCGAGGGTGCCATTGCCGGCGGAGCCGCCGCGCCGGTGGGAGGCGTTGGGGACGCGTACCCAGCGGACGCGGAGCTCGGCGGCGAGGCACTGCGAGGCGCCGGGGCGGCAGGCTTGGTCTCGGTGGCGTTCTCTAGCACACGCACGAACCTGCCCTTGATACGCGGACGGTCGTCGGCCAGCTTCTTCCTGCAGTCGTACTTGATGCTCTTCTTCCAGGTGCGGTTCTTGCGCTTCTCGTGGAACTTCTGAAGACGCAGCTTTCGCGCTGCCGGGCTGTACGAGCCGATCTTCTTCTCGGTCGAGCTTGACTTCGGCGATCCGACGTTGAGGACACTGAGGAGCGAGTCCGCCGGCGCGCTGATCGACAGCGACGACGACGAGGCGCTCGCTGCAGACACGCGTGCCTGCTCCTTGCGCAGCTCCTCGGCGGCAGCTGAGTTGGCAGCCAGCTCGCTAGCCGAGCTAGAAGCACCGGCCGCTGCAGTTGAAGTGGCCTTGTCGCCGACCTGCTTCGCCTCGGCGTTCTTCTCGGAGAAGATGCTGGAGCGCTTTTTGCTAGAAGTGCTCGTCGGCGACGGGATCTTAAAGTTCATGGTGTCGAAGCTCATGAGGAGCTTTTCGTTGTCCTTGGCTTTGCTCGACTCCATGCGGATGTAGGCTGGATCAACTATAGACCAATCAACGCATCAAACGGCATAGGATGAGCACGCGTTCGTCTCAGCCCACTAGGCACGCCATGATTCACGTGTCGATTTCGGTTTGCATTGCACGAGGCGAATGCCAAACAGAAAGAGCAAAGAGCAAGACACTAACCGAAGGTCGAAGCCATGTCCGCCGGGTCCTCGAAGGCCAGGCCACCGCGCAGCAAGGACGGCCCGAAGCCGAAGTCGTTCACGTCGTCGCCCGTCGTGTGGTCCTGCGCCAGAGCGTCCATGCTCAGCGCGAGGTCCATCTCGTCGTGGGCCACCCAGTCGATGTCCTGGTTCAGGCGGTCGTCAAAATCCATTGCGCGCAGGTAGTCGTCGCTGATCCAGCCGTCGAGTTCCAGCTCGAACTCGTTCTTGAACATGTCGTCCATTCGGGCCTTCTTGGCGTCACTGGCGCCGGCCAGCACGCCCGCGGCATGCGAGCGCTTGCCGGCGCTCTTGAGCTTCTCCTGCGGCGACAGGCACATGGCTGGCTTGCTCTCCTCGATGGGGCTCAGCGGGTTCATGGTCAGGCTAGATAAAGTGTGCGATCTTTTCGACGAGGGCGGTGCAGCCGCACGATCGCGATCCAAAACAAGAGAGCCGACTGGTCACCGACTCCAAGCAGAACTACTCAGCGACTGGCTGACAATGGTCCAACACCAGGCCTGTCAGTCGTGCTCGATAGCTCTAGTCGCGAAGCGTCGCTGTGCGTGGTCGAGTGCGTGGCGCGCGCACTAGACTGGGGGTTCGGCGATGCAGTGGTGGGGCTGGGCGTCTCGGGTGCAATTGCAGCGAGACACTGGTGCTAATTGCTGAAGAAGAGAGAGTCGCTGGTGGAAGATCGTCGATCGGCTTGGATACGGTAGCCGCTCGCCCACTGCAAGTAGCTTGTCGCGCCCTTGGCCGAGGAGTTCTTTTTCCGCAGAGGATTTCAAAATGGCCTGCAGGCCGGGCGGTGGCTCGCGGAAAAAAGCACAAGTTTGGGATAGAAGGCAAAAGAACAGATATAAAAAGCAGCGGGGTTGGATCCGCTTCTTGATTGGCCGAAAGGCGAATAAAATCGCTGATTGGCGGACTCAGAAATCACCCAACCGCCGCGCGATCGGACGAAAATGGTTTCCGCGGATGATGGCGCCCCGTGCAGCCAATCGTAGCGCGCCGCGGACTGAAGTTCAACAGGTGGCGCTCCGTTCGTTACGCCTCTCACCCATAAAAAGCAGTCTGTGACTTGGAATTTGTATGCGGGACTCGAAATCGCACCTAGCCGGGAGCGTGGCCTCATGCTTGGGGGGCGGTTTCACTTTTTCTGAAAGCAACTGGGCCCCCCCGGTTTGGTGGTCCAACCGATGCCTGACCGGTGGGCCATGGATGGTAAGCTTGGGCAGGTGTGTTTGCGAGGACGTCGAGGCTGGAGAGTGCCGGTCCTTCGCCGACATTGTTCGCAACCTGCAACGCTGCATGCGATTACTGCTTTGGCCCTGCCGGCCCGGCGCCGATGCTGCGGCTGGTCTGAATTTCCGACGTTCGGGGATTGAGCCTGGGCCCGCCGGGAAAGCAGAAAGCGGCCAGGCTGCCCCTTATCGGCCCCGTGCCCCGGCTTTCGCGGCCCGTGAAACCCGCTCGCTCCGCTGACAGCAGAGTGTGCTGGCCGACCTCCGTTATCCAGCGACGCGGCAGCAGGTTCAGCAAAGAGAGAGCACCGCACGGTGCCTGGCGCAGCTCGTTTTACACCGCGCTGGCTTCTTTCGCGCGCGGTTCCGAGTGACCTCCAAACTCCATAGCGGAGACCAAGACCGACTCATTTGCTCATTGCGGAGACCTACAGTTCTGAGGCCGTTCTGATATATGGTATCTGCGCTAGATAACAAAGTGCTTGTTTGAAGAAACTGAAGATTGGAAACGAGTGGCGACCGGCGCCAGGAAGCCTCGTCACGCGGGCCTCGTCGCGTGCCAACTTGCACTGCTCGGGCGGGCTGGGGTGCAACCAGCAAGGGGCAGGCGCAATCGAGCCGTTTGCGCGCTCGGGAGCGTCGAAACGGGGCCCCGCCGCCAGTCAAAGCGTGCAAGGCGGCTTGCAGTGCGCAAGGAAAAAGACAGGCGGATCTCCGAGAAAAAAGCTGCTTTTTAGAACAGCATTTTATAAAAAGCGAGGATGGAGGCCGGCCATCATCAGCGCGGGACATCCCTACATATTCCGACAAATAGGACACATACCTAAATTATTAACCAAATGTAGGTTGTTCTCTCCAAAATACAACAGCGGTGAAAATGGCGATGGTGTTGAACACAAGCACAAGCAGCTAATACTAAGTGTAGTAGAAGAAATCAAAGAGTCTAAGAATGGTTACATATATTAGTGCAGTCCGTCACCTTCTAAGATGCTGTACCTCGGCAATCATGCCGGTTGTTGCAGCACGCGTAGTCTAACGTCCTGCCACTCCTGTCCATCTCATTCGAATTCACCAGCCTCGAACGCGGGCCCACCAGCGAGGTCATGACGGTGTTGCTGGGGGCCTTGGGCTGCATCTTATCCGTGGCAGTGACGCGCATGTGGAAACCCAGCACGGGTCCGCCGCTTTCACCGGCGTTGGTGGGCCACTTGCTGCATGTAGCCTGACAGACGCCCCGCTTTTTTAACTTGCTCAACGTGCGGTCCTGTAACCACGCACACCCGCCCACCTTCTTGCCCTTGGCCTTGGTCGTCTCGCTGCCGGTCGTGTCCACGGTCACGAGGACCACCTTGCAATTGACGGCGACGATCTTGGGACGCATGACAGCCACACGAGCAGTAGGACTTGCCGAAGCCTCAGGAGTAGTAGCCCTCGACGGAGGCGGAGTCGTGGACGCTCTGTCGGTGACCTTGTTGTTGGCCGCCACCGCAGCTGACCTGCTGGCCGAGCTGCCCTTGGTGCACAGCGCATCCGCTCACCAGGCAGCCTTCTTCAGCTCTACTCGCTCTTGATCATCTCGCCGTCGCGCAGTTCTCGCCGATGTAGTTCCCTCGTGCAGCAGCTCCACGGTGCTGCTCGCCGCGTGCACGCGCACCACCTTCGCGAAGCGCGCCGCGGCCTCAAAGGCACGGCATGCTCCAGCCCACGACGGGTGCTTGAGACGTCATGCTGCCGAATGTCCTCGAACGCGTGCGCGGTGGTGACGGCGTTGCGCGAGAGCCCCACTTCCCCGCTTGCCGTCGTGGTCACGATCGTGCCGCCACACGCGCCTGCGTCGCGTGTGGCGGCACGCGTCGCAGCCCTCCTTGCCTGGACTTGGTCACTTGGTCGCCATGTTCCGAATCTTGAGATGACAGATGACCAATCAAACCTTTTGAACTCAAACCTCCCGTCCTACTTTAGGATGCATCCTACTTGTCAGAATGGCAAAAATATTTGAAAAATATGTTTGCTACTTGACATTTGTAAACACATATACATATTTAGGCCAGCCTTCCGACAAATATTTGTCGGAAAGTGTCGGAACGCGTTCACCTAACCCTAACGTATTGCATTGGATAAAATATCCACACCAGGCAAAATGATAGGCTGTAATTCAGGTGGAGATCAGCCATAAGTTATCAGTCGGAAAGACCACTATATTCATCCATGTGAAGAGGCGAAGCCAGCGGCGCCCCGTCTTCAAGACGGTCTTGGCTCGGCCCTGCCTTGCAGTGCGTGGGATGGGCGGTCCGGCTTTGGTAGGACCTACCAGGTAGGTGTGTCCGCCCCGATTACGGCCGAAAAAAACACTTTTTTCACGGATCGGGTGAACGAGTTCAACTGCGCAAAGGATCACCAGACCCGCGGCCGGCTTCGCTGTCGTCGCCGCGGACTTGCTCGCCTGCGCGCAGCACTTGGGTCGCCCTTAGTCTGCTCGCAGACCGAGGCAACCTACAGTATTTGAGTCTGCAGTGCCAGGTCCGCCCTGAGAAATTCTCATCGATGCGCTGAGTCACCACCGGAACGGAGTGCGACGAGTTGTGCGTTGTCAGCTGAGAGTCATTTCGCTTCGAATCCGGAGGTTCGGCGTCGCGCTGGCAAGCACCAGAAGGACCCGCATCACGCGAGGCGAGCTGGATCAGACTGCCGGTATAGCTCGGCTCTTGGCAGTTGTTGTGTGACCACTTGGAGGTCGCACGACAGGCTAACACACCGTCGGTGCACGCTGGCGGAGGCCGTCCGACAAGTTTAGACGAGACCCGGCACCTGCCGTCACTGCAGTGCAGTGGTGATGCAAACGCAGCCTTGGATGGTACCATGAGCATGCGACGAGGTGGCGGGCGGTTGAGCTTCTCAACACATCAGCGCCAAACGGTTTGGGCGTTTGCCAAGTGACCCCCTCGATCGCCAGAAACTTGATTAGAGAGAGAAGGCGCTCGATTACACCGGTACGCGCAGCAGCAGAAGTCCGCGGTACGTTCTTCTCCGTCCGAGGCTCAAATGGCCCGGGGGCCCGTAGCTTAGTCCAGTAAGACTAAAAACTTGAACTACCTGCCGCGGTTACTGGGCGTTTTTGGAATGACAAGTCGAGCGTAACCAGCCATCGATCGGCCATTGCCTTGATACCTGCCCGCGAGTACCGTAATTTAGATCTCATACTACATATAGCTGATTATTGAAGTTGTTGTGTTGCAAAGTGGACGCGAGATGTACATGTACCGACGATTTTATGTTCGTATTCTGAAGTGCATCATGCAAAGTGGTATTTACCGGTTCCCTTAAACACTGCTGTCTAGATCTATCTACTCCACGGCAGCTAGCGTCACGCTGAGCTTGTGTTGAAAGGAGACAGCAACACGCTTAAACTGCTTCGGCAGCTTTCCTGTTCCTGTTGTGCGTGTCCGCCCTCCCTGCTGACCTACATCACTTTCCGCGGACTTGGCGTGCGCTCCATGGTTGTTCTCTTGCAATGACTGGCCCTCTTTTGCTGCATTTGCTCTATTGATACCCTACGTATTATGAGAACTCAACTGATGAGCTGGGTAAATGGCGCGATATCATTGGCTAATGCCTAGTATGAAGTAAGAGATCTGTCTGTAGTATGAGATCTAAATTACGGTACGCGACCCAGCAGAAGACTACACGCAAGTCCATTCGACTCCAGGTAGGGCGTTTGTAGCGACTCGCAATGATCCCACGCAGCCAGCCCCGACGACCAGCTTGCGGGATGGACAAGTCTGGGGGGCCTTAGCTGATCCCTTCGCGGGCTGGTCTGCCTGCGTGGCGATCGCAAGGCGTTTGTCTAACAGCAGCAGCAGTGCTGCGATTGTGCGGGCTCGTGCTTGGACAGCAGCCGCCACCGTGTTGTCAGTGCAGCAACGAACACACTCGGGGGCGTCTCTGCCATCTGCCGCTGTCAAGGAGAGCGAGCACCAGCAAGCACACCACCGCGACGTAGGGCTAGCCACCCATCTGGCTGGGGGTGGAGAATTTCGCCACGGGAAGAAGGGAGTGCGATTCTCCTGCTGAGCGCATTGACGAGGTGTCTCTCCCAGTCCCGCGTTACTCTGCAGTGGGCCAGCGCAGTGCAGCGAACGCAGTCACTGCCTGTTGTTCAATAGCGCAGAGCTTAAAAGGTACAGTGAGTGAGTGAGCTGAAGGAAGTCATCAACCTCCTCTGCGGGTAGAACGGCATGGCCTCGCCCGTGCATTTATCGCGCGACCGCGCGCAGACTCGGCGGATGCACCACCGCGCGATGCGGCAGATCACGGACGTCTTGGGCGTGTGCCTCAACTCGACTCGCGCCAAGGAGCAGTGGACGTGTCTGCGGCGTGACAAGCAGCAGGAGCTGTACGCCAAGCGCACGGACCAAGGGCTGGCCAATGGGTCGTCCGTGTACTATCTCGCCGTGAACGAGGCCGAGTGCGGCTTCGAGGAGGCGTTCGAGCTGCTGCACTTCGACACGACGGCGCAGTTCCGCCTCATGATGAAGCTGCTCCACGGCCGCGACTTCAAGGACGGCGCGCTGCTCTCCATGCGCACGAAAGAGCACTCGGTGAGCGACTGGACCCTGGACACCCAGCACGCAGCGGTGTGGTTCATCTACCAGGACCACCGCAAGTCGGTTTTACTGCGGGAGCAGCACCTGACGTTCTTCCAGACGCTCAAGATCTTCATCCCGGACAACCAGCACCAGCAGAGTGAAGACTACCAGACCGGGATGACGTCGGTGTCCCAGACGTCGTCAATGGCTGGACTGAACGCGCGTCCGTATGACGGCGTACACAAGCGCACCATCGCACTAAGCTGGCTGCCGTTCGCTAGGTCACACGAAGCCATGTTGGAGACGGCGCAACAGGTTGACCTGCAGTACACGCTGATCGTGGAGGAGATTTCGCCTAACCGATTGCGGCTTTCATGTGTGACGAGTTCGTTCCACGATGAGAACGATGGTCCAATGGCGGGCTCGCCTTGGGCAGCTCGGGCTATTGCGCGGCGACTAGCGTTGCGGTCTGTTGACAAGTTGGAGTCGGCTGTGGCTGCGTCTAGGATTGGCGACTGTCAACTTGTTGCGCCGCACCAATGGGTCAAGAACGAGGACCGAGCGAGCTGCGTGATCTGCTGGAAACGCTTCAACGCCATCTTCCGTCGCCGCCACCATTGCCGTCTGTGTGGCGAAGTTATCTGTGGTTCGTGCAGCTCCATGCGCACTATCAACATCGTCAGTATGAAGACGAAGGAGGTGCAGAAGACCCGCATCTGCCACCTCTGCAACAACAAGGCGCGGCTCAAGACCAACACGCGCGAATACCCCAGCGGCAACAACAGCAGTCGCCGCCTCCGTGAACGCAATCACCGCAGCAACGACAGAATCCCACCGCCTTCACACCAACGCTGGGATCAGGTGCCTCTGCTCGAGTCGGACTCGGATCTCCCTCTCTCGCTACGAACGCTCCCGACAAACTTGAAAGCGGTGGCCAGCAACGGCGCGCACGACTACGTGTTACCGCCGCCTTCAATGGATTTCATGCTGCCTCGGAGACCCATGATGCGAGACGTTGAAGTGAGCGACAACAACGACTTCGAGGAACTCGATAGTGGCGGTTACATCGGCGCGCTGCCCGATCGACTGGTAGCGACTGTCAATAGCAAGATCATCTCAATCAAGTCCATCGCTCGTAGTACCAAGAAGTTCTGGCAGGCTATACCTTCGAACACGTCCAGCAACAAGAGTGTTTGGTCTCTCCAGGTGCTCGAGTCCAACAGCGTCGAATCCAGTATGAACTCTCCTGATTGGGGAGGCAACAACGTGAAGTTCGAGGCCTCACGTTCAGGCTTTAACGCTTCAAGGTCGTTCCTGCATCCGGCAGCGATGGCCTCGAGGTCACGAAGAGCAGCCCAACCGATCCGCATTGCCGCTGAGGCGAGCAGCTACAGCTCCGCCGACCGGTCATTCCTGTCTTCCTACAGCGCAGCTAACTCGAAGGAGCGGGAGGAGGAAGACACGAAGAGGTTTGACCATCGACGAACGTCCATGATGAGCTCCAACGTGGGGCTACTTGACCAGGATTCGATGGGAGACGAAGGCTACTTCCTGCCCAAGCTGGAGGAAGATCGCGAAGAAGAGCGACTCAAGCTTCTGGACGTGATCGTGTCTCCTGCGTGCACGCTTATCGACCGCACCATGATGCATCGAAGCTGTGAGATCGCCGCTGCTGCCTTTGGACTGACTGCTGCCTTCATCGCCCGGGTGGACGTGGAGTACGTGATCATCGAACATGCCATCGGCACCCGCGAGCTTGGGCCACAGGACGAGATCTTGCGGCGTGAATCGCTGTGCGATTTCGTGCTCGTCCAGCCTCCGTACCAGCCGCTAGTAGTGCTAGATTGTCTCGCTGACCCACGTACCCGAGAGATCCCCATGGTGCAGCACCTCCGCATGCGCTTCTTCGTGGGCATCAACATTTGCGTCCGAGGTCTCCCCATCGCTTGCCTGTGTGCATTTGGACACGACGATGACACGGAGAGCGAGGAGAGTGAGGACGGCCAAATATCCGCGTCATACTACGATTCCAGTATCCTAGAACACGAGGCCCGTCAGATGGAGGACGAGCTCGAGAGTCTCGTCCACGGGTTGGAGCTATACTAGCCTAGATGGGCTCGTCTCGCGGCTCCACCAGAATCTCGTTCACGGCCACGTACGGCGGCTGCGTCACAGCGTACAGCACAGCGCGGCCGATATCTTCAGGTTTGAGAACCTCGCACTCTGTAGAGTATTTAGCGGTGATTAAGCAGAGCATTAGAGACCGCGCAACAGTAAATAAACACACTGCAACTGGGACAGCGTCAGCTTACCGGATGCACCTCCGTACAGCTTCATCGCCTCCTCATCCACGCCGCTGGCAGCATTCGCGTGCTTCACCAGGTCCGTCGCGACATTGCCAGGCTGTCAAACGCACCAGGATCCGAAGCCACCTCAGACAACAACACCAAACAAGCACTAACATGCAAGATTTTACCTGGATTGAAGTCACGCGCAAGCCGCTGCCAACGTTCTCAAGCCGCAGAGCCTGCGAGATGCCTTCGACGAACATCTTGGACGCTGAGTAGACGCCCAACCCAGGGAAGACCTTGCGTCCGGCATCCGACGAGATGTTCACAATATGGCCGCTCTTACGCGCCAACATCTTGGGCAGCACAGCGGCTACGCCATTGAGCGTACCCTTGCAGTTGATGTCGATCGTCTGCATACCATCAAGGCGCACGTTAATTAAATCTCCCCACTCTACAATTCCCTTCAAGCAGCTCAAAGCTCACCCGGTCCCAACTGTCCTGGTTCACGTTCTTCAGCAGCTCGAACGGCATCACACCCGCTGCAACGGGGCAATAAAAGGAATAAGAGAAATATCCCCAGCGTCAGCCTAATGCTGGGGTCAATGGATACAAGTAGGAAGGATACTAGTCTCCCCCCACCATTGTTCACGAGGATGTCCACAGAACCCAGCGTCTCCTCCGCCTTGGTCACGAGGTTCTGCACCTCTTGGCGCTTGGTGACGTCCGTTTGGACGAGGAGGATGCTGTCACCAGCGCCGATCTTCTGCTCGATGCTCGCCTTGACCGCCTCCAGCGCCTCGAGACGGCGAGCTCCCAGCGCCACCTTGGCACCCGCCTTCGCCAGCTCCAGAGCGATGGCTGCGTAACATCAGACCGAGATACTCTTAGACACTAGCAAGAAGAGGAGGGGGAAAGATGCCAGACGCACCAGCCCCGATGCCCCCGGAGGCGCCCGTGACCACCGCCACCTTGCCGCTCAACTGCGTGTTGTTGCTGCGGCTCATCGTCGAAATGATTCCGTCTTGTCGCACTTAGCACGGATAACTGGATCGGTACATGTACTGTAGTGATCAGAACGAAATGTAGAGCGAATAATGGAGGTTGATGTGTATTTGTATTTGCAAGTTTGCATTGCCTTCTCATTGCACTTTGGTGGTGGATTCACCACCTTACACGGACCTGTCGCGTGGTTGGACGAGGACTTCGTTCACGGCCACGTAGTGCGGCTGCGTGACGGTGTACAACACGGCACGGCCAACGTTTTCGGGCTGCAGCCTACCGGACATAAATCAACTAAATTACTTTACAGGTAATTTTCTGGTAATTTAGTTGATTTATGTCCGGTAGGTGTCGCACTCTGCAGTTGACGAGCGTTATTGGGCAAGGCAAACAGCTATCGAGAATGGTGAGAGGCTCAAGTAAGCTTACCTGGTTCCTCGTCGAACATCTTGGCGGCTTCTTCGTCCACGCCACTGACGGCGTTCGCATGGTCCACCAAGAACGTTGTGACGTCTCCAGGCTGGCAACGCCGAACGAAACATCAGCATCGTCGTCATCTCTTTCCACCCTTTGCATATGCACCCGAGCCGAAGCGTTCAACTCACCTGGATGGAGGTCACGCGCAAGCCGCTGCCAACGTTCTCAAGCCTCAGAGCCTGCGAGATGCCTTCAATGAACATCTTGGACGCCGAGTAGACGCCCAGACCCGCGAACACCTTGCGCCCCGCGTCCGAAGAGATGTTGACGATGTGGCCGCTCTTGACTGCCAACATCTTGGGCAGCACCGCCGCCACGCCATTGAGCGTGCCCTTGCAGTTGATGTCGATCATCTGCATCACCTTCACAATGAGCACGAAGCCATCTCCACCTTCAAACGCAGAGCAACTCGCTTACCCGGCCCCAGCTGTCCTGATCCACGTTCTTCATGAGCTGCACATGCATCACGCCAGCTGCACTCAACACCAGAGCCTTAGATCCTGCCTCCCCACCGCCACCACCTCGCATTGCTCGAATCACCATTGTTCACGAGGATGTCCACAGGCCCGAACGCCTCCTCCGTCTTGTCCACGAGGTTCTGCATCTGCTCTCGACTCGTCACATCCGTCTGCACGGCGAGCACGCGCCCAGTAGCCCCAGCCTTGTCCTCGATTTCGCTCTTGACAGTCTCCAGCGCCTCCAGACGCCGCGCGCCAATCGCCACCTTGGCACCCGCTTTCGCCAGCTCCAGCGCAATCGCTGCCCCCCCAAAAAACCAATCCCGTTAGCTACATACAAGACACTTCAACTGCATCTACCAGATCAGCAACGCACCAGCGCCGATGCCTCCCGAGGCGCCCGTGACCACCACCACCTTGCCACTCAACGACGAGCTCATTATCGCACTTAACGTAAGATCCCTAGTTGAACAGCAGATTGGAGAGGATGAGGTCGGCCCGGCTAGTGTTGACGCTGACGGGCGCAGGAGCTCGCGGAGCTGCGAACAGGGGGCGCGGTTCCCTGCTGAAGCCTCTCTATGGGCGTGCGCTGTCCTCCAAACCGCCGTCCAACCCGTTCGAGATCGACCTCAAGGTGCTGCAGACGCCCGCGTCGACAGGGGCGAAGCTCACGCTGGACGATGCCAAGCGCGCAGCGGCGCAACAGGCAGACGCACAGCGGGAGATCAACCTGCTGCATGAAGGTGCGATGGGTTGTATGTATATTGCTTGGATGGGAGGAGACTGAGTGGCTTTATGTGTTGATGGTGTGTAGAGATGTCGAGCTTGTTTGGGGAAGAGGTGGCGGAGTACGGCGGGGACTCGTCGTCGTCCAGTGTGGAGGAGGCCGTTGCTGCCTTTGACAAGGGACTGGGAGCTGCAGAGAGCGTGGCGAAGTCTGTGGAGAGGAGCGAGCAGCCTGCGGTGAGCGCTGCTCGGGTTGTTATCAAGCCTAAGAAGAGCCCCAAGACGAAGGTTGAAGAAAAGGCTGTGAGTGCGGAGAGCAGTGTGGATGAAGGTGACTCGACTGGCGGCAAGAGGGCGGATGTGCTGCTGCTACAGGGGCCGTGCAGCTTCGTGAGGGGTGTCTGGACGGGTGGAGATGTGGAGAGAGAGGAGCTCCAACGTCAGATCCAGCAACAGGCTGACAAGCTGAAGATCGTCGTCAAGGGAAGAAACTATGACTCGGAAAAGATCATCCTGCAGATGCTGCTGGAGGCTCGTGAAGAGCAAGTGGTCGTGCTGTGCTGGGACAGTAAGTTTGAACGATTGAGGGGGGGGGGGGCTGCAGAGTTATCGGGTATCCTTACTGATGCTGTGTTGATGTTGTACTTTTCAGTCAGCCTCGCCAAGTCGCCGTTCATCGTGCATGCATTGGAACTCATCCAATCTCGGGTTATTATCGTGAGCCCAAGTGGTGTGGAGCATGGGCCTCTGCCTTCGAATGTTGTGGGCGTGCTGTCAGGTAAGAGGACTCGAGTACAACGAAGCTGTCTTGATTGAGTAGACTAGCAGGAGAGTACTCATTACTGCGCGTATTGTCGTAGGTTTTTGGAATCAATCTCTCTCGCTGGCAATCAACGCCGCCGCCAACATTCTGGGATCCAATGGCACGAAGACGATTCCTGGTGGGGTTTCCCCGAGCCAGAAGAAGAAACAACAACAACAGTCTTCAAGCGCAAAAGAGAAGAAGAAGAAGAAGGTGCTAACCTGCTATTTGTGTGGGGAGGAGGGCCACGTTCGACGCAGCTGCCCTCAACTGTCGAAGGCGTAAACGATCTTTTGCTCTGCAGTAGGAGCCGATAGATAACCGGAGTCCATGGCGGTGGGCACCTTTAACGTAAAGTGAGATGCCAGTCCGGTTGATACTTTCCTAAGGCCCTGGTTCAAGTGCTGGCACATGTGCTAAGCTCCAATTGCTGAGGCATTTGATTGGCTAACAAAAACCGGTACAATGTACCATTTTGTTCCCAGAGCACCTGTTCCAGCGCTGGCACATTAAATGTGCCACGGCAACATGATTACGACAAGACGACAGCTCTTACGGCACCATAGCAAGGGTTTTTTCACATAGCAAACACCACACCAAGCAACATAGAGGTTGCATGGTATGGTGCTTGCTATGTAAAACTGGGTTTGCGGTAATCTATCTGCGATTAATTACGGAAACTGCAAAAGTTACCGAGCGCACTCCAGAATATCACAGTAGAATCAAAGCGGCTGTTGGTGCACACTAAGCGTGAAAGAAGATGGAACCAGGCGACCTTAACAGCGATGCTCTGCCGGCCTCACCGCTACCGCCCACGACCGACGCAGGCACGCGTCTATCGCGAGCTCACAGGGCGAAGGTTTGCAAGGGTCTGTTGATGTCTAGGCTCAAGGTAATTGAGGCTATGGAAGACAGACTGGACAAGATCGCCAAGTACTCGTTCAAGCTTTTAAACGAGCGCGACGAGCTGGCTACAATGCTCGCCAACGAGAAGGAGGAAGCTGTCCGTCTCGCAACGGTGCTTGGGGTGTCTGTGCGTGAAACCGGCTACGTGGTGTCGTACGGCGTAATGCTGCAACAGTGTTTCGAGGCTCTACTCGAGCAAGGCTAGACCAATACTTCGTGTTGTGAACACGAAGAAAACATCAAGCCGATAACAAATACAACTGCTTTGAGGTCACAATTGAGCTATATTCAAGTCTTTACGGTTGCCATCAACTCGAGGTCGGTTGAATCTACGGTCTCGGCTACTTGGTTCGCTATTGTACTCACTTCAGGTTGTATAAGTATCATCCACATAATACGTAGTCCCATGACAGCAACGTCATCGGCTGAAACTGTGGCCTTGGTAAATCGGAAGTTATCCTTCAGCATGCAATACACCTGGGCTATCACCATAACGCCGCACGACGTTCCATCGGGCTGTCTCGGCGCATCCAGCCACACACCATTCTCCACAACATAATAATCCACTCCAATCAGTGTCTTCTCGTGCCAGCCCAGCAGAAATGGCGCTACCGTCTCTTCGTAGGTATCTTCGATAGTCGCTCGATATTGCGGATCACACAGAGGCTCGTAGAAGTAGGGTGTGATTGACGGTGGTTCAGCCTGGTACTGATACTGACAATGATGACACCCCAGTGTATGTTGCTCAGATAAACTGGCAAAACTACATAATGCATGTTCGAAATGCGGGTCTGGGGCGGGTCAGGACAGCAAAACGTAGCTGCATACGTATCCAACGCGTAGCAATCTCCGAGGGCGTCACAGATACATCTGACAGCGAAATCAATGATCGTATCAGACAGCATCTCCTTGCGAGCAAGCATCCCAACCAATCTGTCCAGCTTTACAGTGCCTGCGCCGCTTGCCAATCGGAATGTGGAGCTCGGAGAAGCTCCTTCAAGCTGCTCCAACACTTCGTTTGCCAGGGCCACGTGCTTGGCCCCTGTGGTGTCATCTGTGAGCTCGTCCGAGTCCGTTTCCACGTCGTTCCATCGGGCTGTCTCGGCGCATCCAGCCACACACCATTCTCCACAACATAATAATCCACTCCAATCAGTGTCTTCTCGTGCCAGCCCAGCAGAAATGGCGCTACCGTCTCTTCGTAGGTATCTTCGATAGTCGCTCGATATTGCGGATCACACAGAGGCTCGTAGAAGTAGGGTGTGATTGACGGTGGTTCAGCCTGGTACTGATACTACACCCCAGTGTATGTTGCTCAGATAAACTGGCAAAACAACATAATGCATGTTCGAAATGCGGGTCTGGGGCGGGTCAGGACAGCAAAACGTAGCTGCATACGTATCCAACGCGTAGCAATCTCCGAGGGCGTCACAGATACATCTGACAGCGAAATCAATGATCGTATCAGACAGCATCTCCTTGCGAGCAAGCATCCCAACCAATCTGTCCAGCTTTACAGTGCCTGCGCCGCTTGCCAATCGGAATGTGGAGCTCGGAGAAGCTCCTTCAAGCTGCTCCAACACTTCGTTTGCCAGGGCCACGTGCTTGGCCCCTGTGGTGTCATCTGTGAGCTCGTCCGAGTCCGTTTCCACGTCGTTCCATCGGGCTGTCTCGGCGCATCCAGCCACACACCATTCTCCACAACATAATAATCCACTCCAATCAGTGTCTTCTCGTGCCAGCCCAGCAGAAATGGCGCTACCGTCTCTTCGTAGGTATCTTCGATAGTCGCTCGATATTGCGGATCACACAGAGGCTCGTAGAAGTAGGGTGTGATTGACGGTGGTTCAGCCTGGTACTGATACTGACAATGATGACACCCCAGTGTATGTTGCTCAGATAAACTGGCAAAACAACATAATGCATGTTCGAAATGCGGGTCTGGGGCGGGTCAGGACAGCAAAACGTAGCTGCATACGTATCCAACGCGTAGCAATCTCCGAGGGCGTCACAGATACATCTGACAGCGAAATCAATGATCGTATCAGACAGCATCTCCTTGCGAGCAAGCATCCCAACCAATCTGTCCAGCTTTACAGTGCCTGCGCCGCTTGCCAATCGGAATGTGGAGCTCGGAGAAGCTCCTTCAAGCTGCTCCAACACTTCGTTTGCCAGGGCCACGTGCTTGGCCCCTGTGGTGTCATCTGTGAGCTCGTCCGAGTCCGTTTCCACGTCGTTCCATCGGGCTGTCTCGGCGCATCCAGCCACACACCATTCTCCACAACATAATAATCCACTCCAATCAGTGTCTTCTCGTGCCAGCCCAGCAGAAATGGCGCTACCGTCTCTTCGTAGGTATCTTCGATAGTCGCTCGATATTGCGGATCACACAGAGGCTCGTAGAAGTAGGGTGTGATTGACGGTGGTTCAGCCTGGTACTGATACTGACAATGATGACACCCCAGTGTATGTTGCTCAGATAAACTGGCAAAACAACATAATGCATGTTCGAAACGCGGGTCTGGGGCGGGTCAGGACAGCAAAACGTAGCTGCATACGTATCCAACGCGTAGCAATCTCCGAGGGCGTCACAGATACATCTGACAGCGAAATCAATGATCGTATCAGACAGCATCTCCTTGCGAGCAAGC